GCGCTGAACTTCATTCGCGTTGCGTGCCCATGCACTTGAAATACTATGTCCAAGGGGATAGCTGTACCCGATTCGGGTCCCGAACCACTCGTTGCATACATCCAGATTCGTCTACAGTGCGGCTCGCTAGATAGATTCTACGCTCGACTACGTACACGTACGTAGTAGGACTCTGCACGCAGCTACAAGGCTCACAAACACTTCCTAGTTTTATCTGCATTGGGCTCACGGTGGACCTATGCGATCACTTCACTTGGTGACCTGTATCTGCTTACTGTCCTGTACCCACATCCGCCTGTGTGGACTGCTTATCTAAAACGCTTCATGGAGATGTGGATGAGTGACTTGAGTCCACGCAGCCAGTCCTTGTGTTGCGCCCAATCTGAGGCCGTAAGAGCCACGTAGATGGTCTGTGCGCTGCCAAAATCGCGCTGTCCGAAGCACGCCACCATCTCATGCAGTCGGGACACAACGTCGGGCGACAAAGCGCCGATGTTGAGCTTGGTTAACATGATCTCCTTGCCCTTCTGAATCTCCTGCAGTTGCTTCTGTTCCATCTGCACAAACAACAAAATACCTAATTAGGTACATGCCTTCTTAACAGTGGCAATGATGTTCACCGTACCATAGTGAGAGGGAGGCCCTGAAGTTGACTCACGAGGTCGTTGAACGCGTTTACAATAGGGAGATCCTGCGGACCGACGTTCTCTGTGCTACCGGGCACAACATCCGGAGGGAACTCGCCAACCTTCGGGGCAGCGCTTGCAACGGGCGAGAGAGAGGCTGTGGTAGCATTCCCATATTTCAGAGTCAGTTCCTTGTTGCCCACACTGCTGACGAACCCATCGCGTTGGTGGGAGCTCATATCAACAGAAGGCTTGGCAATGCGCGATGACCCCATCGCAGCAGCAAGTGGATTTATCCCCGTACCTTGAGGAATGGATGGAGAAGCTGGGGCAGGTGGCGCGCCGAAGCCTGTTCCGGGACGAGGAGCACCACCGTACGCCGGAGAAGGTCCGGACACGTGAGGTGCGCCTGTAGACGGAGGACCTGAGTACATCTGCAGACGGCTACCTGACGACGACGGGGGGCCTGACGGGAAACCTGGTTGGGGCAGATGCTGGCCTGGGAAGCCTGGCTGCTGCGGACGACTGTAACCAGGCTGCTGTGGGGGTGGCTGGTGCTGCTGCGCTTGGCCAGGGAACACTGGAGAAGCTGTGGATTGGCCCGGGAATGGCGTCAGCGCCGCGTTTCCTGGGTATGGCGACGGCGTTGACTGACCTGGGTATGCGGGCTGCTGCTGGTTCGGGTATCCTGCAGGCTGCTGGTTGGGGTATCCACCGGGCTGCTGCGCTTGCGGAGGCAGACCATGCGTGGCCGGGTATGCTGGTTGCTGAGGTGCCGACTGGTAGCCACCAGGACGGCCAGGGTAAGCTGGCGTCGGAGCCGGTGTATGTTGTTTCGGTTGATAACCCGCAGCTTGGCCACCATAGGCACCAGGCGTAGGCATCGGAGCGGCGGCAGGAGTTGGCGTTGGTGCAGCAGGAGCACCATACTGGTTCCTTCCAGCTCCATATGCGGGTTTGTTACCGTAGCCTCTCTGCTGCTGAGCAGCCTGACGTTGTTGCTGTTGCTGCTGAATCTGTGCCTGCGTCTGAACCTGAACCACATCGAACGGGAACGGAGGTGGCTGGTAGCCCTGTGTGGGGTACGCGTTGTAAATGCGGTCCTTCAAAATCGCGCAACTCAGATCCGGGAAGCGTGCGTACTTGGCAGCAATATCCAGGCGTCCTTCCGCAGCCATCTAACAAGTAAAAACGATAACAAAATAACGTAAGCTTACGACCACCGAAATGTCCTTCACCTCTTGCTACGTACCAGAGAAGCATACTCAGCGAAACGCTGGGCCACCTCAGAGCCCATGGATTGATCAGGCTGGTCGACAGCCATCGCGAACACAGACACCTTCTCAACAAGACGGTGGAGCGCAAAGGTGTGGCCATGCGTGCGCGCCTCGAACTCGCTTTCCTTGCACCAAGCATTCACTGTCTTCTCCACGTTCACGGCGCACATGAAGCACAACGTAGCAGAGTGCAAGTCGCCAGCGGCCTCCAGTCGCGTGGCCAGCTTGTCACACAGCGACGGGAATTCTTCGCTCTTAGCGTATGTGCTCAAAATGGCTAACGTCTCGCGCCATTCAGCCAAATCCGAAAGCTCGACGAGCTCGGTTAGCTCATTCTTGATGATAGCAGATACCACACGCATCACAGGGCGTTGCTGGTGAGCGAAGAATGCGCGCTGAGTCTTCTCCCAAAGCTCAGGACCGCCACAAGAAGCTAGCAACAGCGCGTCGGCCAGTTGGTTGTACGCCAAGCAGCAGTTGACGGCCACTTCGAAGTTGCCCACTAGTAGTGCCTGCATCAATGTGCTCTCGGACTCTTCTGTGTATACAGGAGCGGGGACAGCATCCAAGCGCTTACTCTTGTCCTCATCCAACGCAGACGGGAGCGCAGTAGCAAGAGCAGAGACGTCCGACAACGGAGATGCAGGGTTTGCTGCGGCAGCGTCGTCAGCCTTCGGGTGGAAGCCAGAGGAAAACACATCGTCCGCTCCCATGCCAGACTACAGACAACACCAACAAAAATGAGCAACACGAACCAGAGATTGGTTATACCCACAGCAAAGACGTACATCAATCCGGTCACTCAGCAGCGCTCCCATCACTGGGTCCACTTGTGGTCCAGGAGCCTGTGCTGGGTTGGCAGCTTGAGCAGCTGTGGGTTGCAGTGCGGCGGCAGCCTCGGGGTTAAACTTGGCGTTCAATTCGTTAATCTTTTCCGCGTCCAAGCCAAGATGAAGCAGCAGATGCTGACGCGCATCCTTCTCAAAGAGGATCTTCATGAAGCTCCACACGCTACGCTCTTCAGGTGTCGCTGCTGATGCGATCTTCTGCTCGCAGTGTCCTTTAAAGTCCTTCGTTTCCAGCGAACGGTCCAGCGCCTCGGCCTCAGCCACAAGTCCAGTGTCACTAATCACGCGTTGCATGTGAATAAGGCGACGGTGGTCGGTGTTGGGGCCCGCAGGTTCCTGCGGATTCGCAATAGTCACCAACTTGCCACCAAATCCAAATGACGCACCAGCCGGGCGGCGCATCCACTTCGGGGGGCGACAAGCCGGGTTACCGCCACCAGAAAGACCCCAGATCTGCAGCTTTCCGTCCAACGAGCAGGTCGAAGCAACTGCAGGAACCTGGGGAGACCACTGAACGTTCCAACGACGCTGGCCGGCGAGACCACCGCCAAAGAATTGGTCCGAGCCCATAGAGGGAGCATTCGGGGCGTCCGAGGGGAATTCAGCCACAGTCTTGCGCGAAAACAGGTCCCAGAGAAGCGTTCGATTGTCCTTCCCGCACGATAAGATGAGCCCAGGGTCGTTGGGACACCATGACATGGACAGAACGCCCGCAGTGTGGTCATGGAACTCGGCTAGAGGCGTACTGGTCGAGTTGCGCAGATCCCAGAGCTTCACTGACGGATGCTGGTCATCGCCCGAGGCTGTAGCGATCTGCAGTCCCTCGTTGGGGTTCCAGGCGATAGCAGTGGCTGCTCCTCGTGCGGGATCACGCAACTCGCACCAAGGCTTCTTTTGCTTGAGGTCCCAGACAACGACAGAGCCATTCTGCGAGCCTGTGGCTAGGATATAATTCACTTGAGTATTCCATGCCACGCTGGTGATCTCATTGGCCTGTGCCTGAGGGGTGGAGGGGCCTCCAGGCGTGAAGACGCCAGGGCTGGCCAGTTTCTCCAGCGACATAATGTAAACTTCGCCATCACTGCCGCCTGAAGCCAACAGGTGCGCGCTGTCTTCGTGCGGATTGAACTGTAGCGCGTTGACGGCTCCCTTGTGGCGCGTGATGCGGCCGATCTCGCAGGACGCAGGCGCATCAGTGCCAGGCTCGCGGTCTAGCATAAGTGCTGGGTTCCACAGCGACACGGAGCCGTCAGCCATACCACCGGCGATGATACCGTACGGACACGTGTCGTGGTGGCGCGGCACGTCACGCCAGGCCAGCGACGTGAATCGCGACGCCGTCTTGACGGAGCCTAGTGTGATCATACCACGGCTCGGGTCGCTTAGGTCCATGGATACGAGCTTGAACTCGCCGCCGGTATTCTCAAAGCCGACGCCGCCGTCGCCCTTTGAGCCGAGCGCCAAGAGCTCCGCACGCCGCTTCACGGGGCTCCAGGCCACCGCTGCGTTCGCTTGAATCTCCTTCAGCAGCGACATGTCTTTCTATTTAGTAATGCGCGTGTCCTCCTCCCTGTCGGCGAGGTCGTCCGTGTCTTGATCGGCCCGAGCGGAACGCTGCTAAACTGACTGTATGATCGCGGGATCGCACGAGGGAGAAAGTTGCGAGCTTCAAATGGGGCGAGAAATCAGCCAATCGTAATAGCGGAAGTAGCTATTTTGGCCAATGATACGAGGACACACGCCGCTCAATCCTGCGGCTCAATTAAGTGCGGACGTAATTTATGGTGGTGCGATTGGACAAAAAAAAAAAACAAGCTGTAGCTTTGGTTTGAGTTTTTGGCGAGGAGCTCATGAAATTCGACAGCTTTCGTCTCTGTGTGGGTTACAACCAGTAAGCTTACTGTCAGGTTGACTTAATTCGAGGGGCGTTGTACATGTATTGCTCTTCACTGTCGGGTTTCACAGTTGCAGGTCTCAGTCAGTTGCTGCTACGATCAATGCAGCCTAAATTCAATCCTTTAGCGCAACATAACAACTTCAACTTTCTGACTAAACTCGTGCTTTTTGGTTGCTGCACGGCTAAGTCGTTCACACGAACGTTCCTGTTTAAGCTTCGCAAGATATGGTCTAGACTATAGCACGGACTTGCAATAGGTGGTGAAGAGGAAGGTGGTTGGTAACCGTAGTGTCCTGTGGTCGTTGCACTGTCGTTGTAGAGACAGCAGCGCAATCTTCCATTATACCATTTTCGAACTGCTAATCTGGTGGTGCTGTGCAGTACGTGTAGCTGCATTACCCAGAATGTAGACTAACTTCCTGCTATGAAATGCACTACAGACTTTGGTCACTCAAAGCTGCTGACTAGAAACTCACGGTGCGTAATCGCTTCTTTTCTACGGCAATCGCTAATGGCGGCAAAGCGTTTTTGCTACAGTTGCAAAACAAGACGGCAAGTTACCGTGTAGTGCCCACCACCGGCCAAACGCATGCTCGTCGGAATCTCGAGGTGCCCCTTATAATAAATGCGTACAGAATCGGGACACTCAGAAACGGGCCTTCTTTTTTAGACCACGACCTCACTCTTCCAATCTCATCCAAAGTCGCAATCCAGGAGACATGGTGCGCGCCTTCCGTGTCGCCTCTGCGCTGATGCTCGCAGTCTTGGCCAACGGAGCCATCTCGGCCGATCAAGCTCCACCAAGGTACGTCTCGTGCGCATCAAATGATGGTACCATTAACATTGCTGACCGATGATACAACGCTGTGCTTCATTGCAGTGAACTCCGCCGCCTGGTAACGCTCTCTCGTCACGGAAGTCGGGCTCCGAACGACGTGGTGAAGTTTACGTGCCCGCGCAATAAAGCCAACCTGGACGCGTACAAGGTGCCACTCACTCAGCTCACGGAGATCGGTATGAAGCAGCTGCAAGCTGTCGGCGAGCACATCCGTCACACATACATGGTGGACGAACCAAAGCACGAGGAAGCCTTCCTGTCTCGCTCGCTTAACGGTGTTAACCACTCTCATTTCGAGGCGTATTTCCGAGCCGACGCCGCGACGCGTTGCTCTCAGAGTGCCACAGCGGTGGGCTACGGCCTCTACCCAGACGGAACGGGCCCACAAGGTTTCCCGCGCCAGCCTGTGCCCATTACCATGCAACTCGTGGAAAACGAGCATGCCTTTGCTGCTCCTAAGGGCCCCTGCAAAAGTACCTTAGACGCGGATCTCGCTGTGTACGCTGAAACCCGTGCGCCAGAGCTCTTTGGCCAGTATCGCGACGTCCTCGATCAGCTGGGTGAGGCCTGTGGTGTCGCTGTCAAAGATATCCCCAACTTGCCTGATGGTGAAGATGTCGTGCTGGGCGTGAAGGATTTGGCAGATATGTTTGTCTTCGACCGTGACGAAGGCCTGCCACTTCTCGAGGGGATAACGGTTGAAGCTCGCAAAAAACTGGAACAGTTAGCCTTCACTAACCTCATGGAACGATATTACTCGACGGACCGCGAAATTACGTACTGGGTGGGTGGTTTTAGCGATTTGCTTCTCAACACGCTCCAGGGTGGAGCAGTCCTGACGGCGCCATCGCCTGCAGAGTACCGATACTTCTCATTCCATGGTCATCGAGAGCTGCTTCACGGCCTGGGTATGATGCTGGGCTGGGAGTTCCACTTCAAGGGACTACCAACAGCTCTCAACGTGTCATCCCTCCACCCCGGAACCACCATGTTCTTCGAATTGCGCGCCCGCGAATTCACCACCGAAGAGGCTGAGAAGCAGCCAGAAGCCAAGGAATTCTACTTTGTGCGAACGTACATGTGGTCGCCGTACACTGATCGTGAGCAGATCAAGCTGACAAAATGCTCAGTTGCGGATTGCCCGCTGGATGAGTTCAACAAGATCATCACGAACCACATCGCTGGAACCGGCACTTGGGAGACTATCTGCAACTACCACCAGCCAACTCTGGATGAAGCTCAAGCGCCACTGGCACAGGGAGCCGTTGTGGAGGTCAACCGCGGCTTCGCACACTACTCTTTCGTTACGGTCATCGGGATTGCTATGGCGATTGGGCTGGCGCTCGCGGCCTACAAGGTCTACACTGCTCGTCGCCGCGGGTACACCATGGTGGGGTAAGCGATGGATCAATGCTGGTCATACCAGCAAAACAGGAAGAAATAGCTACCAGAAGCTCTCTTTTAACATCCTTAGAACAAAATAAACGTCAGCGCCAGCTTGACTGGCCGCACTACGTTTGCGAAAGCCACTTGTCTGGCAGGAATTTATTGTTGAAGGCGAAATTCCTGGAGCTTCGCGACCAAGGCATCAACGTTGGCTAAACCCTTCGCTTTGCCTTGAATGATGCCGTTCTTGCCGCTGCCGCCCTTGCCGTCAATGAGAGGCAGCACAGATTTACCATGAGCAATGATGAACTCGGGAGGTCCGGCAATAAGAAACAAGCCTTCACCGAGCAGCTCGCCAGCCGTGAGAACAAACACAGCGTCATTCTTGGCGTCTCCAAGCATACTCAACAATGTCTGCAAGAAGCCGAGATCGCCCTCGTCACGGTGGTAAGTGACGACCCCCTCGCTGGTCTGCGCCATCAGGTCGCGTGCGATAGACGCTGCCAGCTCCTTCTGCAGGTTTTTAAGCTCTTTTGTTGCACTCTTCTGGAACTGAAGCAATCTTTCCACCCGAGAAGCGTGATCATCTGGTGCACTGCTCAGCAACTTCGTCATTGCGTGCTCATTTCTCAGCCTGCAGTATTCACAACACACAGCAACATGATATTTCGATAAGTAAACATCGCAACCCGTTGGCAAAGCACAGCACTAACATTCGTGAAAACTCGCGATTCACTCGCTCTCCAGCAACAAACCAAACACGAGAAGCTCCGCGTGCATACTCCGTACTCAGCACACGCAGCGATCGGAGTTGTGCCAGGTTTTGAACGTGTGTACCGCAGCATGGGTTCACATCGAGACCGTCAATTGTTACGATTCGCATCGCCTTGGGCGTCTGACCAGGCTCAAACTTCGCGGCAATCTTTTCCCACTCCTCTGTTCCTGGCTTCGCGAACGATGGGGTCATGGCAAGGCCTGAAACGATGGCTTCATTCACTTTTTCTTCGATTTTCTGCAGTGTTTCGGCAGGGATCACATTTTTCTCCTTGCCGCTCTTCTTGCCAGTCGTCACCTCCGAGGCCGAAGCGCCATTCATCGGCACGAGCTCCACATTGCAGCGTTCCTCTCCAAGTGACCACGTAGTAGTATCGTATCCATATTGTTCTGCGATTGCGCTGAAAAGGTGTTGCGCTGAGTGCTGCTGCATGTGGTCGAAGCGACGAGCCCAGTCCACGTTGGCGACTACCTCCTGGCCCTCCACGAACGGCGCCTTGGCTCCATCCTTCACAGAAACGCGGTGCAGACAGCGACCGTCCTTCACATACACCTGGTTCACCGGTACACCATCGATGCTGCCGGTATCCCAAGGTTGGCCTCCGCCCTCGGGAAAGAGAACTGCACGATAGCAACGAGCACCATAATCATTGTTTAGCCACCTCAAATCAGGAATCCATTCACTACTACGTGGCTGCAATCTAACAGGTTGCAATTGGAAGCCGATAGCTTACGCACCAGTGTCGTGCAATTCGAGTTCGTAGAAGCGTTGGGCCTTGGTTTTCTTGGTGGCTGGTACTACGCGTTCATGACAGGCCTGCACGGTTGTACGAAGCGAGCGCAGCGACGAATCCCGCTGGCAAGCGAGCGCCCCAGGCGGAGCGGGGGTGAACGCAATACGCGTTATTCCTGAGGCGATCGACGCCGCCGCAGCGGCGGAGGCAGCAGCTCCTGTCGGTGGCATCAGCGAGAATCTCGTCGAGATTGCTGCGCAGAAGATGTCGCAGATGATATGAGCGATTTCATAGTATACTACAAATAATACTATGGAATTGGTGCTTGGTGCTGGTGCGTGTTTTTGCACTAGCCAAAGAGCAATCAAGATCTCACTCGTCGCGTGGCCATCGACGTACCCGGCCACAACGAGAAGAGCAAGCTAGCAAGCGCGTCACTCTCCCATCTATCCGTGCAATGAGTTTCCGTCGCGAATCCGTGGACTCCTCGGCCGCCGCCTTCCAAGCCAGGCACAAGTCTGCCCCTTTCACCGACAAGCACCCGAAGGGCTTCGGCGAGATGGTGCTGGTTGAGGGCGTCAGCATCGAGAAAACGTATCTCCTTCCCGTGCCGAACCTCCGCGAATGGCTTCCTGAGCAGGACCACCAAATCTGCAACCGCCGCAAGCTCGACACCCAGGCCGATGACTCGGTGGAGCGTAAGAGCACGTACAACAAGATCATGGGCGAGACTGACGTGATCCTGGGCGACATCCGCCGCAATGACTCACAGGAGGCCGTCTCGCGTGCCTACGTGCGCGCTGGTCCGCGTGAAAACACGTACTTCGACCCCGCCAAGGTCAAGGCTGCTATTGTGACCTGCGGCGGTTTGTGCCCTGGCCTCAACAACGTCGTGCGTGACGTCACCCTCGCTTTGTGGAACCTGTACGGCGTGCGCGAGATTTATGGCATCCGCATGGGCTTCGGCGGCTTCTACAACTGGACCTCAATGGACCAAAAAGAGGCTCCCATTATGCTGACCCCCAAGAGCGTCGCTAGCATCCACCACCACGGCGGTACCATCCTTGGTTCCAACCGTGGCGGCTTCGACCAGGACAAGATTATTGACTTCATGACCACGCACGGCGTCTCGCAGCTGTACGTGATTGGCGGTGATGGCACTCACCGTGCTGCCAACAAAATCTCGGAGGAATGCCGTCGTCGCAAGCTGGCTATCGCTGTCGCCGGTGTGCCCAAGACCATCGATAACGATGTGGATCTTCTGGACCGCAGCTTCGGTTTCAACACGGCTGTCGAGGAAGCCCAGCGCGCCATTCGCTCGGCCAGCACGGAGTCTCGCTGCGTGCCCAACGGTATTGGTGTTGTCAAGCTTATGGGCCGTAGCGCTGGTTTCATTGCTGCACACGCCTCGCTTTCCAGTGGTGACGTGAACCTGTGTCTGATCCCGGAGATTCCGATCGAGCTGGAAGGTCCCCGCAGCTGCCTGGACCACCTTGAGCGCGTTGTGGAGGAGCAGGGCCACGGTGTGGTCGTTGTCGCTGAGGGAGCCGGTGAGGAGCTGCTGGGAACGTCGGTGGAGGCCGATGCCGGTGGTAACAAGAAGCTGCCGCCCATTGGTGCCTTCATGAAGGACCGCATCCAGGAACACTTTGCTAAGAAAGGCAAGGAGTGCACCGTCAAGTACATTGACCCCTCCTACATGATCCGTTCGGTGCCAGCCAACGCTGCAGACAGTCTGTACTGTATGCTGCTGGGCCAGAACGCCGTGCACGGCGCAATGGCAGGTTACACCGGCTTCACGGTCGGGCTCAGCGCCAACCGTGTCGTGTACTTTCCCATTGAAGCCATCACACGCAACTCACCACGCTGCATGGACCCCTTCGGCCGCACATGGGAGCGTGTGCTGTGCCTGACGCGCCAACCCAACACGGCCCACGAGGGCACCATTAAGGGCGCCAAGTCCTCCGACTAAGTCACAAGCAAAGGCGAGTAGCGCCTGAACCGAATGAATGCAGGCGTCGTGCTTGCCAATATATCGAACACCTTTGCGTGGTTAAAATGATCTTCATGATACTGTTCCTGTATATCGACGTAAGGGTGGAGCACAGTTAGCGCTGTAGTGGATTAACATACTTGTCTGACGCTAATCATCGAGTTGAGTTGCCAAGCCATCGCCGAAGTTCGGCGACCGAACACGTCATGCTTGTCAAATGTAGCGCGTCAAACCAATCAGGTCCCAGAAAAGTGATCATTTTTATGGCTAGCGCTTTTTTCGGGATACTTCGTGAGGTAGCTTATCTCCGATGAGGAAAAATTGCTGTTTGAAAAACTCCGATATGCTTTTTATTTACCTCGAGACTAAATTATCCAACGTTTAGCTCACACTTTTCGAGGCGTTCAACTTGAAGTGTGCCTCGCTTCAACTGCGCCAGCTTCGCCACGAGAATCCTGGCTGAAGAATTGGTGAGTCCAGGAGGTTGATGAGGGAGCTGAAGATTTGTTTCCCACCCGCTGTAAACACCTGATTAGAGGAGCTTCAACAAGCTCCAGGATGTTTGTGTTCGCTTGTTAAAGATGTACTGAAAGTGCTAACTTGGAGGACGGCAGAACTATCCGGTTGCAGACTATCGGCACCGGAATCAGGCTCAAACTTGATTGCTCAACAATAGAGCCTCGATTTAGGTGGGATTTTGCAAAAGGAATCGAGTGGTCTTTCTGTCTTTCTGTACGAAAGCCAAGCATCTCTAAATTACAGAACTGTAAGCTAAATTCTTTGGTACACTTAGCTCGCGGATAAGAGGCCCAATTGCTTTGGAATTTCGCGTAAGTGGAGACGGTCACGTTACATGAATGAGTCCACAGCGGGTGGACCTTATAGGATTTACAAACACATTGGTTTTAGCATACAAATTGGAGGGTATTGGCAAACAACTATCCGGAAGTTTACGAAAAAAAACGGGATGCAGTATCATACTGTATTCCAGAAACTGTTATTTGAGGAATCTGAGGTTTGTGGTGAGTACTGATACCCAAAGCCCCCGGATTTGGGCTCTAGAGTAGCCTTTTTTTGGCATGATGCAGCAAAGGATACGAAAAGCTATGATACGCCCATCTTCACAGTGGCTAAATCTGCACCAGAGATCATTCTTCAAACCGCCGCTGGCTACGCAAGACCAGAGTAGGAAGCTTCCTCGACACAAGTAAGATGCTCGCTCGCCAGGCCCTCAAGCAGCTGCGCGCCTCGTCCTCCCTGGCGAGCCGTGGTTTCGCCGTGCTCACTGCTGACACGATCAACCCTAACATCGTCAAGGCGGAGTACGCTGTACGTGGCGCTCTGGTGCTGCGCTCCAACGAGTACGAGAACCGCCTTGCGAACGGCGACAAATCGCTTCCGTTCGACAAGGTTATTCCGTGCAACATTGGCAACCCGCAGGTGCTTGAGCAGGAACCCATCGAGTTCCAGCGCCAGGTACTGGCGCTCGTCAATGTGCCAGGTCTTGTGGACCAGCCAGAGGCACAGAAACTATTCCAGCCGGACGCCATTGCTCGCGCCAAATTCTACATTGACAACATCCCGGGCGGCACTGGCGCTTATGGCCACAGCAAAGGCTCGGCTGTTGTACGTGAGGAGGTCGCACGCTTCTTACAGCGTCGTGACGGCCACCCGGCCGACCCGGAAGACATTTACCTCACAGACGGCGCCAGTCCGGCCGTACAGAACTCTCTGCTGGCTCTCATCCGTGACGAGAACGACGCCATCATGGCCCCCATCCCGCAGTACCCGCTGTACTCGGCGGCCATCGCCATCAATAACGGCACTCTGGTTGGTTACTACCTGGATGAGTCCAACGCCTGGGGTCTTGATGTCAACGAGTTGGCGCGCGCTGTGAAGGAAGCTCGTGATGCTGGCAAGACAGTGCGTGCGATGGCTGTGATTAACCCTGGCAATCCGACGGGCCAGTGTCTATCGGAGAAGAACATTGAGGAGATCATCAAGTTCTGCAAGAAGGAAGACATCCTGATCCTGGCTGACGAAGTTTACCAGGAGAATGTATACGCTGAAGGCAAGAAGTTCTTTTCGTTCAAGAAGGTGCTGCGTGATATGGGCAAGGAATACGACGATGTGGAGCTGATCTCGTTCCACTCGACGTCCAAGGGTTTCACGGGTGAATGTGGTCGTCGTGGTGGCTACATGGAGCTGGTAAACATTGACGAGGATGCCAAGGACCAGTTCTACAAGCTCATGTCGGTGAATTTGTGCTCGAACATTGACGGCCAGCTTGTTGTGGGCATGATGACCAACCCACCGCAGCCTGGTGATGCGTCGTACGAGCGCTACGCTGAGCAGCGTGACGGCACGCTTGGGTCCCTCAAGCGCCGTGCGGAGAAGCTCGTGAAGGCTTTCAACGAGCTTGAAGGAGTCACGTGCAACGAGACGGAGGGTGCCATGTACACATTCCCGAACCTGACGCTTCCGCCCAAGGCTGTTGAGGCCGCTAAGGAAGCGGGTATGGCACCTGACGCGTTCTACTGCATGCAGATGCTGGACGAGACGGGAATTGTAGTTGTGCCTGGCTCGGGTTTCGGTCAGAAGGAGGGCACGTGGCACTTCCGCACCACGATCCTGCCGCCGGAGGATGCTGTGGACGACGTGATCGAGAAGACATCTAAATTCCACGCCAGGTTCATGGACAAGTACAGGTAGATTTGTCAGATTCGAGAGAGAAGTGACGCGATGGACATGTAGTATAGATGTTAAATACTACATGTACGTATCCACGCTTCTGTTAGCTTGGCATCGCGAGCTTCCTGCATTTTGACGATCGACCATGAATGCCACTAGTTGAAGTTTTTGGCAGTTTATGCAATTATCAGTCATTTTAGCGTAATTCGCGAAATTTTAGCAAACGCGTTCAAAAAGCTCGCATTGGATAGCATGTTCCTGCCACTGAAAGAGGACTCTCTGCTCTTCCACTTGTGTCTGTACTATGGAGCGCTCGTGCTGCTGCTAGAGTTGCTGGTGCCGCTTCTGCTCCATCGTCGGGTACGTATTGAGATCCCGCGTTTGCCGTTGCGAGCACCAGTCGTTCCGTTGTCAACGCGCGAGTTCCAGCAGCGGCGACTAGCGCTAAGACAACAGGTGGCTGCGTTGCAACGAGATATCGCCGAGACTCCGCGTCGGTCACCACAGAAGAGAAGGCAGGTATCGAGTACCAGTGCAGCTAAGCAACGATCAGCGGCGTCGTCCACGCTGTCATCACCAACGTCTTCAGTGAAGATGAGGCCGAAATCGCCCCGAGAAACGAGTGGAGTTAAACGGAAAAGCAACAGGAATCAAGAGCAAGGTAGAGATGCACCTGCTGAACCGACGAGGCCAATGCCAATGGCGATGAGTGACTTTCTAGTGACGAGTGCACCGCGCCGTGGTGGATTCTCATTTGACGAGATTCGAGACGAAGTATTAGTTGAAGAGAACAGGAAAGAGAAAGAAGATTGGGTTAATGCGAGGATAGCAAGACGAAGGGAATCGTCGACGTTCTCAGGAAGAAGACCGGTGCGATTAGTGGAAGATGTGGAAAGTGTGGGGTATAATGGACCTAGCGAGGCTGCTACTCGGTTGGAGGCGTTGATTGGGGCGCGCAGGAGACGAAGAGAGTCCGCTCCGCCTCCACATATACCCGCTCCACCTCCAGTCCCAGCTATGAATCATTCACCAGCTCCTGTTTCAGCACCAGTAGCTCCTGCTGCTAGCTTGGAGAACCATTTGGAGCTCTCGGTTTCTCAAGCTCCCAAGCCAGTACAGCAGGAAGCTTCATTACTGGTAAGACCACAAAATGAACAGAAGACCACACAAGACGAAAAGACGAAGGAGTCCGAAAGGAATGAACCCGTTGCTGATTTCCAGGCATTTTGTGCTTCGTTTGCAGTTGGTGGCTCTGCTGCTGCTCTACAAGCTGCAGCGAAGCGGAAACACCACGAAGCGTTTGGATCGGACACTGAGCAGACGAGTGGAGGCGTTGGTATAGCTGAAGAATTCGTTAAAATGCGCAAGTATCCTCGAGTTTCAGAACAAATTACCGAGGAATCAGAGTCTAGTGCTCCGTCTGCAACACTCCAAGTGTTAGACAAGCGCTCACACTATAAGGCACTTGGATCAGAGAACGAAAACGAGATCGACGATGCGGTAGAAGTGCAGCAGATTTTTGAGAAACGTAACCACGATCAAGCCTTTGGAGAGCCGGAGCGACCACAAGAAACGTAAGTATGCATGACCGACAGACATGGTGGAGGTAGCAATATTTAACTCCGAGTGGTTTGTTGTTTGTAGAACACCGCGAATTATCAGACGAATCTCCTTCGGTGACGAGGCCGATGCACTGACAGCGTCACCAAAGGAAGTTCCGAGCGAGCGTTCAACTGGAAAGCGTAAGCACAAGCAAGCGTTTGGAATGTTAGATGATGAAGACGAAGATGCAGAGTGGCGCGATTCTCTCGCTTTTCGTCCTCATCGAATGGATTAACGATACTGGGAAGTACTGGTAAAAGAGAATGCGATGGTATTAACCTTCCAGTTAACGATTTTAATGTTGGAAGATGCCGTGTTAGCAGCATCAAGTCACTGATTCTCTTCCTTCCCAGTCTTCACAATGTAAAATAGCGCGTGAATGTTGTTGTTCTTGATTGCCTTGCGGCACGCTGCGATGACTGTGGACTTTGCATTACCGAAGCGCAACCGAGCAGCGAGTTGGATCATGCTGTTAACCTCCTTTAGGGCATCAAGAAGTGCCTGATGGTTCGTACTTCGCTTTGTATACTCACCCAAAAGCTGATTGTTCAGTGAGAACAACTCCGAGTAGAACCGCCGCATGCGAGGCCTATCAAGACAGGAACATGAGTTAGTCCATGTAAAACCTCACAAAAAAGCACATGCACCAGTGCACCACTTACATGTCGTTGAGAATACGCGAGTCTTCGACGCGGATAATGAGATTCTTGACCTGGTTCGAATCGTCAGCCATTTCACCTGTGAGCTTGAGTCTAATGGCGTTGCTCTCATCAACTCTCACGAGTAGGTTCCGGAATTCCTCCATTTGTTGGGGGAAATCTGCCATTGACTCAAGGTCGCGCCATTCGAGAAATGCGCACATGTGCTGGACAAGTTCAGCCGCTAGCTCCATATTATCCGTTCGAATGACGGTCTCCTGTGGCGCCACGGAGATGTTTAGCCGCGAGTTGTCACGAAGTGAACGGAACATCAAATGCGCTTGAGAACTTTCCGGAATAACCTCTGCTAACACGAAGGCGTTGTCCAGCCACGAATACATTTGCTGTGGCTTGACAGGCGTACTAAACCGCACAGACCCTTCCGGGGTCGTCTGTGGGCCTGGGGTTTCACCCGTAATGTGGTGAAACGCAGCAAACTTTGGCAGCTTGAAGGTGGATTCGAACACATGGAAGGAGGTGTGATGGCCACGTGAGCCTACGAGCACTTTGAAATCGAGACGCGCAGCAGCGTGTTTACTCAAATTTAGTGGGATTCGAACTGTCGGGCTCATAGTCGCTGGACGAACGACCAAAGACTCGCCCTCGAAGATGCCTGCTTCGGACTCAAATACCACCACCATCTTGATAACTGCGTCGTTCTCGGTTGAAACTTCAAGCTCGAAGTTTGTGGCAGTTTTACTTGCCAGCGATCGTACCTTGATGTTGGTGTCGGCACGAATGCGTAGCCCTTTTCCTGATGAGGCAGTACCAGCTTGATTGGCCTCCAATGCCTTAATTTCAAGCTGTAAAGCAGCACGGTGTTTGGATAGTTTCGCTACTTCTTTCTCTTCCTGACTGGCCTTGTCGTTGGTACCAGTGGAGACACCTGGTGCTGGAAAATCACCCGTGGACGTGAAGTAGCCGCGGATTTCTCCGTCTGCCGAACAACAAATAATCTCCTCTTTGCCATCCATGCGATAGTCTGCTGTTACAAGGGCTGCCACAGGAGACTTGAGCACTTCCTTGTGCACGGCTTCTCCGTTCGTTAACTTTCTCGACTCGAACTTGCCATTGCTCCAGCCCATAACTATTTCCTTCTCTCCATCTCCGTCGATATCAAAGCTATGGATCGCCGTTGGAACGTTCTTGGACTTAACACGCCATGCACGGTGTTTCCCCTTGTAGACACCCACCGTACCATTCTGAAGGGCATATCCGAACATTTGCTTTTTAATTGCAGCGAGTGCCAGCACTCGACTTGTCTCCGTGCACTCGAACACCACCTCCTCATTCTGAAATGCTCGGATCTCAAAGTCGTCTGACCCAGCAATAAGCTCATCTCGTCCATGGCCAGTCACGTCGTTCACTGTCAGTGCATGAACATGGTCTCCTGTGACTGTCCAGAAGAGCTCTCCACCGTCCCGACCGAAGCCTTGCAGAGAGCAATTGCCGCCCACTACGACCATTTGCGACGGAGAGTTCGCCGATGAGGCAGTGCGTGGTGCCGGTGCAAAGAGCATGGCACTCACGCCATCGGGCACGTCTTTGTAAAAGATGTCGGAGTTCTTCTCCACATCGTAGGCCAACAGGCTGGACTGCGTGCCTACCACGAGCGTATCGCCCTGGTCTGCGTTCTCGAACTTGCCGGCTGCCAATGCCGTGACCTTGCGATTGATCTTGAGGAAGCGCACGCTGCTTTGTTCGCTGTCATCGGCCTCCGAATTGTCTCGGAAGGTGTTTTCGTTGGGCGAGTGTATGAATACCTTGCCCGCCGTAGTGCCGCATGCCAGTGCAGGATGGCGGCCATCGAACTTCCCCACTTGCGCTACGCGCTCAAGAATGGGCTGATGAAGATGCACCTGGAAAGCAGGCAGCATGGCGATCGAGTAGATCTGATTGAACGAGGCAGTGCGTCGCTTCAAGATCGTGGATACCTTCGCGCAACATTACATTGAAGTTGTTGTTTTAGTGAAGAGCCCACAATACTCGAAGGTCATCATTGAAGTGAGACTTGGAACGCTCGTTTTGTAGTGCTCACTTTTGAATAGCTAGAGCAGTGGCAGCAACCGAGTAGACATCATCTTGAGGATACAGCACCAACAGAAAGCTTGCACGAGCTGAAGCGCAGGTCCCTACATTCTTAATTTTGTGTGTTGAACACGTTGTGCGACATTCCATTACATCTTGGTTCATTGGCGGTCATTACTGCATTGACAATCTTGGACACCATGTCGAGTGCCAAGCCTGTGCTGACGTTCGTGACCGGCAACGCCAACAAGCTGAAGGAGGTGGTGGCTATCCTGGGCACCGACTTCCCTTTTGAGCTACGTAACCAGGCTGTGGACCTGCCAGAACTGCAGGGCGAGCCGGCCGATATCGCCAAGGAGAAATGTCGCCTCGCCACCAAGCAGGTGCAGGGCGCTGTGCTCGTGGAGGACACGTCACTGTGCTTCAACGCGCTAAAGGGCCTGCCTGGCCCATACATTAAGTGGTTTCTAGAGAAGACAGGCCACGACGGTCTTAACAATATGCTGGCCGCCTACGAGGACAAATCTGCCTACGCCCAGTGCATCTTTGCCTACGCGGCGGTGGGTGCCGAGCCCCAGGTATTTATCGGTCAGACGCACGGCAAGATCGTTCCAGCCCGCGGTCCTACCACTTTTGGCTGGGACCCAGTCTTCCAGCCGGACGGATTCGACCAGACGTACGCCGAGATGGAGAAGGCCACCAAGAACCAGATCTCGCACCGTTACAAGGCTCTGGAGGCACTTAAGGCTCACCTTGTCAAGCCTGTAGAGAAGTAAAACTTTGTTAATATGCGGGCAAATGCTCGTGGCTCTAAGCGTAGAACTCAGATGAGCACGTCAAGTTATCCGCATTATCGGAGTTATCATATCGATTTTTTCAGTCATAAAAGTCATTTGTTTTATGTGACATTTGTTTTATACTACAGTATGAGTTTTTTTTTTTTTTAACTTTTCATCACAGCAAATACCTCGTTGTGAGGCAACCATGTCGGTTCCGATCGGGTATATGGAGCCTCCGCACTACATCCAGCCTTCTGCGTTGGCTGAGATCCTGCGCGACCCCAGCACGTCCAGCAAACGGCCCGTCATCATCGACGTGCGCGACACGGATTATGCTGGTGGCCACATTCGCTCAGCAGTGAACATTCCGGAGGACAATTTCATGGACGATGACGACGTGGACGCCCTCGTGGAGAAGTTCAAGAACGAAGATGCCATTGTGTTCCACTGCATGATGAGCCAGGTGCGCGGGCCTTCCTGTGCCAAGAGATTCAAGTCTCGGATGGAGGTAGTGCTAGAAGGAGCCAACCACAAACCCCGCGTACTCATTCTGCATGGCGGCTACGAACGCTTCGGAAGGGTGAGTATTGTTGGGATCATTCGTTATTCAAGAACACACTGCTAAATATTCTCTGCATCTGTGTCATTCGTGGACAGATCTACAAGGACGAGACCGATCTCATCGAGCTGGACGACTAACTTCTTGTGCACCTTCGCACACTCCATTTGCACAGAGACCAACTGTAGACTCTAAAGACGGTAGTCTGCGCGCTTAGCAGGCGGTGATTGCTTCTTCGTGATGTAGTCAATGAGGAACGTCGCCTTGATACATTCGATGTCGTGGGTCTTGATCTTCTTTAACCACAAGTCTCGTGTTGGCACCTCGGGAGGAAACAGCGCCACCACAGGCGCCTCTGGGGTCGACTCCTTTGACAAACTGTCAAAATCGACGGACTTCGTGAGCTGAATCACGGAACCTCCACCAGCGAGGACAATACGCTCACACATATCTCGAGGGGGGACGCACTTCGCATGGATGAAAAAGCGCCATCCATTGAAAGCACCGGGGTGGCCACCAGCGCGCTCCTTACGCCAGTATGCGCACACCTCGGGCCAAATACGCGCGTCGATATCCTTCTTGTCAGATTTGTGGGTTCCCCATTCGTGTGCAGCCTCTTCGAGAAACTTTCCAGCAGTAGAGCAGGTCTCTAGGTATGAAGGCTTCAATATCCACTGGAATGGGCAATACGAACAAGATATAGTTAGTTAGAACCGCACATGATTCCTCGTATGCATTAGTTCAAGACGCACCTTGCCAGCCGCACATCCAGCGATAAACTTTTCCGTCCGCTTGAGTTCACTGCAAATGATGTGCGTGCAGTTGCTGTCAAACTCGCGACTAAATTCACTGACGCTCCCGCCCAAAGAAGTTATTATCGAAGTGTGCAGTATAGCCTGGTCCCGATCACCAGTCAAGAGGAACACTCGCTTGATTTTAGGTGGCGAAGCTGCACGTGTTTTCTTCGTAGCTGCTGGTTCCTTCTTCTGCTTTTTTGACGAAGCTCTGGTCGACTTCGACGTGTCCGGTTCGTCCGAGTCAGCAGCGCTCTTGCGCTTTTTCGCTTTCGACTTCGTAGCAGGCATCTTGGTGTCTTCCGGTTCCTGGTTTGCAGGCTGAATGTTCGCTGCCTCTGTAGTGGCCGATTCGTCAACGTTGCTGTCACTGCTGATACTTATGACAAGCGGGGGCTCCTTTGCGTTTTCGATATCAGTTTTCGCTGCTGGTTCTTTCTCGACTTCTTCCACATCTGCAGATTCTTCCTCAGCAGCATTCCTGCGCGTCTTCCGTTTATTATTTGAAGGTGAGGCAGTATTCGTCGGTGTGTCAAATAGCGTACACGTAACATCTTTCGCACGGCCGGAAGTCGTCGTGGATGATTTAGAGGTTGTCGATGGAGTCGGAGTCTTTCGGTTAGCTGGAGTCTTCTGGTTAGTTGGAGTAGGTACCTTGTCAATCTCAGTGAGAATGCCGTCGACGTCAAATCGCCCTTCACCACCCTTTTTCGCATTCTTTGCACTTCTCACGTGGGGTGTGATCGCTAGCTTCGTTTTGTTTACTATTTCTTCCTCAGGATTGATGTCTCCACTATCCTTCTTCTTCGAACTGTGATCCGAAGCAGTGCTATCTGTATCCCCCGATAGCTCCTTAATGACATTATACCGGAATGCAAGCTCCGGGACATAGTCCCAATTCGACAGGCACGCGAAGATCCACTATTCGAGCCAATAAAAAACACAACAATAAATCAGCGATGGGGATACACTAGGGAGACTCGCAAGCACAAACCTCGTGACTCAAGACGTTATCGAATCTCCAGCTCAACGCCTTCTTGTACTTTTCTCCGGAGGCTTCGTAGCAAAGGAGGTGTGTAGAATGGGCTCGTGAAAGCACCGGAAGCAAACATGCGCCCGTGGCGTGGATAGCGATCTGAAGTTCTTCTCGAGTTGGACTTGATTTGCTGGAATATCCGGACAGCGTAATGACGAAAGACTGCATTCCAGGGATACTTCCAAAGGACTTAACAGGGCGCTGAATCGCCTCGTTGTATGCGGTCGGCTTGCTCACTTGCGAGAGACCTGCCAGAACCCAATAGATACTGACCACCTTTTTGCCTTGACGCATGGCCTCGTTGTACTCGAAGCCACCACGGTAGCGGCACACCACGAACGACGCATTTGTGACCACCTTACCCACAATATCCTGATACGAATCACCAAACGGCACATTCGCCACCTTGGCATCTACTGTCTTCAGCATGTCGGACAACTTTTCTCGCAGTAGTGGGGCAATATGTTGAGCGAGGAGTACTATCGCGCCATGCAGTGTCTTCTTCATTGCCTCGAGTTTCTACAAACAATAAAACCCTATCAGAACCAGTACTCTTCCACCAGCATTAAATGCAACTCCTTACCTCGTTAGACAACCTGCGAACTACCGAAGATCGGTACCGAGTTCCGTCCTTCCCAGTTGATACACCTGAGCACACTTGCTGAGGTTCAAATCTTCCAGGTGCACTTCCGGTTGGGTTTTCCAGCTGCGTCCCTTCTTGCCTGGCTTGATCTCAGCAGCTCCAGTCGGTTTGTAAGCAAAAGGTCCTTCCGGCACTCGACTCTGCCGCATCACACACTCTTCAATCCACGTGTATTTGACATGATGCTGCTTGTCCAACCCCGCTCGTTGTCCCATGTACGCAACGACACAACTGGGCAGTGTATACGACGAGTCCGCCTCATGCGTCGACATATGAAGCCTCCACGCATCGACACTCCGCGCAAGATCTGCCTTTGAGAAGGTAAGCTGTAGCAGTTTCTGGAAATCCTGTTCTTCTGGCTCCATAGTGTCTTTGCTGCTGTCTTCCTGGTGCAGAATGTGTGTAGCTCCAGGATAAACTTCCTTCTGGTCGACGATTTGCCCGCCAAAGTGAGTGATGAGGCCATTGGTGACCTTCCGCGCGTCCTTCCCCATCGTACCCCCTGAGATCGCGAGTGTAGAGAAGACAAACGCTGGGTTGGGATTAAATCGGTCCACAGGGAGCAGCCGCTGCAGAAGGAAGGTACGGAAGACCCACTCGGGTCGCACTAGCGCCACAAAGCGCTCATTTCGCTGCTGCATGAAGTTCTGATAGGCCTTGGGGTGGCACACGATGTGCGTCACGGCGCTGCTGCTCGCGGCGTTGATGTCCTCCAGGATCGTCGCCCCACCATCGAGCAGACACAGCTCTAGCGCGAGCAGTTCCGGCACGTCCAGCTCGGCTGGGTGCACAACGCACCGCAGCGATGCATACAGAGAGTGCTGCCGCATACCGTTTGAGTACCTTCTAGCAGATAATTTACTGGCGCGTCAGATGAGGATAAGAAACACTTTGTATTTTAATAAATCGTTTTAAAAAACGATTTTTTTTTCCGACGCGTGATGTTCAAATCGAAATTTTACTTTTCGGCCAAATTCAAATTTCGCATCATTCTTTTTTGCCACATTTGACTGCCACAATGACCAAACAGACCGTGGATCTGGTGATCTTCGCAGCGCACGTGATCCCGGTTGTTCCTCGCGATGTGGTGCTGCATAATGCTGCTATCGTAATCGAGAAGACTCGGGTCGTGGCGTTGCTGCCGTGTGCAGAAGCTCAGGAGCTCTTCGTCGGCGCCGAGGAACATCATTTGGACCGCCACATAGTGATGCCAGGGCTCATCAATCTGCATACGCACGCACCCATGACGCTGTTCCGCGGCCTGGGGGACGACAAGATGTTGCATGAGTGGCTAGCCGAAGACATCTGGCCAATGGAGAAAAAGTTTGTCGGTCCGGAGTTCGTACGCGCCGGAATGGCCCACGCCGTGGCCGAGATGATCCGTAGCGGGACTACGTGCTTCAACAACATGTATTTCTTCCCGAACGAAATCTGCCGCGTATTGCAGAGCACAGGCATGCGTGGAGCTGTGGGTCAAGGTGTCATGGACATGGCGTCGCCGTATGGCTCGGGTCCGGACGACTTCTTGGCAAAGGCGGAACCTTACCTAAAGAAATACGCCCCTGGACGCCACGACCTCATCACAGTCACTATGGCGCCCCATTCGCCTTATACAGTAGGTGAACAAACACTGCTGAAAGTGGATGCATTAGCAAGCAAGTATAACGCACGGATCCACATCCATTTGCACGAGACGGAGGCGGAATGCAGTGACAGCGAGCAGTTGAACCGAGACTCCATGTGCTGCCACAAGAGCGACCAGAAGCTCCGTCCACTCGCAAATTTCAAACGGCTAGGTTTACTGTCGGAGAGGCTTATATGTGCACACATGACTCAGCTAACTGACGAGGAGATCGACGATGTCGCTCGAGCTGGAGCTCACGTGGTTCACTGCCCGTCGTCCAACCTCAAATTGGCATCGGGAATTGCACGAGTGACTGAAATGCTTCGTCGAGGTGTGAACGTGACGCTCGGTACTGACGGCGCGGCGAGCAACAACTCGCTCGACATGTTAGTAGAGATGAAACTTGCAGCATTGCTGGCGAAAGCGGAGTCTCATGACCGCACGAGTGTTTCTGCTGCTGAGGCACTGCAGATGGCTACATTGAATGGTGCACGGGCACTTGGACTTGAGCATGAGATCGGATCCATTGAGGTGGGCAAACGTGCAGATATTATCGCTATTGAGTGCGACAGCATCGAGATGCTCCCCATGTACAACGCAGTGAGTCATGTAGTCTACGTCGCTGGCCGTGAGCACGTTTCGGATGTGTGGATTAACGGGAAGCAAGTGCTGCGAAGCCACAAACTTACTACAGTCGATGAAGAAGAAGTGAGGAGGGAAGTGCGTAAGTGGACTGCACGCATTTGCAACTACCACAACGAGGTGCAGACGAAGGAATGCTAGAGCTCGTCTATGAATTTGAATTTTCTTGTACAATGGACTCACCGTATTTCTTAGCGTCTCACTTCAATACCAGCTTATTGATTGAAGCATCAGCAAACTCCACGCGACGCGAGAGAACTTCTTTGACACGGGCAGCGGGTAGTGTCCAAGCTACGCCACGACGTCGTCGACCGTACACATCCAGTACCTCTTGAGGAGTGTCCACATTCAACACTTCGGCGAGTTGGGTTAAAGTCGCAAACGCTTCGCGCACTTCTTCGCCGGCGCCACCTTCGCCGCTGAGGAATGTACTGATGACACGAATATCTTTGTCAAACTGCAGCGCACCAAGCTGGTTTACCCGTGTAACTTTAGAGAGAAACCAGGACTCGAGTTGGGTAGCAGAATACAACGCAACTCCGTGAACAATAGCACGATAGTTGCTACGCGAGAGACTCCCTCGAAATGCAGCTAGCAACGACCGAAGCCCACGCACAAACGCATGTGCAAACGGGTCGTTGGCCTCGTTGAATGTGAACATAGCCTCGGTGAGCTCGTACTGGACAGGGTTGCGCCTCGAGGATGAGGATCCCGCCGACGAAAGAGCTGTAGCGGATGCAGCTAACGCCGACGATGATAACAAACTGTTGAGATAAGCGGCAATCTTGGGCTCCAAGAGCTTGAGGAGCTTTTTACGCGAAGCAAGAAGTAGTTGATTCAGTTCAGCTGATGCGTCTTCCAGTGCATTCAAACAAGTCATAATGTGCTGCGGCACCTCGGGGAAGGCTTCGGGCAACTCGTGCTCGAACTCGCCCTTCAGTTGTGCGATGTATCCAGACGTAACCTCCAAACTGTTAAGTGTGACATCAGGAGTGTGTTCCTTCCGCTGCTCTGGAGTCTGCCCACCATTTTCACCAGTATTGACGCCACCCACTGGTCCAACAGTTTTGCTGAGCTTGGCAAATTGCTGCTGCATCTGATCACGTAACTGGGCAGAGGAAGCCGCTAATAAGCTCGCAGCATCAGCTCCGGCGGCACTGTCCATCTTGGCTGAAGTAGTCATATGTCGTATCCGGCTTCGCATTGTGTCTCCAACGACATCACGTAGCACCGTATTAATCATGTTAAGAACTCCAGCAGCACAGTCGACGTGGCCTGTCGCTAATGCACGCAGTCCAGAGTTACGTGCCACGTAAAAGATTTCATCAATGGCCGATGAAATGGGAAAGCATGCTAGGCTATTGTCGCTGTCGACTCCACCGACTTCAGCCTCTCCCGAGCTCCCGTCGCCGGATGAAAAGTGGAGCTCTTCCCACTGGAATGCTTTACGAGAAGCTTCGTTCAACAGTGCGTTTTCGAAGAAGCAATAGAACCCTGCCAGCTCCTGGACAGTTTTCCCCAATTCACTTTCTTGGATAGGTGGCAATACCGGAACGACAGGGCCTTTGCCACCACTGCCGTGCTCACCCTTTTCAATCTCTTCATCGTTATTTGTTTCATTTTCTTCTTCGTATGTCACTCTTGAGCGCATGAAGCGTTCGTAAGTCTGCGTGTGTTGAATGACCAGCGCCATCTCATTCAGTTGCTCGTTCATGACAGCTACACCATCATCCCTGGGACTTCCAGGTGTCGACTGCATCCCACGGTTACTGCCACTCCGATTTGACGGTGACAACGGAGTCGAAGTCGGTGATACAGGCTGCTCTCCATTCGTAATCCGTTCGTGAAATTTCCGCTGCGCCATGTACGCGTTCAGCACTGCGACCGCCGACTGTTCTCCCAATATATATAACTTCCCCACGAACCGATTGGGTCCATGAACTCTCTCAAAGCACTGCGACAACAGGCCAGCATGTTGCTGTGCTTCTTGTGCCACTTGGTTAAACACTTCAGCGAGGTGTGTAATGAGTTCTTGTGTACTAAACACACCAACTCGTGGATCCCTTTCCCTCTTCAACGTCTGCTCCAGTGTCCTCTGTATATGTTCTAGCAGCATCACCAAGCCGTGCTCCTCGTAGTCTTTTCCTACCGCCTTAAACAGCGGTGCGTACGTCTGCACCTGGCGAGGATCGCCAGCTCGTAAGCCCTCCTCGAACGCTCCTTCAATGACTCCTTTGAGGTCGTTCTCAATGGTATCCACCCGTAGCTTGTCCGCAACGTCCAACGGCATCTGCTGCTCGATGTTTTTCAGCGTCTGGAGGAACGTGGCGGCCTCCGGATACCTCTGCTGCTGCATAGCGCGTCGGATACCCGCCAGCGCGTTACGCAGCGTCAGAAGCTGCGCCGATTGCTCCAGTGCCACTCCCAGACGCGACTGAATCACGTCCAGGCGTCGAACCTCGCGCGTCATCTTCTCAGCCACGTCATTTGCATTCGCGACACGCTCTACGACGGCGCCAGTCTGCGCACAGAGCACTGTCACCTCGGGCGTGAGTTGTCGCAAGGAGCGCAACGATCTCTGTGCCGCCGCCTTCTCGGGCGCTGACGGCGACTTAGCGAACGCGAGAGAATCTTCACGTAGCGACTGCTGACGCTGCTTGATGGCCGCGAGTTGCGCTACGAGCGCCTCGTGTTGCTCCTGCTTCCAACGAGGACCGCCCATGGGATATGAAACTGAAGTGAAGAGTGATTTCAAATACGTGAAAGGGATATTATGTGGGCCACAGCATTTGGAATAGATATTATGTGGACCACAAGTATAACCTTTAGAAAAGCATCACTTGGGAGCTTGACAAGCATGGCGGAGGTGGCGGTGTATGTGGAGCTGTGTACGCGCCTGTCGCGCTTCGTGCAGCTCCAGCCGAGCGACGGTCATTGCAAGGAGCTACAAGAGGTTCTAGACGAGGTGGTGGCGTTATATGAACGCGTGGATGTACTGGAGCAGCGCGCTGTTAACACCTCGTTGGTGGGATTCTCAGCCATGGACGATCTGGTGTTGCTCTCGTTGCACAAGCTACTTGGATCCTTCGTGATCAGTGCATCGTCTGTGGCGCTTCAAGAGCGAGTATTTAGGACACTTACACACGTGTTACGGCGTTGCAAGCCTCGCATGCGAGGTTTTCAGCCCGGACAGGTGCAACGCCGGCTAAGCTTCGTGCAAAGCTGTGTGCTGTACTTACCATCGCCACCAGAGGCTGGCGGTGATGGAGAAGGTATTCCTGGAAGTGTGGCACTTTCTTCTCAGCCTGAGGAGTTGAGGCTTGTCATTTTGCAAAGTCTACGGGAGTTATTGGATGATGAAGGCCAGGAGAAGCAGGTGATACAACTTCAAGTGGACCAACAACACTTTTTCGCGTACTTAGTGGCGGCACTATTGTATGTGTCACAACGGGATCGATGTCGAGAAGCTGCATTGCAAGCGATTGAGGTGCTGAAATGCGTGTTGTTGTTCATTCGTGACCCACAAACCCTCCGACAATACTTACCTGGGGTCGCTGCTGGTTTATGGAAGAGCGCAAATGCACCACAACAGGCGTCCAAGGTGATTGTTGCAGCATTGGACTGTTTAGCTGTAACATTGGATCTATGTATCGCTGATGACCATTTGCCAGGAGACGGGGAGGTGAAGCAACAACAGCAGAGATTCACGCTGGAAGCCATTCGACAATCCTTTGAAACGCAGAAGGAGGAAACAGATCAACCGGACGACTTACCTTCAAGTAAAAGCGACAAGTGGCTGGAAACCACAGCTATCAATCTAGATCTGCTGCTTTCCCGGATGTTCGCTGCCAGTGCCACAGCCGTTGCTGCTGGGACCAGTACCGGGTTACCTCGCTCTTCTTGGCGAGTCCGTTGTGCACTTGCACGGCTGTGCGGTACAGTGATGCTGAGATGCCGGCGAGCGCTCCAAATTTCCTTTTTTCGATGCTATGATGAACTTCTGGTTCTTCGAGGTGATGCAATTGCAGAGGTCTCTAGCGAGGCAGACGCCGTGCTCCAGAAGCTACAAATGTCGGCGTTGTCTTCAGAAGAGCGTTTACGGGTACTACCGGAGATGGGAGATCGTTTCCAAATGCTGCTTTCTACTCTGGTGCTCAAACTTGAGACGGAGCATGAAGCAACCAAAGTTCATTTTGTGCGCACTCTTCGCGGATACCTGTCGTTTCTAGGGTCCAGCCTTACTCCGTATCTTGACGCGTCCATGGAGAGTATTTACTCCTCTCTCTGTCGCGTGGTAGCATTCGCAGCGCTTGATATTGAATTGGTCGTTCATCAAAAAATTCCAAGTGCACCTGCGGAGGACAAAAGCAACGACAAGACTGCGCAAAATGTCGTGGTCTCGCAATTTCAAAAGCGGTTGCGCTACTTCAACGAGGAAGCTTCAGTTCAAGAGGTCTTCGCGATGTTGCGCGACGTCGGCGCTGTCTCGACCCCAGCAGGTTTCATTGACAGCGCTTTCATGCTATTATCTGAGGGAGCCACAGAAACGGGGAGTGCGGAAGTTATGCTAGTTTTAAACGAGTTCCTACGCGCTTACTGTTCGAAGAAAAAGGACAGCAATGATTCGATGGATATCCATCTTATTGGCCGAATTTTGGAGGATTTATTGGCGCTGGAGGGTTGGGAAGAGCGCACTTCTCATGGTTCCAGTAGAGCACTTGTATATCAACGTGCGCTTATGGTTGAGTGCATTGGTGTGTGTGCAGAAATTATTAGCGCTGAGTTCAAGTTATTCCTGCTGTATGTGCTGTATCCGCTAGTTGAACAATTGGGGTCGCAAAGCGTTGAAGTGGAGCGAGCGGCATTGGCTGCGTTGGAGAAGGTCTACTTTTTCACGGGCTATGAATCCCTAGAGGAACTTTTCCAGTCCAACATGGACTACTTCGTGGATTCCTTATGTGCTCGGCTTGAGCAGTTAGACGCGTACCCGATGACTGCGTTCGTCGTTGAGGCACTACTGCGGCACACTCGATTGGCGTCTTTGCCTTTGGTCAACGAGGTGGCATCGTCACTTCTACGTAGCATCGATTTGTACCAGGACTCGCCTTACGTTGATGGTTTGTTACGCGCACTCAACAATCTGCTTAGCAGTATTGCACGTGATGCCCAAGAAAATGAACACAAGACAGTACCAACACTTGGAGACGACGAGGCTGAAAGACAGACACCACCTCGCTCGCTTTTGAGCAATTTTATTCGCGAGATGAAGGTATTGGCAAATGATGGTATTGATGCTCTCGACGTTGAAGTCGAGGCCGACAAAGAAGAGAAAGAATCAGCCCCTGAAGCAAGTGTGAAAGGTGCGATGCCTCTGGAATATGATGAAATCCAACCTGACAGCCAAGAGGACGAACAAGACAAGGATGAAGATGTTTCGGGCTATCGGACACTCGTCATTGATATCATGGACAGATGTGGTTACTTTTTGGTGGAGTCTGACCCTATCGCGTGTTGTCTGGTATTATCTTTGATCGAAGAAGGCGTACGATTCCTCTCTCATCATCAAAAGCAGCTTTTGCCTCTTGTCGCTCGGATGTGGCCCGAATTGCTGCCTCGACTACGTGTGGAGAATCGCGCTATCGTAACTGGTACAGTTCGTGTCATCACCACATTTGCAGAAACTGCTGGAGATTTTGTTGGAGGCCGCTTTGTGGAGAGTGTGTGGCCAGTACTGCGGTCTCAAATGCAGTCTATCAATTTCGGTACTGATGCGAAGTCATCACAACTCACACGTGCCATGCTACTGATTTCAAAGCCGCACGATGAGGCTGCAAGTGATGCTGGTGTCGAAAATGAGCTTAGCGCTGTGAGTGGAACACGGAAGACGCAAGAGATTCGTCAACTGCTGGCGATTCTAAAGTGTCTAACCATAGTTTGCCAACAATCGGAGACGGTGACACGACTTGTACCTAAAATCACGCGCGTCTGCTGTAAATTCTTGAGTCACGCAGCGCCACGGGAAGTTGTGCTGCAAGCCTCGGAGCTCTTTGCAGCATTAGTGCAGCTGAATGGTGACGAAGTGTTCTGCATCGTAGCAGCACTAGCCGATTGGGTGCCACCAGCACCGCCAAGTGTACGCTTCGCGAGATATGAACCATACGCAGTTCAGCGCTTCTATCGAGGTCACTTGTCAGGCCTCAGGGAGCAAACCAAGTATTGCCGAGACAACGCAAGCATCTTGATGAAGCGTTTGTTCAGTTAGTAAGCACTCAAGATATAGAGGATAGACCGTACTATCGTTCATTAGAACATGCATTAGTCTGTTGAACTGCTTGCTACTCGCTGTATCTAGACGTCTGCGTATATTTGCATTAGTCTAGCCAAACATACCGCCCATGTTACCGGCATATGCCATCGGTCGAATCGGGGGGTGCTCCTATAGAAATTACATAATATCAATGTAAGAAACGCATTCCTTGATACAGAATAGCCAAGACGATCGTACCACTGCGACGAATTGCGTGAATCGGGGCTGCATGTCCCTCTCAAAGCGAATGAACGCGCCCTTGTTGCCCATCTGGTCGCAGTAGTTCGGTGCGCTGAAAACAGTGATGCACTTTCCGTCGTGCTCTACTAAGTAACCTTCGTCCTTGACTTCGTGTGAGCGCACCAACAAGTCTGCAATTATAACAATTGCACATTAGTTAGAAGGCCAACACATGAACAGCACAGCGGATCTTACCGAGGTTGTTCAGCTCCAAGAAAGCCTTCGTAACATCGGGACCGAAAGACAGACCGATGCCGCGTTTACTGGGACCACGACCCGGGAATGGCTGCGGGTCGCTCCACATCAAATCGCTCATGAGTCCGCTCTCAGGAGGTTCACGGTTGCGGTCGATCTTCTCGATATCAGCCAGCGTCACGTTCTCTTCACTGAAAAGACCGCCGTGCACCACCAGCACCTTGTTTTCAATCACAGCTGCAAGAGGCAGCCAGTTGAACACCTCGGTAAAGAGCTGCATGACTGTCTCGTCGTATTTGTGCTTCACTTCGCCCTCAAAGCCGTAAATCTTGTTCATGTTCTTGGACTCGTGGTTACCACGTAGCAGATGCACATGCTGCGGATACACGAGCTTCATAGCGAAGAGCGTCATAACCACCTCGAACGAGAACGAACCACGATCAACGAAGTCACCATTGAATAAATACGGGTTGCTTTCGCTCGGCAGCCCGTTCAGAGAGAAAATATTGCACACGTCATAGAACTGGCCATGGGTGTCTCCACACACAGTAAAGTGTGCGTCCGGATCGTCTGCCGGCAGAGAAACACGCAGCAGTGACGGGAGGGCGCACAACATCTCCTTGAGCTTGAGAAGGATCTGGATCACGAACTTGCGGTGCAGGAGCTTGCCGCGCTTAAAGCGGTCCATCAGAGCCACAATAAAATCGGGTTTGGTCTTTGACACGTCCTCTGGAAGGCATGGGCCATCATACGACGGATCTACGACCAGCGAGTTGACGTCGATGGTCTCCGAGAGCGGCAAGTTGCGCTCTGATTGGATGGCAGCCGCAAACGCCGCCTCTTTGATGATTTTCTCGCAGAGCTTGAGCTTGGTGCGTGCATCACGGTCCTGAGGCTTCATGCGCACCACGAGACGGAAATCTTTGACTGCCTTCTTGTGGTGGCCAAGCGCAAGTTGCGCCGAGCCGCGGCGGTAGTACGCTGTGCGCAGTTACAACAGCGTTAGCTTCCGTAATTACAGCCAATCGCATCGCAACATCTCCAAACCTTTGATGTAGCTGGGCTCTAGCTCAATAGCGGCCGACGAGTCGTCGATAGCCAAGCCATAGCTCTCGCTCTTGACGTGTGCGGCTGCACGGTTGGCGTAAAAGATCGCGGTGGGCACCAGCTCGATAGCCTTCGTGTACAGCTCCACAGCCTGCGCGAACTTAAAGTTTGCTAGTGCCTCGTTGCCCTGCACCTTAAGCGCGTCAGCACGCGCGCGCGTCTCGTCGGACACGGCGTGGGGTGCGCCCTCCGTCACGCTGATGGTGGCCATCGCTTCCTTGGCTTGAGTGCTCTCAGAAATGGCCCTAGGGACAAAAATTCCTCTCATTCGTCATTTCTCCTATCATATGTCATGATATCAGACGTGGATCGCGACTCAAAATTTATTGGAAAATCCGGCGATGGAGGCACCGCTACCCGTGACGGTGTCGGCCGTGGTGCCGTCTCCGGCTAAGCCCAAGCGCTCGCTGGACCTGCGCGACATGATGGACGAACTACCGATGCTGGCGACGCTGAAGGACCAGAAGTGGATGGCCAGACTGCCGCGTAATATGTTTCCCAAGCCCAAGAAGAGTCCACGCGACAGCGACAGCTCCGATACAGACACAACGCTCCTCTCACCAGGGTTTTTGCCGACTCCACGGGTATATTACAATCGCTACTTTTTTTTACTATGTAGTATGTTGATTAGACTGATAATTAATGTGTGTAGACGGCCAGAGCCATGTCGGTGTTAGTGCCTCAGCCGAATGAGGAGGTGTTAGAAGCACTGGATGCGCGATATTTTACGGAGAGCTTCGACCCAGTCGCACACATGCTAGTACGCTGTTAATATTTCTTGTTGAATTGGTGTGAATAGGACGCTAAAAAAAAATGGATGGAGTGAATAGGAGAATCTTCCCGAGATCAAGGACGAGTTGAACGTGTTCATGCGCACGGAGATCAGCGCGGTGGACGTGGCCAAAGACGTTATTTTGACCAAATTGCAGGACGACGTACGCGCGAATTACAATGCGTTGATTCAGGGCATGAAGGTGGTACAGGACGTGGACCTTGACTTGGTTCGTGCGCAAATCCACGTCAAGAACGGACGCCGCCTGCTTGCAACCGCTAAACACGACCTCATTATGAGGTACGATGTTGCAGAGTATTTTGCTGGTGTGGACAGTACCAGGATACTAAAATTCTGTGCGCATTGATTGATGTGAAGTTCCCTGGAAATTGTGAAAACGAAACGAAACCGGGATCGTGTTAGCGAGGTAGGACGCATTTTTTGTGATCCTGATCGTTCCTGTATATGTACTCACTGCTGTTATTTCGATCAACAGATTGTCAATTTGGGCTCACAAATTGTGCACTTCTTCGAAGAAGAAGAGAAGATGAATCGTGCTCTTCAAGCGCACCACTTCATTACTGCTGTAAGTGCATTTTATACCTGATCCTTAAGTAAGTGCTGCTCTGAATTGACTTGGATGGCAGGTGGACATATGCGTTGGATTAAGGAAGGGACTGGCACGGGAAGAGATGCATGGGCTTAATATCTTAGATGAAATCCGACTTCGGATGCAAGACTTCATTCCAAAACTACGGGAACAGTTCGATCAGGTACGTTCGTTGCATTTGTCTTGGACATACCTGCGAAATGATAGCTTATCACGCTTACCTTGGCGTTTTTGTTATTGTGACAACTTAGTCTTTGCGAAAAGTTGCGGGACAGTTCGACCCTCTTGAGTACAAGGAGCTACTGCAGGCCTACATTACACTTGCAGACCACTCTGAAAACCTCGGTTTCGAGTTCTCATCATACACGTTGAACGACGTGCTATCCAAAATCCCGGAGATCATCGTACGCTCGCTCGACGACATGACCAGTGAATTTATGCGCCAGGTATTTGAGGCCGTATCGCCAAAGAAGCTCAAGCTAGCAAAGAAAAATACCTTAGTAGAAGACAACAACGGAAACAAGAGCGGAGAACCAGTGGATGCAGCACTAACGCCGGCTTCCCAAACAGTTGAGAACGTCAAGCGAGGCTATGAACACCTCACCGACTTGATGCACACGTATTATCTATTGGTTCAATGGCATCGTGATCCGTTCAACCCGCTCAACGACGACATCGCGTACCTTCACCGTTGCGGAATTGACGACGATGACGACGACGATGACGATGACAGCGAAGAAGAAGATGCTCATGATGAGAAGGGGTATCACCATTCTCACTCCTCAAGGCACGGACATGGAAGTGGCAGGTTGAAGGGGCTAGAGTCTCCATCGCAGCGCTCGAGAAATGGCTCACTAGGACATTCTGGGTCGCAAAAGTCTTTATATGATCAAGTTCTTTGTGATACGGGGATGACCTTGCTGAGGTATCGCAAAATTGTGTGGGAAAATATTCAGCATAACGTGGTGGAGATGATTGAGAAGCTGGACACGACTTATGGTAAATGTCGAGACATGAAAATGAGGGTGGCTTTGGGTTTAACGATATTTGGTGATTGTGTGAATTATTAGGTTACAAGATGGAGCACATTATTGCGCTTTCACTTGCGACCACGACGTTTACTGAAATTGGAGAGGAGTTTACAGGTGCTCCTTCGTCAAAGTAAGTATCGTAGAGCTGTTGTACGCTTTGATCTCTGCCAGAAAATAATGTGTTTGTATTGACCCTATTGCACAGGATTCGATCAGTTCTTCGGGTCAAGTGTGAGCAGTATCTGCACGCCTTTCATGACGATAACATCGAGTTGGCTCGAATGCTTCTGGACACAGAAAACTGGCTTCGCGTCACTGCTTCGACCACTGACGGCGACGATAATGCGGGTCTACTTCGGCTCATCGAGAAGCGAAGTGGATACTACTTTGAGCGGAAAGTTCGTGGGGATCTTGCAGTCAACCCTATTTATTCAAGACGCGTGTTTCCTTCTTTCCACAGCGAAGGAAATCCGTTTAGCGCGGCGAATTCGATGGAGTGGCTGTCGATGAAGCAAGGCATCCGCTTCCACCATGAAACGATTGGCGTAAGTAATGGGGACAAAATGTCTCCACAACTTGATGATAAGCTAGAGCTCCCGGTCATGGATCCGAACGAGTCCGAATTTGTGTTGACCTCTTCGAGCCTCGCAGGCTTTGTCCGGTACGTGCAAAATTTGACATAGATTCTACTAGGCTCGGTAGGGCTGACCATCGTTGTGGCTGTTAGACTCTGCGGTGTTTACCTGAAAATGATGGAACACCTCCCTCATATTGCCTGGGACGTTTTCCGCTCGCTGATTAATCTGTTCGAGTTTAACTTGTACGCCGTCTTCACCAACTTTATCCCTGCAGACGACATTACACAGTTATTCCGGGGTAAAGGTGGAGGATTAATCAAAAATGATGCTACGCGGTGGAATGGACTGCGCTCTGGGATTTGTCGTATTGCAGATGAAATCAATGCTGGCGAAGTTCTGCTGCAGTCGTCTGCTCTCATTTACCCTGTTGCGAGCTCTGATAAAGGACGATTGGACCAGCAGAACTCGCCGATGTCGAGGAAAGTTACTCTGCGCAAGGTGACTAGAACTCCAACCGCCATGGACGACGCTGATGAAGGCAGTTTGTATGCCTTGACCGAGCGATCAATTGCTTGCGAAGCGATAGTCGGTCAGTCCAGACTGCTGAACGCAATTGAAGACCTCGCCCGATCCTATCTTCCGGACCGATATCTCTGTCTCATGGATGAAGTATACGAGCGAAATCGCACGATGGCACGAGAGCTCCGTAGCTTCATGTACAGTACGATTGCAACGAAGCTTGTGGACGTCCATGGTCTTATGGATTCCGTTGCAGCAGTGCCGTGGGATATCCCATACATCAGTGATCAGCACAACGAGTACATCGTGCACTTGGTGCAGAAGTGTGGAGAAGCGTGGGGAGGATTACAGATTCTAGCTGACGGATCTATCCCGATGGACGCCCGGGAAGATATTTGGGCGGAAATGGTGCAAATTATCATGGATACACTGTTGCAGGCGTTCTCTACGGTGCCCAAACCTACTCCACAAGGCCGCGCTCTGATGTTGCTTGACTTACATGCACTCCAGAATGGACTTGACCTGATCAACCACATTAGCTCTCGAACGGTACCTCGTGGACGGGAGTACGTTGGTAATTACATCAAAGCGTTCTACTACGACGAAAACGAGCTTCTCGAATGGGTCCAAGCTAACAAGGTGAGTTTCAGTGGCAGCAGTGCCACTTTTGTACTATCCTGCTGAGCTAACCATGTTTGCATGGATGCAGACGTTGTACTCGAAGGTTCAATTCGCGAATCTACTCAAGAACGGCATTGGATCGACACTTGAGATCAAGAAACTGCGCGAGATCGTGTTGAAAATCGATGCGATGATCAGTTGATGCAATGGACATTATTTCTTATGAATATTTGTACAGTTAAAAATTGATGTGGCAGCTTCTATCGCCACCGTTCGTGTAGATGAATCTCGTGGGACGCGGCTCATTTTGAGTTGCTGCACTTGTCTAGGCTCATGAAGCTGTAAAAACTTCTGAGCTGCTTCGATCACGGGTCTGCGTTGCCCAGAGAATTTTTTTAGGGTCTTGATTCTTCTGCAAAACTGGCGCGGGGTGCCTTGTTTACCGCGCTAAGGCGACACGCAGTTCTTGCTGCACCTGTGGCTGCGGAACAACCTCGACCACCAGGTGCAGCAACTCTTCCGCTTCCTTTTTGCCGAAAGTTGAGCGTAGATAGTCTACAAACGCCTGACCACTCATTTCTTGGTTTCCAAGTGCCTTGGCTGCCTGCTTGAATTCACTCACAGTGTGCACGTTGCCGTTCGAAAGAGTATTTACCCGCTCTAGAATTTGTCGGTTGGCTTTCTTCCGCGAGACGCGTCCAGGGATGGCAGGGTCACTAGCACGGCCGCCTGAGCTTCTCTGACTGCTCGAAAAAGTCTGCAGTTTTTGCTCTGCTAGCGCGAAATCCGCAAGAGAAAACAAACGAGAGAAAAAAAATGAGTAATCCTGTAATTAATAGTGCAATAACATCATCATATTTTCCACGTACCATATTTCGTGGATCCGTCATCTTCTTGCACACTGAGGCGGAGATTCTGACGCTGTGGTCTGTTCTCATCCACGTCCTCAACGTCGACTGATTCAACCGAAATGCTACCGGCAGCACATAGCGCTTCACGCTTCTCCGAACTCTTGATTGAGCGTACAAAGCGTCGTAGAATCCACAGCACAAATTCCGGGTCGTATTCCTTGTGTAAAAACTCCACAAACGGCTCCGCAGCGGCAACAGGGTCGTTTTCCTTGCGGAAAACACGAGCACGTTTCTTAAACCGCTTAAGCTCGTGTGCTCCGCCGCGTAGAACGAGTTCCTCCTCGATCTCCATCCTGCACATCTTACGTCGCGAGCTGATCTTATCTCCCGCGCCAGTAGCACTGACATACGACGCACGGTTGTCTGAATCCGTGGAATCGCGCAGCATTCCTCTGGACGACGAAAAGACTCCCGACATGTTCATACTGGGCGAAACCAGTCCGCTGCAGTCCATGTACAGCTCAGCGCCGATAAAATCGGCCAGTACCTTGCAACCTCCGCGCTTGGAGAACTCCACTACGTTCGGGAAGAGCATCACTCTTTGCATGTAAAAGTCCAGCTCAGCACGACGCTTTTCAAGGAAACTGGACGTCTGGTCCTGGTGGAAGAAGGCGCGTACACGGTGACCAGGAGCAAAGGCTACAGTAACCATCATCTTGGAGAATGGGGAATTGTGAGTCGCACGCATCTGGTTGTCGAACGCCTGGAATTCCTCGTACGTTTTCCAGAGACTCCACTGCATCACCTCCACAGGCTCGTCATGCTTCTCCCGCGTTTTATTGAGGCGGCAGAACAGCTCGTACTGCGGCAAATCAAAGAGAAGGAGGTGGTTAGCGCAGTGTTTCGTGGGTTTGTATGGGACTTTCGATTAACGTACCACGGCTGGTTCTCCGTTGGTCTGAGTAGCGTTGCGCACGTGCAGCTTGAGCGGCGGCACACGCAACAAGAAGTCGGGCGGCGTCATAGCGAAAGGAGAGGGGGTAAAAGGCGATGCTGGGGCTCTCTGGGGACCGCTAGGACAGTCGCTTTATGAGAGGGAGCGCGTGCAAGGGAGACGGATGCGAGCCGAGCGAGGTGGCGACACCGGATGATTCGGCGTTCGCCCGAAACTCTGTAAATTTGGTTTTGGCTTGGAAAAAGAGTCAGAGCCGCTTTTACTAGGATTTCGTAAAGGGATCCTTTTTGCCGAAATTCAACTTGGAAGTCAAAATTCGGGATCCGCTGCCTCAAATGTCTCGGTGGCAGCCACTGCGAGTGGCGTCCCAGCTCATCAAGTTTACCACAGCACGGAGGTCGGTAGGTCGCGGAATATGAGCGTGTCTCGCAGAAATCGATACGTTAGATACATTTTCCATGGTGGCGAGCGGAGCTCTTGGATTAAGTCGATCGGCACCAGCCGCTGCGCTGACGAGTGTCCATCTGCCTTACGAAGACCAGAATTGGACAGTATATGCAGGTGAGCGCGCCAATGCGGCATCGGTGCTCTTGGCTGGCGTGCCTCCGCGAAAACAGACCACGACATTGTTGACGCTGGATGATCCCTAATTTTGATGACCCTGCCGTACCAATAGATATATTCACCGCAAGCCATCTATCATTTGTACGCACCCAGCACTGTGGCAATTCTCGCTTCGCTATCAAAGTTTGCCTCAAACAGACAGGCACTGCGAGAAGGAACCTTCGCATCGCTTTCTTGTTTCGATCTTGGTCGCTTCCGGGGCGTTGCTAACCTCTTTTTTGGTGATCGCGGATCCATTCGTCAGCGAATCGTCACTCTGCTGCAACCACGCTCGAGTGAAAGCTTCGAGGCTCGAAGCTCGGTGCGGTCCTACTTAGACGACAGGAGAACTTCGAGTATCTGCGAGTAATAGCTGGACAACAGCTTATCGCATAATTCGGTTAGAAATAAAGGCCAAGAACACTACCATCGTATTGCAAATACAAGCACAAATTCTAGAGCCTGGAGATGTTATTCATTCGAATCTACACAACGTCTCCAGTGACGACTCGAGCTTGACTGCACATGCTCTCACAGCGCAGCACATAGATTTGATCAAGTCCATGGTTTTGCCAGGGATAAAATACAAGCACCGCTCCATTACAAATAAAGCCAAAAGCAGGACTATACCCGTAATTAAAATGACGAAGTCTAAGCGACCATTACACACACAAACTCGATCAAAATTTCAGCACAACACAAGCTTCATCAGAAAAGCACCAGCACCACGTTAAATATCTTTCGCAAAAGGGTGGTGTTAATAAACACCAGAATGAAGAGTGCGGTTCCTTACTGCACAACAGATAGGATACCGACTTGATTGGGTCGATCACACTAAGCAAACGACAGGCTATTGGAAGCTGAACCAAAGCCGAGAATTCAGTTGTTAGAGAGCTTAGGCCGAAGTGAACTTGGTCACAGCCTTCGTGCCTTCTGACACGGCGTGCTTAGCCAGCTCACCGGGGAGCATGAGACGCACAGCCGTCTGGATCTCACGGCTGGACAGGGTGGACTTCTTGTTGTAACGCGACAGCTTGCCGGCCTCCGAAGCGATGCGCTCGAAAATGTCGTTGATGAAGGAGTTCATGATCGACATTCCACGCTTGCTGATACCCGTGTCGGGGTGCACCTGACGCAGCACCTTGTAGATGTAGGTCGAGTACGACTCGACACGCTTCTTGCCCTTGCCCTTGCCCTTGCCGGACTTAGCAACCGTCTTCGCGGCTTTCTTGGAGGGAGTCTTCGCCATTACTGCTGATTGGGGTTTGAATTACTCGGTAAATTGAGGAATGATCGGTTTGGTCACGCCCATATCCAAAGCAGACAGCCCCGTCCATCCCGTACACATCATACCCGATTTCCCTCGACTCGTATAACAGTCTTTGATTGGCGGGATTCTGTATAAAGTGGTTTCATTGGTTCGTTTCACTCTATACTGATTATGATTGGTGTACGAGAATGAGCGGGTAGGTCTATTTTGGCGCGAATGAATTCGAGGCAAAACACAAAAACTTCGCCGAAGTCGAGCACCGAGCTAACGTCTCGTACCGCTGCAATAGCGCCGCAAGGCCAAGGCCACCGACGATGTTAGTGCCAGCATTAAGTCCATGATGCCAGCATTAAGTCCATGATATTGATGTGTATGTAATGCAGGCAAGACCAAGAGGCTAAATGGGAGAAGGGTCAATGTATATAAATTGTTCTACGCAGTCCACCTCTTTCTACTACCTACGAGCCGGCGAAGGTGGGGAAGCGCTGGGGGTATGCTAGGCTGGCGCTTAATAGGCTTATCTCGCTTCGCTTGGCACACGCTCCTCGACCTCAAGGCGTGTCGTCCGTCAGTTATCTGGTCGACGTGCGTTTTCCGTTGTCGTACAAGTCATTGCGCCTGCCTACATGAAGCCGGAGCCCTTGATATTCTGCTTTAAAATAATGTCTTTGCAGGCGTTGAACACGACTTGGACGTTCTGCGAGTCGGTAGCGCACGTCACGTGGTGGTAAATTTCCTTCTCGGGCTGGCGGTTCATCTCCATGAACTTTCCAAGGAAATACTGCACTCCCAGCTCGTAGTCGCCAATGCCACCGGGGAAGTCCTTGAACACCTCCACCGACTTGGGGTCCACCTTCTTGATCTTGTCCTGGAACAAATCCTTCTTGTTAAGGAACAGGATCATAGCAGAGTTCAGGAAGAACTTGTTATTGATGATCTCGTCGAACAAAGTGATGGCCTCGATCATACGGTTTGTGGACGCATCCTCGTACAAAGACTGATCGTACTCACTCAGCGCTGCCACGAAAATCACTGCCGTCACGTCCTCGAAGCAGTGGATCCACTTCTTACGTTCGTTACGCTGTCCACCGACATCGTACATGACGAAGGTAGCGCCATCGATCTGGTACCGTTCTTCTACGATACCGGATGTACGCACACGTGCGTACAACATATCCTGTTGCGTCGCTGCGTAGTCATCGCGCATGATGCGGTCAAGGTCATTGAAGTAATACTTGACTGACTCGATGATCTGGAACTCAGCTCGTCGGTTCCACGTAGCCACAATGCCAGGGTCTGTCCAAAGGTTCTTGATCTTCTGTCCTATGACCGGGTTCACTTCTGCCTCATCACTCAGCGTCCGAATATCCTCGAAATCTTGTACGCACACAACTTCGCCCTTCAGTTTCATTTCCGTACACTGCTCGATCAGCATCTTCATGGACGTCACCACGTTGTTATAGATAATGGGTGTGCAATGGCGCTTCTCCTCTTCGGTTAGAGCTGCACCATACAAAATCTATCATAGAAGAAGCAAAACCAGAGTTAGTTATAGAGTTTTAACAACTTTTGAGCACTTTCATCATACACAGTCGGCGCACCTTCATCTGTTTGAAGACCGTACTCTTGCCTGACTCGCCTGCACCTAGCAACAGCAGCTTGACCTTCTCCTGCTCCACGCGGTGAGCCTCTTCGTTCTTGGCTTCAATTTCGCGGGACTTAGCCATCGCCTGCCGATCGGAATCGCTCATCTGGGAAGCACAGAGCCCCATGTTGACTCTGTGTTGCCTTTGCTTACTGTCGAGGGCTACCGAAGCGCTACTGCTTCGACGGTTGCGAACGATGTGGGGCAGGGCGCAAGCGAGCAGGGGCTGGCGGCTCTGTTTCTGTTGCGCGCGGGGGCTCTACTGTCGGAGTGGGAAGCTGCACACGTTTCGCCAAAATGGTAGCGGAAGTTTAAAAATGAAACCCCGCCACCTCCTTTATCACCAGTCTTCTTCTTCACAGAAATAAACTCCGTCCCTGCACAAATGCAACGACGCCACCTCTCGGTCTCGTCGCTATTAATACAGGTGTCTAGGCAACGCCCAATTGGCTCGAACATCAGCTCTGGGCATCTACAGACTCGAGGCTGAGCAAGAGCACAGAAACCACTACGTGGCATGTCCATGATTAGCTTCGATGACGACTTGTTTCACAGATGCCCTCATTTAGCTACGTCGTCGGGTCTCGTGGCTCAGGTAGTGTCGAGCTCTGAGCCTCCAAACAACCGAATGGGTCGAGCAGTCCATTTGCTGGCAATCACTCTAGAGCTTGACCTTCAATCTCCCTCGCAGGAGTGACTTACAGATTGTAGCCATTTTGATGGCGTTTTTTTTTGCGCCATATAGTGATGGGCGGTCATGCAAAGCCGCGTCATCCCCAAAAACAAACATGATTGGATGAAATGCGTTATCAAGTCCACATGACCACCATGGTCAAAGCGGACGCTCACATACCGATCCGCCTTGTGCACGTCAACTAGATCCTATCGCTCCATGTCACCGAACAAAGTCGACCAAAACACTATCAAGGAGTGGCACTTCCACACGTGCTTCTACCACACCAACGAGTGCTCCAGGAAGGAGGCGCAAGCGCTACGAGATGCGCTTGTGGACCAAGTGACGGCTAACCCCAAGAACTTCATCGCTGTGTGCAATGGCATGACGACCAAGGAGCTCCCAGGTCTGGAGGGCAAGCCACCTCCGATGAACCTCGAACCTGTGGGTCCGCACGTCAGTGGCAGCTTCGAGACGTGGGTACCTGCTGAGTCCTTCGCCCAGGTGTTGTCGTGGTTCACGCTACACCGGGGGTCGCTCAGCGTTCTGGTGCACCCGCTAACGCGCTACGAGCGAGAAGACCACACGACTCATGCCATGTGGCTCGGAACGCCATGGGTAATCGATTTGGATGCTCTTCGCGTGGACTTGGTCACGCCCCCGCTTCAATACCCAGAGCTTGGATACGGATACAGCGCCAGTACGAACGAACATTGAGAAGATACTGGAGAATCACGTCGAGTGCTATTTGAAGCGTTAGGAAAAGTAGTCGTCCTCACTATGAAGAATGGAATTGACGTGAGATCCGTTTGGTCGAGCAGAGCGTCAAATATCCTTACTGAAGGAGGTGACGCAGCACAGTTCGCACGTTTAGCTTCTTCAGGTGCGTGTACTTCTGGCCCGTGCCGACGAACATGATCGGCTGGCCAGTCTTGTAAACCATCGACACCGCAGCACCAACTGTTAAAAAATGAAGAAAAGTGAGCCATACACAATGACAAGCTGTCAAAAGTAACGACAACGTACCCTTGTCATCAATCGTGTCAAACTTCGTGATGACAATGCCGTCAATGCGGTGCGGTTCACGGCGGTCCGAGTAGTCAGCAAGAGCCTAGCACAACAGAATTCACAAGGTTAGGCCTAGATCAAGCAGCATTAGCGAGCTTCAAGAGACTTACCCGGTCAAACATCGAAAGCTGGTCGATGCCATCGTTGCCCACCAACGCTTCTCCGACAAAGAGAACCAGATCGGGTTCGTTGTTGGATACCAGCTTGGCCAGCGCACGCATAAGCGGCTCGTTATTTTGCATACGTCCAGCAGTATCAATCAGCACACAGTCGTAGCCGTTTTCCGTGCCATACTTGATAGCCTCCTTGGCCACCGAAGCGGGATCCTTCGCGTAGCCCTTCTGGAACAGCTCCACGTCCAGAACCTTGGCGTGCTGGTTCAATTGTTCCACAGCTCCAGATCGGAACGTATCGCAAGCAGCAATCATGACGTTCACGCCCTTCGACTTGAGATAGTAGCACACCTTGGACAGGCTGGTGGACTTACCAACACCATTCACACCCACGAACACAATGCTGTAAGCACGGCCCTCGGACTTAGCCTGCAGAATCTCACGCAGCACGTCGGTGGACTTTTTCGGTGTCAAGATACGCAGCAGTGCAGCCTCCAAAGCCTTGCGCACGACAGTGGAGATGCGCGTAAAGCTCTCGAGTCTCTGGCCGACCACAGTGGTAATGACAGACTCGCAAAGCTCATCGGCGACTTCCGAGGCCACATTCTTGCTGATCAGCTGCAAAAAAGAAGACGACCACGTGTTAGTACTTTACACATGACAGAGATATGTAGTTAGAATAGAGCCAACCATTTGGTGCATCGGGGTGATCACGGGCTCCAAGTCTTCTCGCTCAAGGATCTTGTTGCCAGACACCGTGCTCAGGAAGTTACCCAGACGCGTCTTGGAAAAGCTCCAGCCCTGGCTTGACTCGGATTCTGCTCCAGACGAAGCTGCTGACTCATCGTCGGTGTCAGAGAATTCTTCCGAGTCGCTATCTTCCATTTCCTACACGAAGTCACACGAATAGCGCAGAGTGGCATTAGGATGTAGCGTAGGTGGATGTCAACCAGGAAAAGTTCCTTACTCCAATGTAGGCTTCACGCTTCTCGCGGAGCTGCGCTTCTTCCTCCTCGGCAGTGATCTGACGATATCGTTTAACACACAAATCGATCAGCAAGCCCACTCAGTTGCAGCCACTCATTCACAGTAGCTCAGGTACCGTTTTGGATCGATCCAAGGCCTCGGCCTCCTTCTTGGAGACCTTCGTGTCGTCCCATTTTGTCATCTTCTTGCCGCTCTTCTTGGGCTCCTTCGCGGCCTTATCTTTGCCCTTACGACGCGGACCCGTGCGCATCTCGCGCACTTTCGAGCGCAAAGCTGCTTCGTTCTCCAGCTCCTCCAGGCTCTTGTCCTTCCCGTCAGACGTAAGGCTATCACTGCCATCTTCACTAGACTGCTCCAATAATACACAAAATCAAAATATTATCTAATAAAACGCACCCATAAGTTGCAATAACAGCTGAGAAAGAAGCATACATCCACAGTCGTGGCGGAACGCGATGACGACGCCGTCTTGCCCGAAGTATTGGACACCACGCCCTTAGCTTTGGCCTTCTTGGACGCATTGAACGCGCGCGGTCCCTTGCGTGCTTGTTTCTCGGTAAACTTAAGTTCCGTGGCCTTGAGGATCTTGGTGAACTTGTCTTCGTATTTGACGGGCGTCTTGTTGGCGATCTGCTGCGGGAACATGGCGATGAAGTCCTTCTTGACAATCTCCAGCAGCTCTTCAATGTACAGCAGCTGAAGGATCTTCTGGTAGACCACCACAAAGACCAAGTCGAGCTTGTTCTCAAACACCCACTGCATGGCGTACGCGTCGTCGATGAACTTCTTCTCGCCGGAGCGGTCCTCCATGAGCACGCGGTTGATGAGGTTGTCCACTGGGTCGCCACCCAGCTTACACAGTGTGCGCGACCACAGCACCGTACCGGTCTTGGAGAAGATGACGAAGTGGTCGATCATGACGAGATGAAGAGGGATATAATAGACACAGGGCTCGGTGGGTTTGGTTGTGGCGGCTCTGTTACCTTTGTTGTGTCACTTCTTTGAAAAAGTGACCGTGGAATGAAACCGGTCTCTTTGGTGAGACCACACCAAGTGTGCACCACATCATACCGTTCGATGGACTTATTGGGTCCGATAGATGACAAGCTTGCGGCGTACTGCAGGGCGCTGCCCAAGGTGGAGCTGCACGCACACATCCATGGGTCTATTCGGCCGTCAACTTTGAAGGAGCTCTTACAGGACGAAGCAAAGCGGAATGGTACGGAGCCGCTGCGACTTCCGAAGAACCGCAGTCTGGACGAGTGTTTCGAGATGTTTGGGTTGATCCACCAAGTAGTCACTAGTCGACGCGTACTTCGCCGGATTGTCATTGAGGCGGTGGAGGACTTTGCCGCAGAGAACGTCAAGTATCTAGAATTGCGCTCCACGCCGCGTGATTTGCCGAGGGATGGCGCGACCCGTGCAGATTACGTGGGCGAAGTGGTGTCAGCGCTCCAAGAAAGTCACGCGCGACAAGATCTGGACATCGAGGTACGACTGCTGCTAAGCATCAACCGGAACCAACCGCTGCAGTTGGCGGAAGACACCGTGAACATGGCGCTCAAGCGCAAGAACGAGCAGAATTGTCCGTTCATTGTGGGTATCGACCTCAGCGGAAACTCAGAGCGCCCGAATTCCGAATTCTACCGCTTCGAGCACGTGTTGGAGCGCGCGCGAGCCGGAGGCCTCAAGCTCGCCGTGCACTTTGCCGAACACTTCGACGACGACGAATCCACTCGGATCCTGAATTTCCGACCGGACCGACTAGGTCACGCCTGTTGCCTACCGGAACCGCTCTACTCCAAGATGCTGGCGCTGCGAATCCCCGTCGAGGTCTGTTTGACCTCCAACGTCCATACATTGGACAGATACCGCAACGATGGAGACTGTAAGTGTTCCTTGGATGAGAAGCACGAGGCCTCGGGGCTGTGCGTGTGCGGCTTCACCTCGCACCCGCACGGTAGGCTTCTCGCCAACGATCGCGACCAGGAGCAGCAACTTGGCGTCTACCCCATGTGTATCTGTACGGATGACTACGGCGTGCTGGACACCACGCTATCGATCGAGTACATGCGCATTGCGCAGGCGTTCAAATTGGGCAAGGAGCGACTTCTAGATATCGCCCGATCACCCATAGAGGCAATCTTCGACCAGAGCCAAGTGTCCAAATTGAGGCTGTTATTCCACTGAATTCCGGCGTTGGACATCTGAGGTCTGATTTGCGTCATCCCTGGGACTAAAAATCGACACCAAGGACAATAAACGCTGAATGCTCGTCACAATTGCTTCAGACAGCTAACCATCAATCCATGGCGCCACGAGCTTACCTACCTGTTGTCGTCCTCCTCCTTCTTGTCGTTGCCGACGTTTCGATGTGTTCAGCCTTTGCCGCGTCGAACGGAACAGAGGCAGCCACTGTGTATGACATTCCGGAGTGTACCCAAGATCAGCTGAATCTCGGTGAAGCAATCCTTACCACGGAGCCCAGCACACTGCAGTGTGAGAAGAAGTTCGGCATCAAGTCCGGCATGCTCCTGCAGTCAGCCGACGCCGCAGATGAGTTCTGCGCAGAGCAGGCCTGTCTCAACGCACTGCGGACGCTGTTCTCCACGCTACCCAATTGCCGCTACGAATTATGGGGACTCAAGTATTCGGCTACAAAGTTCCTCAACCACTGCGGCTTCTCCACGGACATCGCATAATAATAACAAACATCAAACACTGGGTTAGGCACAGATGTGTCGACCGCTCCACTAACACATAGAGGCACGCCATCTGTGGACACACAATTTAAGTCTAAAAAGTGAGTAAAAAGTGTTTCCGACTCTCCCTTGTTCACTATCAAATATTCCACGGACCTCTCTAGTCGCCACTGCAATGCGCACTTTCACGCCTGTCCTGCTTGTGGCTACTGTCGCCGCCGTTGCCTCCGCGCAGTCCAGCTCTGGCACGACAACGACTGCCTCGCTGTCGTCTGCATCGGGCTCAGGATCGGCGTCCATGTCGGCAGAGCTCGCGGCCATCTCCGAGTGCAACAGCACTCAGTTGGACGCGGGCGAGGCCATTCTAACGTCGAACCAGCGCGCAGAGCAGTGTGAGGAGGCCCTGAGCTTGCAATCCGGCACAATGCTGCAGGTGACGACCGCCGACGCCACCGAGATGTGCGACACAGCGTCCTGCAAGGCCGCCCTACAGGAGCTGTACAACGAGCTGCCTAACTGCCGCTACAACCTCTGGGGTCTACAATATTCGGCCAAGAAACTGCTAGAGTACTGCGGCATCACGCCTACCAACTCGACCGACTCGGACTCCAGCAGCGGCTCCGTCGGCTGGAGCGTCAACTCGGGTTCGGCCTCGTTCGCACCCGCAGGAGCTACGGATGCCCCCTCCACGGCCAGCAGCACAACTGGTGACAGCTCTGCTGGATCCAGTGCTGCTACTACTACGACCGCTGTCTCGACCATGTTGGCAGCTACCGTGAGCCTCATCGCTGCTTACTTGGCCTAAGCCTTCAAGTCATAGGGAAATCGTGACTGACACAGCGTGCTCTCTTGCTCCTTCGTTTCTCGTCAAGCAATTGTTTCGTGTTTGCAACGAGCTGGTTTTTGAGGTTAGTCCACATTTTAAAAATGAATTCTTCTTTTATCTTGGGTTTCTCTTGCCAGTTCAATTTTATATTTGAAAGCACGGTAAGGAGAGAAGAAAATGTATGCTGTGAGGTCTTACCGCTGCATCTCGTCGTTGAGGAGCTCTTCAGTAAACTCGAGTGCATCCAAGACTGACGGTCGCTCCTCGGGGTTTGTGTGTAGCATGTCACGAATGAAGTCACAGAACTCGGCCGTAAATTGTGTGCCGCGATGGTGCACGACGCCGCCTTGCTCTGGTGGGAATGACACTCGGCCGTTTAAACATGCCAGCTTCATAAAGCCCTGGGCATTTCAAAACAATAGAATCGTGAGAAGGCATGCAAAAGCAGCGACGTGGTAAGTGAATAGAGCACATACCTCTCGCGGGTGCTCAAATGGACTTGTTCCAAATGCCATCGTATAACTGCACGATAGTACAGTCGTAGTTAGAGCCTTGTCCACAGAACATTAGTCGCAGAAAACATTACAAGATACTTACAGTACACAACCAAGAGACCATACGTCCGACTGACCGTCCAGCGCGACGTCAACCGTTGGCTCGAAAAGTTCCGGTGCGCGATAAGGAGCTGAGCTCTTGCGGTTTGCTTCATCTTGCAACTCGAGCGAATTCCGACGTGAATTGACTTCTACACGAATCGGAGCACAGCTACCAAAGTCTGTCACCACCGGTATGTAGGCAAGGAAATCCTCGCCGCTGAACGACGAGGACAGCAGGATGTTGTGAGGCTTGATGTCTCTGTGGCAAAAGCCCGATCGGTGCAGAGCAAGCACGCCTGAGCAAATGCCATGAAAAAGATGAAGTGCTGTCCGCTGCGTAAACGGCCATAAAGGCGACGATGACTGGCACGCGGCATTAATCGCATCCCACAAACTTCCGCGTTCGAAATACGGGACCAAAAAGTAAAACTAAAACGGGCAAAGAGCAAAAACGATCGTTAGGTACAGGAAGCGATAGATATCAAGGTCAACACAAACCAGTTATTCGTACCTCCATTCCCTGTTGAACTCGTGCTTCAGAAAACTCCACAAGTGGCATGATGTTTAGGTGCTTGACGGACTGGAAATCCAAACCATAACAAGTATTAGTCATGATCTTACAAAACAAAGTTTTCACATCATAAGGTACGTACACGGAAGACTTGGAGCTCCATCTGCACGTCATTTTCAACCTCCTGGGACTGGCAGAGGATTCGTTTAAGCGCAAAAGTTTCGTTGGTGGCTGACGACCGAACTAAAAGCACTTGAGCATAGGCACCCTCGGCGAGTAACCGCACGACTTGCACGGTGACACCGCCAACTTGAATGGTTTCGTTCTGTAAATATCGAACAGCATGGCGGGCAATTGATTAGTGTTTGGCATTCCTCGGGGCAGAAAGTAAGCAAACTTACCTTCGAAACGTTCGCACTAGCATTGGAAATAGTTGCGCTAATCGACGAAAGCAAGGAGCCACCCCACTTCTTCGCCTTCTTGGCTGTCTCCGACGCTCCTTTCTTGGCATCCTCGATAGAAATCTTCTTGGCAAAGTCGTAGGCTTGCTCCGTCTGTTTCCGCAGATAAGCCTGTGCGTCTTTGCCTGCCTCGGTCCATTCACGAGAGCCTGATCTCCCACTGGAGTCGTATCGATCATCACGACCAAATTGAGAGCTGCGATTCTCATCGCCCGCATTGTATCCATTACCACCGTCCTGGTAGCTATTGTGATTCCAGTCACTCTCCGCTTGCTCCTTCCGCATTTTATCCCGCGATGGCGAACGTACAACTGAAGCTGGCGGTTCTTCATCTAGAACACCACAACATACACATTAGAACCCCCAACAAGTAAACCTCCGTTCTTCTCCATTACCTTGGGACTCGTAAGTCGTGGACTCGAACTCCTCATAGTCGTCGCGATGACGACGTTCCGTTGTGCTACTTCCATAACTCTCGGTACGAGTCTTCGTCACTGCTGGAATCGGCGCCGGCCCTGAGGATGGTGCAGTCTCACGAGGCTCCTCATAGTGTAGATATTCGACACTGGGCTCGTCATCCAGCGGCGTAATCCGCGCCAGGATCTTGCGGCCACAGAACGGAACAGCCGAGTCCGGATTCGTCAAGTCCAAGTACGCACCATCCTCGCAGCGGAAGGCGAAGTGATAATTGTTTCCCAGAGGGAACGCTTTCTGTACGTCTGCAAGCCGCACGCGGCCTCCTGTGGACGGTAGCGGCAGCACAAAGGCATTCCAGTTGGTGTCAGGTCCGCGCTGCGGTTTGCTCTCCTGTACAGGTTCCAGTTCTTCGCCCACTAGGGAGTATAGCACGAACGTGTTCTTCAGTGGCGGCGCAGCCATCGTCGTACCGCTCACCGGATGCACCACCTCGGTTGCGCGCATTCGCTTGCCGAATTAGGTTCGCAAAACTCCTCGATCCTACGCAACTTCATGAAAAAGTCTATAAAGAAGGTTTTGTATCGTGAAAGAGGGTTGAAGTTTGGTTTCGTATAGAGAGGTTGAAGCTAACGCACTACATGTCCGTGAACTCGTAGTCCGACGGACTCAGAGCCGAGTCTTCAGGTGATCGCACGGAACACTCCTTGTCTGTAGAGAAACTGGAGTCGTCGTTGACAGAAAGAGCTTTGGTCAGGAGGTATGAGGACGTTGGCGAGGTGGATGCGGGCTTCTCGTCCAGCGCTGCGAGCACTCGTGACGTAAGCTCGGCGTCTTCCAGCTGGGAACTTGACGAGCTTCTAGAAATACTTCGTGTAGTTTCTTCAAGTAAGTCTTCATCAGCCGACGCTGCCGTGTAGAACCTACTGCGTTCGTTCTCGATTGGGCGCACACAAGGTCTCGCGTTCGAGAGTGCAGTCTGTAGCGGTGCAGAGGGGGGTGCTGACACACAAGCGTTTCGGTTCGATGCTGTTGGTGGTACGAAGGCCGGGGCTTCCCAGGACACGGTGTTTCCAGAGTTATCGAAATTGCCCATTAGGATTTTATCGTAGAAAGCGGCAGCTGCAGGCTCTCGTTGGTGAGTCTTCGTGACCAGTGTAGGGTGGAACGGATGCGACTTCTTGAACTCACGTTGCTGCTGCTTGCGAAGCTGCTCCTTGCGCTCGAGATAGTGATCGTAGTACTGGTTGAGTGCCTCAAATACCTTGGACCCTGACAGTCGACCGTGTTTCGTGGCAATTTCACGCGAATTCTTGTCAATGACCGGATGGAAGGTCAATTCCTTCTGCTCAGCAGCTGCAAGAGCCGCTTCTCGTTCAGGGTCTGAGTGGTGCGATTGGTGGCGATGTCGACCTCCTCTATCCGTTTGAAGATGTTCGGCTACGAAAATAATCTGTGAGTAGGTAACACCTGGTACTTCACGCACAAGGCGATCCATATATCCCGAGAAGGCATCGCGCGAGATCGGCGCATGGTTTGCATACTCAAATACGATTGCTACCACACGCGAGATCTCAACTGGTAACGCAGAGAGATCCACCCGGACTGGTATCACTGTTTCAGTGTTTGTCTCTTGCGTTTCTTCACAGTTCGTGGGCTCTGAAGATTCACCAAACTCCGGAGTTGTTGATGGTTGACGAGACATTGTAAGAAGAGCATTAAAAATCCGCATGCATGTATCCGCTTTTCGTCGCTCAAGCGCTTGGCGTGAGGCCTCGGAAACAAACGTTTGCTGCGATTTTTTCTCAATCTCACGCTGGTCCTTCTCCCGTAGCTGGCGGTGGTACTCCTGTTGTTCACGGTGTGCAGCATGCAAGAAGTCTCCAATGGGCAGTCCTTGTTTATTCCGTGCAAAGGCAGGAGCTCGACCTGTTTCTGGCTTAAACAGCTCTTTACCTGTATGTGGGTCTCGGTTTGGGGCATACTTGTCGTGAAGGGCAGCACGCTTCCGCTCCAGCTCGTGATACTTGTCCACTGCAAGGCGCTCGACAAAATCACTCTGGGATTTGTCAGGTGCAACCCATAGGGCATTCACGCCAATATCCGGCTTGAAAGAAAACTGCTTGAAGTATTCTTCTTCTCGTTCTTCTCGCTGGACTCGAACCTGGAACGAATTTTCATACAACTCAAGATGAGGATTTCGGGTTCGTCGAGTCTCGCCGTTCAATGCAGCAACAGCTGCAGCAGTCTCCTGTTTTTCACGCACAATCTCCTCCGATACGTTGTTGATTTTCGGTTTGAACGGGCAAGTTTGCTGGAATTCCTCTGCAACGGCACTTTGGTGTCGCTGGCGCCGCATACTCGCCATCCGAAATGATTTCTCTTTGTTAGCGTTGACAGCTTTCATGGCGCTGGATGAGGTTGTGAGCAGCGTTGGCTGGAAGAGTCGCTCAGGTTTCGGCTGCCCACAAAGAACTTCAGGCTGCACACCAAACGAACTTTTGGCGCTACTTGCAGTCCCTCGGCGTCCTGAGTGTGATACTGTCGAGGATTTACCATGTTGAGCTCGTAGCTTTTGTGCCATTTTATTCTGACATCGAGAGTCATTGTACTGGTTCACATACGCACATTTCGGACACATCCAGTCTTGCTGCTGCTCACGCTCCACGACTCGGCGCTCGTGTCGTTGCACCTTTCTGGCTATATCCGATAATGCTTCGTCATGGAGGCGCTCGCCAATGTGCGCATAGTTACCGTTCGTACGGTTTGCCACGAGCTCGCGTGACTTGGCTGCCATCAGCTCGACCTGTTGCAGTCGCTGCTCATCTCGAACCTGTTCCAGTTCTTTCGCTTTCTGAGCGCGTTGAATCCATTTTTCTTTCGACTCAGCCAGAGCGTGAAGCCGCTCATACGCCGGTGCATCAGCAAGATTGGTTTTCTTTTTCGAGCTACTACTACGAGTGCCTTGCACCGTAGTTGTGAAAGCTGGGGCTCTGGAAGATGCCGATACGCGCTCACCAGAACGTGAGTGCTCCATTGTCTGCACACTGTATGGTGCAGCTGCACCACTTGGTGCAGATCGACGTCCTTCGGGGTCAACCTTGCCACTATGCTGAGAATGACCATATCTAGCCACGAGATTGTTGTAGTTGAACTCGCGATTGTTTTCACGCTCGTGTATTTGCCATGGCGCATTAGTATGATGTTCAGGTTGGGGTCTATACGCTATATCCACACCATCATTTGCACGACTGGTCTCTGGGGCAGACGGAGTGAATGCAAAGGAACGAGAGTTAGCATTCACGAATTGCTCAAATTCTGCGTCGACCGCCCATTCGTCTTCAACAATCAGCTCAGACTGCAAATTCTTCTCGGGCTCAGCTTCAGCGAGAGCGTTAAGCTGCTCTTGAATCAAATTTCTTAATTTCGGAACTGAACCAGGTTGCAGTGCGTGCTTCTGCGCAAAAGCCGAAGCCAAAATATCTGGATTGTCCCCCTCGTGAATCTCGATGGTCTCAGTTCTGCCGTCACCTATGACAACTTCCATCAGTAGCAAAAGATCGCCGTGTTCCACTTCATTCGCGTCGACATGATCAGCTATAGGTTGCGTCTCTTCTTCATCTTGGGCGCCAAACAGTTCATCAGACACGTGCGCACGCCCCTCTAAGTCATTCCCGCCATTCGAAAACGGTTTTGAGGTCGCTGACTGCTTGTCAGCAGTTGCTTGAGTTGGAGACCACATCGCTGCGGACTGTAGCTCGCTGTTAAATTGTTCACGACGGCCAAGCTCTTGCTGGACACGAGCCGCAGCTGAATCGACGGCGAATCGAATCTCGTCCTCAATTTGTTGTGGTGAACGCGGAGGCATCTTGGTCGTTGAAACAGGTGGAGACAGGGTAGTACGCTCCAGCAGCCAATCTGGGAGGTCATCTTCGCTTTTCCCTGTATTCTTTCCTGCTGGTGGCAGCTTGCAGTTTAGATTTGATGACAATGGGCTTCTCACTTTCATATCCAAGCTGAGTTGTGACTGTAGCTCACGCTCAACTCCTTCACGCGGCTTATCTTGACCATCCAGCAATGAAAGCTCAGTAGCCTCACCGTCCGGTGAGTTGAACCCAGCAGGAGGACCACGATGCAACAACGGCGAGCTAGAGGTGACGGACTCAGCCGACGATGGCGTAGGAGAGTATTCGTCCTTGGAGCAGACCGACGAGTACGATGAGCCATCACTATCATCATCGCTAAAGCGGTCGGACTGACTTTTGACCTCTAGCATAAAGGACACGTCGTCACTCACAGAAGCTGGCGGAATGATCTCATCTTGTGCAATAGATGCTGCTTGTGCTTGCACTCCTAGGTGATCTGCTCGAAGCTCGCCCCAATAATCTGGCGGGACATTGGTACGTGTCATCGACGGAGACGAGAAGGCCTTTCGAGGGGATTTGTCGGGGCTTTTATTGACGCTTGAATGATACTTTACCTACCACAGCACATACCATTAGCTCGATCTACTCACTCACATTAAAAGTGCTTACCTTTTCAATAGCTTCGACTGCTTCTCGAGAAAATGAGAAGCGTCGATGCATGCTCGTATTCCCGTACGGGTGTTCTGCTCCCCTTGTTTCTTCCATCCCTACACTTTGTTGGGTCAATATAAGGCCTGAGTGAAGGCGGCCGGGCATGTGTGAGAAATAGCCTTGAAACGATCGGAGAGCGGCGCGGCCCATTCGCATATGCGATTGTGCAGCAAACGTTTGTCGCCACGTTACGAAGACCACAGCGAAAAAAAATATCTTGTTCATCTTCAGAAACATTGCTGCTATCACTTGGACAGACTTTCTTAATAGCGTCCCACGCATCAATTCTCACTACGTCACCACTTCCACCTGTCTTATTTTACAGGTAGCGCCAGCTGCTTCTTCCAGATCAAAGCACAATTTGCAAGAAAGCTCTGCATAGCGTCACGTTCTGCCCGCGCTTCCTTGCGTTGCACCGAAAAATCCAGCACAGTGCCGTCATCCAGCTCCAGATCACGAAACATTGGGAGCTGATCGGGAGAAAGGGCCCTCTTCTTCTTTGATGGACGAGCCTTTGCTCTTGTTGGAGCACTGGATGTTGCTGGCTGCTGTACCTCTCGTCTCTGTCTCTTGGAGCTTCGCCCGATACCTGTGCTTTCAGCCGCCTTCGCTATTGAAACACTCTTTGAGCTAGCCTTGCCTTCATCATCCGCAGTAGTTTTTCTTATCGCGTGAGATCTTTTAGGTTGAGGAGCAGATGAGGCCTTAACGTTGGCAGTGAGTTTCTCACTAGAAATGTTCTTCTTGTCGCTGGTCTTCTTCTTAGCAGAACTTCGTGATGAAGTGGCTTTGGGCTCGTTATCTGGTACTGGAATAGGCGTGAACGTGGCCTCCTCAATCGTGCCCAGCATGTCTTCGAAAAGATGCATGTCGCCATCCCAGCTCTTCACCGTCTCGTCTTTCATACGAGCTGCAGAGAAAGAAATGTCAGGCCATAGCTTTGTAGGGAGAAAAATACCATAAATAACGGTACGCACGAGCGTAGCGGCCGTGAGCCGTAATGGACATGGCATCCGTCCAAAGGTCGTAGTTCTTGCTCCAACCCACAAAGTGTACCTTGATCTTCTGAGTGGTCAGATTGCACTGGATGATCCTGGCTTCTCCCCACAGCATCTTCTTGTCCAGAGCGTCGACGTAGTAGCCCACGCATTGAGCCGTGTGCTTCTTTTTGGGCTTGGGCTTTGGTTTGGAGCGTCTGTCGCGTCGTCGTTTACTCTTACTCGACGTGGCCTTCTCAACAGGAGCTTCAACTGTTGGTGTTTCCATACTTCCACCCTCTGGAGCAGGTAGTGAGCCAGATTTCGCGGGTGAAGTAGCCGCAGGGGCCCCAGTGAACGGCGTCATGGTCGGGTTTGATTCAACGTCGGGATTGGAGCCGCTACTCTCCGTAGAAGCGCATACAGAAGGTCAGGTTAGAAAGGATACAACATAGATAACGTGCATTGCTTACCTGGGGGTGGCAGGAGTTGAGGAAGTCACAGGCGGGAGGCTCGCAGCCATGACAAACTTGGACCTCGTCACTCTCCGGCTGGCGGGAAAATGCCAAATCTGGGTAAATAATCAGTGACCTATTGAAACGACTATAGAACCTAATGGAATGCGCTAAGAGAGGTTGGATCAAGTTGAAGTTGTCATTTTGATTGGCAACAAGCCACCGCTCAAGTTACTCTATTCAGTTCTCTCTAGTTGTGCAGTTTTCACCTCCTCAACTGCTGAAATTTGGATGGATGCCGTGTCGATGTTGAGTTCGCCATCCACAGGAGGAGACGGTCGAGGTAACAGAGCGAAGCGATACTGTACGCGAACGTTGTCGATGATCTGATAGTTGACGTAGTCCGGGGACGTCCACCGACGTGTCTGGTACTTGCTGCGGACGTCGACTTGCAAAACTTCTTCAATGGCGGCCACAAACCTCCCGGGAGCGCCGCGGTAGTGTATAGAGTTTGTTGAAAGTTTGTGGATTGTTGGTATCAAATCACTTGACTCCCATTCAATTCTGAAAAGAAAAATGTTACCCAGGTATACGAAAGAACAGACTTATGCTCTTTTGCACGTACTTGATGGGTGGTTGCGGAGTGGAGACCCAGTTTGCCGCGAGTGCATCCGGAAGACTATCATACGCTGCAAATGGTATCAGAAATAATTAGTTCGATATCTTTCAACGCCATCGCAATAGTTTGCTTTCTTACCTGCAATGTACGGTTTGATATCAAGCACTGGGGTCTCGTCGAGCAAATCAACTCCCGATAGATACACCGTGCGTTTGCGCATGTCGACACGCTCAATCTTTGCCAACGTGATTCCGATTGGGTTGGGTCGGTGAGGTGACCGCGTGCAAAAGATGCCTACTCGTTCCTTCAGCATTGGAGGGGAGATTTTGGCCTATTGAGCATATACAGTTGCGTATTAGCGACAATCAATTGTTAGCTCAGTCCAACTAACGTTAATGCATACTCGGAACGTGTGCCGATGGCTATCCGATCGGAGACCCTCGTGCGCTCGAGTGTTCTTGCCATTCGTGTTTTGGTGGAAAACGAAGACGATCCAGACGTGGCTGAAATCCTCTAATCCGACTAAGGTATCTGGGGAGATACTCCGCTGAAATGTAATCTTTGCCCTCGTCGATGGTGCAAGTGAACCTTGACGAGGTGTGCCTACAACCTCACAGCGTGCAGCCTCATCAAAACGAAATAGTATCATCAAGCGATACAATATATAAATATCTACGCACCCAAGCACACCTTGAAGCAAGAGCGAACTGTTCCCACAGGCTGTACGAAACAACCCTTGCTAGTGTCCAGTTTCTCTTCCATCACACGTCGCAGCTCCTTATTAACAGGGGCACAAGTGCATCAGGCTCCAGCCATTGCAACCAAATGATTCTCAATAGTTTGCTACCTTCTCTGCAGCTACGCGACCTCGTCTTTCATCAACGCGTGCTTTCTCTTTCCTAGTCGCATCACACTCCAGCTTCTACAATGACCGAGCAATGGCAATACGTTGAAAACTGACAACATCTCATTGATCCAATCAACGAGTAGTACCTTAATCTTCTGGAAATCACCAGACTCAAGTTGCGACTGTTTCCACCAGAGCCATAGCAATGCCGTGGTCTGCAGCGTCAATGCCAGTGTCTCTAGCCTCAGACCAAAGGGCAACGTCATTGTTGCTGAACTGCCAGTAGTCGAATTGATGGCGAGCATCCTGCAATCCTCATTCATTGGTTATTATTCATCTTTAAAATGATTGGTCCGATTGAATTTACTCTGCTGCGATTGGACAAACGCACAGCTGATCTTTTGGAGTGCTGTCAGTATTGAAGCTGGAGCCAAACGATGAGGAAGAACTCGGGTGACCGCACCATGTCTGCAGCTTTGCAGCACCGCAAGGTGCGTGTGTCTGCCTTTTGTATTATTTAATCCCACTAAAGTCACTTTGTGGTTGTGTGCTGTAGGTATCAGGCTCTTTCGAGAAGTCGCAGGCGGAAAAACTCCACTCAAACGTGGTTAACCGACACTCTCCAGTGATGGCTCGTCGTTCGCGCGGGTACCATTCGGTCGCAACCGTCAACACTACGAATGGGAATAAAGGCATGGGGCTTCTTCCGTCTTTGGGCATCGGCGTCGCTGTCGCTGGGTCTATGTTCGTTGTGAGCTACGCAGCCGTGCTTTCGGCGATGACCGAGACGGCTTGAAGGTGTCAAGCGCTAGCTAACGGAAAGAGAAGCAATGAAAAGAGAAATAATGGCTGTCCTTGATTAAATTTACATATAATACCAACACGAAATGTTGGTGTTGTGTTGAATTGTTTGCGCGCTTCTTCCGGCTTCAATCATTTTTCTTGCATGTGTTGGGCTTGGTCACCACCTTCTTGAAGGCAAAATGTTCACGAACGAGGTCCAGCGAGCTCAACTGCATGTAAGTGCAGCACACTCCGGTACCAGCTGCCACCATGAGCAACCACTCGAGGGATTTCCGCTCCAAGTTGTGGAGAGTGTGCAAGAACAGCATGGAGCACAGTGCAGCGGGGACAAGCCGCGATATCCATGACGAGCAACGTGTGAAGAAGAAGATGGTGATGCCGCCGAGAATATAGCCAACGATAGTTGGGTACACGCCACCAGCTTCGTACGACATGTTCAGAAGGTCACGCCATGAGACCTGTGCAGCGGTAGCGATCAGTACATGTGAGTGTGTCAACCAGGTAAATGCAGTAATTCACCTCCTCCATCATGCGCTTGCCTCCTAGCTGCGCTGCTCGTATAAGTTCCTCCATCATCAATGCCATTGCCAGTACTTGATACAGAAGTAAAGTGAGGCGGTGTCATGCGCACTCCGAAGTCGTTTCGCTTTCTGTTTTTGAAAAACATGTATAAAAGCTAAAACTGTTTTAAGTGTGACCCCTGTCAACGCATAACCTCCGCCTTGCCTTGCAAAAATGAGTAGCGTTTATCTTTTAACACTAGCGGTCAGCTCACTATGAAGCAATGACACTGATTCAATCTACAATCAGTCTGATTACAGCCATATTACAGCAATTGGATGCCTACAAAGGAGAAAAACCATAGTCAACGGGGAGGAAACGCTAGTTGTTGACTGGGAGGTTGTGCTGTTGGAGGAATCAGCTGCTTGTGAGGCATACGCGTTCTCAGTGAACAAGTATTCCGTCGGAGGTGTCGGGGCCGCCGTCACGTCTGCTTCAACGTAGCTCGACGCAGAAGCCGTTCTTAAGGAACTTCTTTCGCTACCAACGCTTGACACCTCGTCGGGGAAAGAGCCCCCATACATGCCGCTAGACGAGCTGCCATATTCAGGTCTCGGTCTTCGTTCATCGTTCATCGTTCATCGTTCATCGTTGGAGGATTGTTACTTGTTATCGCTTCTTGACTCGATGTCATTACCAAATTCGCCGAGTTTTCGCTTCCACTTCAGCTTGAACACAATCTTGCCATCGAACTTGCACACACTCGTTTGCTCCATCCGCACAGTCGGCGCTTCTCGTTGTGCAAATCTCTGTGTAGTTTTTGCTGTCGAAGTAGCAGTCCGGAGCGTTTGCTACCATCTAGTCGAGCCAACTTGGCTCAGCTAAGTCACACATTCCGGCAGTGGATCGCCATACGCATGCTCAATAGCACGGTTCGGCTGGTTTCGCGTTCTGATCGTGCAACTTGATGGCGAGCTCCTTCTCGTACTGCGTGCAGAATTTCGTGTGTTCAGCAGTACCAACACTACTGGCAGCAGGCAGGACCTTTAAAAAGGTCTTCGTCATGTCATTCGGAAAGTCTCAGTGCACCTTAGAGCTTTTGGATCGTGGCTCAACTGCTCGTAGTAGCCCTCAAACTCAAATAATCTTTAGAAAACTCACCGGAATCGGAATCCACCATGACTTTCACCCCGCCATCTCGCATCGAATCATTAGCTTCGAACGATAAAACAAAGCCAACATGTAGGCAACATTTCTCTCCGTAGCCTGCACCACAAATTCAAGAATCACTTCACCACGAATTCTACGGTAGGACTCAGCATTCCCACCCCACGCTTTTGTATCAATCAAATGAGCTGCAGTTTGATAAGCTTGCATGTACTTAAGTATAAGGTAATAAATATTCTTTCACCACCAAGACCCAGCTCTTGACGATCGTGTTCATTACTGTCACTGCCACATGAATGTTCCACCGATATGTAGGTTTTCACTTGGCGAATCAATGGTCTCGATTATCCACCAAACCATTTTTGTTTTTGCAAACGCGCTTTCCACTCGAGTTAACTCACAATCACAACCGAATTTCAAAACACAATGGACAAGCAGAGTGCCATCGCGCTGGGCGTGACTGCCGGTCTGGGCGTCGGCTACCTGTTGGGTAAGGCTCAGCCTTCTGTGCCTCGCGTTAAGGCGGGGCAGAAGCCCACAACGGATCTCGATGAGGTGGAGAGGCTCATCCGTCCCAACATCCTGTCGCTCACGCCCTACCGATGTGCGCGGGATGACTACGACCAAGGTAACATGGCAGTACTACGCTACCGACAGCTATGGCCACACACTAAATCGTCTTTCTGGCAGGTATTTTACTGGATGCCAACGAGAACAGCCTAGGCCCTCCACTGCAGGGCCACTCGCAGCTTCAAGCCATGGAACTGGAGCGCTACCCGTGTCCGTATCAGCCTGAGCTGAAGAATGTCATCACCGACTTCAGGTACGTCAGCTCATGCGTCAGAGTGTCGATCTCGACGCCGTGCTAACTCTCCAATTTAAAATATACTTGCAGAAACCAGAACTCAACTGAGAAGATCAGCCAAGCGAACGCGTTCTTGGGCGTTGGAAGCGACGAGGCCATTGACCTGATCATCCGCGTGGCTTGCACGCCTCGCGTCGACAATATCATGATCACTCCGCCCACCTACGGCATGTACAGTGTGTGCGCTAACATTCACGACGTGGGAATTGTCTCCGTGCCACTGCAAATTGAAGCTCTGGCAGAAAACTTGAAGGGACTGAAGCCAGATCTCCCGCTGCCGGCCTTCCACATTGACCCCCAGGAGGTGCGCCTTTGATAACTTCGTTGACCCCGACATGATGATGTGCATCTAATCTCTCTCTTCTGTTTCAGATTCTTAACGCCGCTACTGACTCCACCAAGGTGATCTTCCTGTGCAGTCCTGGTAACCCCACGGCCAACGTGCTGCGCCTAGAAGATGTGGAGACGATTCTGAACTCAAAGGTTGGTAGCTGCTCTGCTAGATTGTTGTTGTTCGCTGTTTCTAACGCAAGCCTGACTGTTCTTCAGAAGTACAAGGGTTTTGTGGTGGTAGATGAAGCCTACATTGACTTCTCGGACACCGCCAGTCTGTGTACACTCGTGAACAAGCACAGAAGATTGATTGTTCTTCAAACGCTCTCGAAGGGCTTTGGGCTTGCTGGTATTCGCCTGGGTGTTGCTTTCGGTGACCCGAAGCTTATTCAAGTGCTCAACAACGTGAAGGCGCCGTACAACATCAGCAAATTGACGTCTGATGTCGCACGCAAAGCATTCTCGAACCTGGATGAGCTGCGCAAGAACGTGAACCTAATCAAGGAGGCAAGTGTGAACTATTTCATTGATGATTAGGAACATTACTAATTTGTTTGCCGCTTGTATTGCAGGAGAAATATCGGGTGATCAAGGAGCTGCAAAAGCTGTCTTTCGTGCGTTGTATCTACGCCTCTGACTCCAATTTCGTGCTGTTTGAGGTAGGTACACTTGCTCTGATAATTTTGATATTTTTTTCAATCTTACGTTTTTTGTTATCAGATCCCGCATGCGCTGTCAGTGTATCGGCAAATGGCTGGCCGAGGCGTTGTAATTCGCTATCGAGGCAACCAGCACTTGCTCACTGACTGTCTTCGTGCCACGATTGGATCCCGTGAGGAGAATGACCGTATGCTCGAATTGCTTGTGGAAGTATACGGTGAGCAATAAGTCGAGCCAGGAAGGTGATTCAGTTCGCTGCTCTCAGCGATATAGTGCTAGTTCGAGGGCGATATCTGACATATAGGAGTGTGCGCTGCATTGCGTACAACTCACCTACTTTTACCATGCTGATAAATTCAAAACATGAAGCGCTATATTGGAGGTGCTGCAGCTGGATGTTGCTGGGCTGGGTCCTCTGATAACTACATTTACCAAAGACTGGTCGACAACCATTCGGGGGCGATTGGAAGGTATGGTTGGAGCTTCAAAGAGAGATCAGTTCTTCCTGGATATGGACTATTAGTCGGACTCATCAGGACTAGGACATGATGGAATTAAATCGCTGCGAAACACAAAGAATATGACCCATGTAAAATGCTTCTGTGCGAGTAACGTGAGGAGGGGGCATGAAATATCATGATGTGATCCGGTGAAAGGCACCACCTCCTTATTTCTCTTACTTTCTCCCAGCGACGTAAAAGCTACAATGGACAGCTGCATTGCGTAGAATTTTTAAGTAAGCCGTACGTAACTCTCTGCTGGCAAAATCAAGACTGAACGAAGCTTTCGTCTTCTCCCTTGAATGTGGTCACAACATTTCTCACGACACAGTTAAAATGGTTGGGATGTTATTAATCTCCATACAAAAAATCAACACCTTTAAATCGTTTACCAAAAGTGCCGTACTTATCCTCGAAGCAAACTTTTTCTCAACGGATCTCCTCCATCGGATGCGTTATCAGCGCCCATGCCCTTGCCAAAGAACAGTCTGCCACCTCGAATGGGACTCGAAGTTGCGGAGAGACCACCAGGTCTTCTACGAGGAGGAAGTCGTCGGTTAAAGTACAATACCGACAGCGCCGGCACAACTTCCAACAGCGCGTAGTACACCACGACTACAAACCACGTACTGCGGTCATGCAGCTGCTTCTTTTCCGTGGACAAATAGATTTGCAGTCCGCAACGAGTCATGAAGCAGGACGTGCCGACCGATGTCATGATCGCAAGCTCCTTGAGCTTTCTTGATCGAATGCCAAGCTCCACCGGTACAGATCTAAACTCGACAAAATATTGCGAATCAGTCAGTTGAACAAAATTTTCTCGTTCTGCTATCAGGTACTCACCGCAGTTCAATGTAAGCGTTCCGTCCAAAGTAGATAAAGCCGGTGGCGATAATCAAGAAGAGCTCCATGTTCAAGATTGCTTGTGATCGGGTAAAGAAGGCACCTGCAATAAACCACAGCTTAGACTTTAATGGTTGACAATTCCACTATTGCAACTGGCTAAGCACGTACGTTCGTGACGCCACACAGACGCGTAGAACACCCAAAACAATCCTTGAATGAGCAGCACAATCTACACACACGCCTCATCAGTGCCACTATGTTCTACCAATGCAATATCTTCGCAAAGCTATCGTCGTACCACGATGAACCATCGGATCGCAGGCTTCACCACGTCCGTCAGTGTCGATAGCTTATCCACAGCGTTGTAGTACACCTCCGCCCAAAATTGAACCAACAGCGCATAGATCGCAAAGAATGCCATAATTGGCACTTGGTCCAAGATGTAGAACAGGTCTCGCTCGCCTGTAGAGCACTTGGATACATTGACCTTCCCACTCAGCACGTCGCACCAGTCAGAGCCCACTAACGCTAGGAAAATCGAGCGGACTGCAGCATGAAAATTAAAGAACACACCCACGCTCATTAGAGTGCAACATTATCATATCAGGATTTATGCTCAAGAATGCTCACCGAGTGTCGCGAAGAACATGAGCAGATGAATCATCTTTTGAACGGTCCACGGGCGATAGCGGCAACAGTTGCGCACAAGCTGGACACCCGCTGCGCCTCCCACAAGTGCGTAAACGATGCCATCAACAAGGAACGCGGCACCAACGCCCAGTTCCTCGTCCCCCGAACCGCTGCCGTTGTCGCTTCCCCGCGCTAGGAGCAACACCCACGTCGGTTCCATTGCTATTGAAGAATGATGTCACTAACTCCTGATTTTGTCCTCTATTTAGTGACAGTTTTGTCAGATTTGGAAAAATAAAATGGCGGCAAGCACAGCACCGAGTGCGGAATTACGCGCTGAGGACGTGCGGCAGTTATGGAGCCTGGCGCGCTTATTGGCACAAAAGAAGCTGACGATGCAGACAGCTCAGTGTCTCAAGGTGAGCGACTGACGGCGTACACTCAATAACTGGTCCGTAAAGAGAGATTCTAATTACCTTTTTTGCCCTATAGCCCCTTTGCGCACTCGATTGCAGCATCCGCAGCGCCGAAGAGCAAGCGATTTTGCTGCAAGCGAACATTCTTCTAGCTGAGATCTGCAGTGTAGCCTGTAGCAACAAAAAGAAGGCGGACCCAGATCTGTGGACACGCCGAGTGATCCAGACAGAGGAATGCATCCATTCAGCTGATGCTGCCATTGCACGGGGAATTTCTTGTAGTGTAAGTTGTAGTTGATGAACAGTTGTATTGGGTGTGTAGTGATTGTTGTGTTGTGTTGTGGTCTGTAGCATGAGAATAGGCTGCGGCTACTGAAGGCGAAGTTTTTGCTGCAGCAACAGTTGAAGATCGATCGGGCGGCGAAAAATCGTCGGATGCTGGAGATTCTGTGCGAAGGACTGATAAGCTGTGCAGAAGCTGAAGACGATGACCCTGAGCTGGCCGCCGAGTTTCGGAAATATTTTGGTGTGAAATTGAAGGCCTGTTTGGTGAAAATGCACGCTGCAACCGTCAAGGCAAAGTATTCCAAAGACAACGATGCCGTCACTAGTTTGGCGGATAACTTGAAGTATCTGCGAACTACGCTGCCGAGCTCTGTCGACAAACACTTTCTGGTAGGACATTGAGCTAGGTGCATTGATTTTTTTGCTATTCGAGTTGATCTGTTGCGATACTGACGTTTTATGCTTGTTCCTTACAGTTGTGGCTGGTGGAAGTGACCTGCCACACCGCGATCTCGTCTTTTCAGCCTGAAAACGCCGCAGACATGCACCAACTGGTTGCATTTGGCCAGGAATTCTTTGACAAAGTGGCGCTCGAGCACCCGGTCTCACGAGATTTCCGCATTCACCATTTAATTATCACTGGATTCTACTACTTACGGTAGGTTTCGATTACTGGAGCTAACACGCGACGGTATCCTAATTACTTGATGTTGCTTAATAGGACCGGAAAGCTAGCGAAAGTGACACCGCTCCTGGAGCAAATCCAAGCCTTTGTTCGTGGCACTGGTAGTGGTGACCAACAGCTTTCCGGCGTTTTGAAGGACAGATACCTGAACACAATCCTGGACTCGATGCGTGTGGCCGTCCTTGCATGCTCGGATTCAAAGCAGGCGCTTGATCTTGCCTTGACTACCGCAGTCGCAGCTCAAGCCAACCTGAACACATACGACAAGTACCCGGCAGTGCAACTCATGCTCATAGCAACGCTGTTCGATATGGTATATGTCTACTGCCGGCTGCTGGGCTTGCAGTGTCGATACGCGGACTTGGGAGCTAGCATCGCTCAGATGACTACTTTATTCGCCAAGTATAAGTCGCATTTGGAGCGTAGCATCTTCTATCGCTTCTTCCTCGCGCGGTGCCACACACTGATTGCAAAGGTATTGCATTTTGCAAACTACAATTCACTGAGCTCGCTAACGCTTTTGATGATAATCCCAAATGTGCAGTATGCAACAGCCATTGGGAAGGTGAAAGAAGCGTGTTCCCATTTGAATTTCGTCGTCGACAAGGTGCTTCCTGCTCCCACGAACGAGGAAATGCCATATCCCGATGCATACCTGGCCGTGTGGGTCGACGTGCTCGAAGTGGCGATGTATTGCTGCGGAGAAACAACACAATCATCTCCGTTAAATGACAGTGCTACGGCATTACACGTCAGACAGATCTATCCAAGCCGGGTGCTGCTAAAATGGGTCACTCGTATTCTGAAATCCGACGGCTTGAGGCATCAGGTGAACCAGTGCTGTAGTGTCGAGTTGAAAGCAAAGGTATGAACGCATTGTTGAGTAGTCATTGCTTCTACAAATACTAACCATGGCGTTCTCAATTTGTAGTACAACCTTGCGCTAGCCAAGTGGATGTGGGCTACAGAAAGACTGTCAAGTGACAGCGATGCCGCCCACTTCACCCAGCATACAGAACTGGAGGAACTGCGTCCGAAAGCGTTCACGCTCCTTCACGAGGCTCTCCAGCACATGAACACAAGTGTTATGTGCTGCGAGACCACATCAGAGACCATGGCGCTCTTTGGACCACATCTGGTGGCTTACGGCAAGATGAAGGAGGGCGAGGAAATACTGAAAAACGCCATCGACACAAGTCTCCAGACCAAGAATGTTTTGCTGCAGACGCGACTTTGTGCGGATGTGTTCCAGTTCTATTCGAACAAGGGGCTGATTGAGGAGAAGGCAACTATAGCCTCCAAGTACGAGAAGAAGTTGGCTCTGCTCCAGCGACGAATCGCGGCCGCACAGGCCGAAAATGCCACGACCACAGCACTGTTGCGATGGACTGCTGGTTCGAAGGCGTCGAAACCCTCGCGTGGATGAACCAACTGATCTGTCACAGCAATCGGACACAAGACCGACGTGTGCACCGGATCGTGCCTGCATTGAATCTGCCTGCGTTGCTCATTTATATTATCCACAAGACGAAATCTTGCGTTCCGCCTTGCGCACCCGTTCGGTGCTTTTTCTCCAGTCGTCGTCACGCCTACACGTCATCGATCTGATCATAGTCGTGCCACAGCGCCCGCTGTGTGCTTGACCGCCTGCGCCATCGGGACGCCCTGAGCCTTCATCGCTGTCGCGCACGTTGATCCTGCTGCCTCCGCCTGAATCAATACGAAAGCCGCGTTAGCAGTCTTCTAGCGATATTCACCGAATTAGCTCGACGCTCTCACCATGAAGCGCAGTTCATTCTGGAAGGACACAGTGAAGTTGCCCACCAACATGTCCGCTACGCGTTGGAGCGCCCGCAACACTTCCTCCTTCATCGCGACTTTCTGGGTTAAAAGTGTCTACTTGACACAGATTGCAGCCTGCACAAAATGGGTACATCGTACCGTTTTGCCAGCTGTCTCTGCCATTACTCGGCTCATCTGGCATCCAACTGCCCAGACCAGACGCCAGGTCGCACCTTGAAGAAACTGCGTTCTAAAGCCACCACAAAGCTTTTCTCCACGTCGAGCGCCCCCAAGCTCTCGTAGCTAAGCATTGGCCACCTCGTTGTCTATCGCCATGCGCCACCAGTACGTTGAGAAGGTTGATCTCGACAGCCTCCCCATTTCTGTCTTTTGTAACCTTATAATGGGCCCTTCATCTCATTTCTGACGTGTCTGGTTGATGGATAGGAAGCGACTATGCGTGGAGGTGGTCGGCGCTCGCAATCTCGAGAGTCCTCAGTCCGTGGACGCCTACTGCGTGGTGGGGCTGTGTGACATCAAGCCCAGGAAGGCGCTCGGGCGCCCGCGCCTTGCCGCATCGCCTAGTTTCCGCTCGTCGACTGTGACAGCTTCTAACAACCCCACTTGGGGTCATGTGGTCGAGTTCGTGGTGCCTGCTCGTCCTGCGAGCGCGCGACTGAGAGTGCAGCTCTTCAGTGAGAAAAATTTCTTCTTTGACATGTTCCCATCGAGTAGCAATTCGTCCGATGAGGAAGGAGAGAAACTGAGGGATCAAACGGACTACACAGCAAAGGAACAGTGGAGGAGCGCAGTGTCCAAGCCACAGATCTTTGTCAATGGAGGCAAAGGGATATATGACAGCGACAGTGATGATGTCGTGACGCTTTCGGAGGAGGAAGATGAGGATGACGACCAGGTTATTGATGAGGACGATGTCTGGCCGGTAATTGAAAAGGAGGCACTTGCTGCAACAGAAAGTATTGACGACGAGCTATTGGGTGTTGTGGAGATCAACTCGAGCTTGTTGTGTAAGCCATCGAGAGTTGTAACCGACTCATGGTACTGTCTCGGCGGCACGAGGACAGGTGAGGTGCGGATTCGCACCATTTGGTATGAAGGAGCGAAACGAGTTCTAACGGTACAGGATCGAGAGGTGCTGTTTGAGGAGCAAGTGAAACATTCGATGACGAAGTCCATGAGCGATTTCTACGGGTTTAACATATCTGAAACAGCTCGAGAGGAGTGGGTACACTTGCGTTCCTATCAGGATTGTCGCGAGGAGAGACGTGTCGAGGACTGGACAAAATTATATGGCACTCAATTCCCAGAGCGGCTACGACGCTGCTCGTATAAGGAGAAAGATACAGAGGAGAAGACGCTTCTTATGCAGCTCGCTCGGGCTGGAATCCCGCGTCACTTGCGAGAACGTGCGTATTTTAATCTTTCTGGAGCGAGTGAGAAGCAGGCTAATGCAGGACCGAACTATTACGCAGAGTTGGTGAAGAAAGCCGAGACGATGGAAACGGAGACGTTCCGCCAAATTGAGCTGGATATTGACCGCACGTTTGGACACTCGGGAACGACGATATGTTCCGTGTCAGGACGTGATCAGCTGCGACGCATACTTCGAGCCTACTCTCTCCGCAACCCGTCCGTTGGTTATTGCCAAGGACTGAACTTTATTGTGGCGTTTCTGATGCTGATGGCGGATGAAGAAGTTATTTTCTGGCTTTTGAGCGTCTTCTGCGAAGATTTATACCCTGGCTATTATTCTCCAGCGATGAGTGATATCCAGAGAGATATGTTGGTGCTGAAGCAGTTGATCGCTGAGGAACTTCCTCAACTGGATGAGTTCGCGGCGGAGGTTGGCCTACCGTTAGAGCTGCTGGGCTCGCAGTGGTTACTATGTTTGTTCACGATGACGTTCCCGAGCGAGACAGTATTCCGTATTTTTGACTGCATCTTTACGGAGGGCTCAGCTTTCGTGTTCCCTGTCATTATGGCGCATTTGAGGCGGATGGAACCGATATTACTGGATCTTGTGGAGTTCCACGACGTGCTGTCTTCAATCAAAGACGCGGAGAGTGCTTGCATCGATAGCGATCTGTTTATGACAGCAGTATGCAAAGAAGCCGAAAGTATCACGGCCTCTCGAGTTCAGAAGCTTCGGGAACAGCAATGTGGATCTGTACGCAGCGAAATGGAGCGAGCTGAACGTGCTCGTGCGTTTAACCAGCAACTTGCTGTCGTCTACCAGATTCCTGCATTCTCTACTTATGCTGCGGGGCTGCTTCGCTTTTTCCATGAGGAAGCAGAAGGATCCTCACGCTCGGATGTGGCCTTCGTATTGACGATGCTCTGCCATGGACTCGTGTGGCTTGCAGAGCACTCTAAGCGATGGAGCTAAGAAACGGGAAGAAGACGCCCAGAATCGAGGCGCTTCAATGTTGCCTCTATTGTATAAGCCGTGCCGATAAGTATTTAATTTCTGACATAGTTGTAGGAAGCGGGACTGTCGTGATGTAGTGAACCAGTCCCAGACAGTAATGTATAAGGCAAGGATTTGTAGCTAGTTTGATGAGAAAATGTCCACTGAAGTTGGCTCAAATAGTATGGTTCCTTATTTCTTGCCCTTCTTCGCAGCAGCACCCTTCTTACCGCCCTTGGCAGCTACAGGTGCCTTACGCTTCTTAGCGCCACCAGCGCTCGGCAGAACCGTGAAGAAGCTGTCGAGTCGCTTCTGTGACTGGGTGCTCTTAGACTTTTTCAATCGCGTGATGGCTGAAAGCACTCGGTCCTCCTGGAATCCGTGCTTTTTGACCAGGAAGTCCAGCAGTTCGGTCTCCTGTGGGTCGCGCCACTTGATCTCCGTCTCCTTGGCATCCACAACTTCGGGCTGAATGAACATATCGCGTGCGTTCTTGTAGATGGGATTTTCTCCCAGCCACTCGTCCGGAATAACCACACCCTTGCTCTTGTTCTTCTGCAGAGCCTCAAGGAAGTTCTCGATGTTCTTGTGCTCCTTGATACCAGCGAACGCCTTCTTGGGACCCACACCGCGAATTGAGTCACAGTAGTCGCATCCACACAAAATGCACAGGTCCACGAACTGCTCCTGCGTCAGCTCAAGCTCCTGCAGCGCACGCTCCAGGCGGATCTCCAGGATCGGGATCTTCTTAGCCGGTGACACTGTCAGACGACGGTACAGCACGGGCACACCGAATGTCAGAGCGTCCATATCCTCCGTGCCGGCAGCATAAACGCGTCCGCCCTTGGCAAGCGCAGCACACGAAGCTTCAGCCTCGCAAGGGGCCGTGATGTGCGGTACACCCATGAGTCTTAGCAGTTCCTTGCAATCTTCGTTATGCTGCGGTGTGGCACGCACCAGACGCTTATTGAAGCGGTCAATATCCTCGGCGTTGCCCTTCTCCGTAGCCTCCTCAAGCGCCTTCTGTGCCTCCTGGCGACGGTCACTACGCTTTGCTAGTTCGCCGCTCTTCATGACTGGTGGCTTGCCGTCGAACACGTACACGGGTTTAAGACCGTTCTCCATCATACGGATAGTGCGGCTGAACATGCCCTGCAAGTGGGACGTCACCTCGCCGTCTGCATTCGTCAATGCCTGGGAGGGACCTCCACCATCGGCAGAGCGAATGGCGATGAGAAATTGGTACAACGCCATACTAGCATCGATGGCCACAGCGTGTCCCGCCAGCGCCGACATCTTCTCCACCTCCTTGATGCAGGACGGAGCCTCCTCCTGCAGCAGCTTCATCAGACCTTTAATTCCCATGCTTGGCGCGCTATCTGGAGCTGTTGGTTGTGGTCTAAAATGGGTTAAAATCAACTTGCAGCGGGTTGAAACAAAATATTTTTCCCGCCAAAATCTCTAACATAACGGGTATAATTTCGGTTAAGAATATTTGTAACTTTTGTGAAATTGCCTTTCATTTGTCTCTTCATGGAACATAACGACTACATCGACAGCAAGATCGTGCGCTATGAGTACGGGGACGTGCTGGACGCTAGGTAGTGGTGCAAAAGATAATCATGTAAGCCTGCGCCTCGGCGGTAGACGCGGATCTCTAGGACGCCTATTTCACTTTCGTGACTTTGGAGTCACCACCGGTAAAGAACGAGACGTCATTTCCTCGGTGAAATGGTAACCGCGACTTCTCTATTTCTCTTGTGCCAATGACGAGAGTCTATAGCCTGCTGCATCTCAATAGTTTCGTTTAACATGACTTGCAGGCACAAACGCGACCGCTGAACAGACTCGTTCACCACCATACACATCAGGCTCCGATGCTAACAAACCGACTGAAAGCACAGCAGTGGAGCTTTGAGGTTTCCCACGAATTGACTGGACATGGCCACATCCAAATGGCGTGACGACAGGATCGCCGATGAAGAAACCACAACGTAGTAACTTGAGACGCAGCTCCTCTTTGTTAGATGAAGTTTCCAGCACTAAATCCTCGACACGAACTTTGCCGTATCCAAACGAAAACCGAACTTCACAGAAGCCCACATCGTAGCAAGTCTCGCGGATAATCCCAACACCCCATCGACGACAACGCACCAAACTACCAACAGACAAAATGGAGGAAGGCTCCAGATATGCTTCTCGACTCCAGGGAAATTTGACCTCAATGCGCTTGTCAGTAACTCGGAGTGCCGTGATTACCCCGGAGCCGAACTTAGTCGCAACGATGCTCCCCACGTCTGTAACAACAACACTTACACGTTAAAAGACATTGCCACTAAACCTACAAAGCTCAACACGCTCACTTACAAGCGTGTGGAAGAAGTGAGCTGGCATCGCCAACGAAACTGAGCCCCTTTCGGAAAAGCAGCGTCTTGGCGACTTTGACATCAAGAAGGAACCTGTTCAGCAGCCCGAATACGTACTCGGTCGACGATCCATTTGAGTCTTCCGCCAAATACCGAGCTGTGCCGTCCCACACGGAATGTAATGTCTCCAGATCCATCTCAATGTCTTCAAATGCGGCTTTGATGTTCATCAGTCGCTCTCTCATGACTGAGATGAATTTGCTCTTCATCTTGTACTGACGTGGTTCAAATTTCTCGTTCGCTTTGCTGGAGCTAGCCCCACCAATGTCTGACATTTCTTGTTTTGGTTTCGTTGCCTGCTGCCTGATCGCTGCTAACAGTGCAGCTTGTGAGTCACCGCTTAAAGTGGATATACCATTTTGATCTGCCCCGGCATCGCTGTTACCTGCCACACGTGAACGGCGTTGCTTGATGGATGAGCGATGATTGCTATCTGGATTAAACGTTGGTTGTTCACACTTTCTGATAGAAGCTAGGAGCGACGATCTCGCGCTTGATGCTCGCACTGCCTCACTCAAGCGCACTGAATTATCTTCGTTCCAGTTTGTTTCATCTCGTACGTTTTGTGGACGACTACGAATGGCATTCAATAGTGATGCATGAGGTGAACTTGCGGACGAAATTATAGCATCCCGATCCACCTCAAAGCTAGCATGTCCCCTTTCACCCGCGCTTATTCTGGCTGATAAGTTTTCCTCAGTTGACTTCGTATCAATTGCTCCTCCACGACTACGGATTGCAGATAGCATAGCAGCATGCGGATTATTCGACGTGAGTCCATTATTCACGGTTTGAACCCCAAAATCGACCACCGTGTTTGAGCCTCGCTGTCGAATTGCGCCGAGGATGACATTTTGAGGATCTGACTTTCCTTCTTGCGGAATATTGGGCACTCTGTTACTCTGAATTACCACTGGGCGATGCCGCTGAACCTTTCGCTCTTCAAATTGGTGCTTTCTAAGCGCCTCAGCTTTGTTGAATCGCTTCAAATCCTCCACCATGTCTTCCTTAATCTCTTGCTCGAGCTTGGTGATTTCCTGCTGCAATGATCGTGCTTGAGAGTCGCAGATCACGTTAGAGTATCTCCTCGCGTCGATCAATGTACTAAGGTCGTTAGTAAATAGTAAAACATCACCTTCACCGCGGTTCTAACACACGACAAAATCACACATACTTAGTTCAACGAATCAGTAAGAAGCCAACAGCGGGACACTTACGTGGATAAGTTTGATGATGAACTGGAGGAGGGTCATACTTTGGTCTATAGCCTTGGTCTCTGACAGCTAAGGGTAGCAATATGAGCATTCAATTAACATACGCTGGAACGATCAAAGGCAAGGCTAGACAAACGTACCTTCAAAAGAGAAGCAAGCGTAATACCGTGAGCACCTTCAAGTTCTGTGCCGGTGTTCAGAAGATTTCCAATCACCAATACCAATTCGAAGCACCGGGCAAGGCGCTCGCTCTGCAGGATTTCGTAACAGGCCTGGGTAATCACCCGAATCCGGTTGCGCAACTCTTGCTGCTGGTGTTGAAATTGTGAAGCAAAGAACATCACATTAATCTGCATTCAAAACAGCAAGCATGTCAGTCAACAAGCTCAAATTCATAGACCAGCGTCGTACTTTTTCCGTCACTCGAGGAATCTCACACATTTCCACCAGGAACTTTTCTGCAGGTTCCAGTCGTGAACGAGATCCTCTGAAGTTGGTGTAACGCTTCACTTCAACACTGTTCGGCGCGATGTCTTGCAGATTCGTCAAGCGGTCGAGTGTGAGGAATTCAAAATCACAGTTCTTTAATGCTGACAAAATGGCCGCCGCCCCTCCAACGGCCTTGAATTGGCTCAATCCAATTGAAATGTTGTTGGATCTTCGTGAATCAAGAGCCGAGAATCTGGTCTTTTTTGCACTGGTTACCTTGGACTGGGAAGGTGACGCTGCCGTTCGGTTTCCGAATAGATATTCCAGTTCTTGAAAATCCTGTGGCGATAGTGTGATCGGAGCAGTCTTTCGCCTTGAGGTCACACGAGACCAGATAGTTTCGTTGGCCTTGTCCGAGTCCAAATTAGTCCAGTAAACCTTACGAAAGGTGCTGTCACGTCGATTTAAACCACGACTACCCGATCGTTCTCTTTTACTATGGACACAACACAAAACAATATCAGTACAGTGCATACTTACTCTATCGCTGAATACCTACACACCTTGTTGTACGACCAAAACCGGAAGCAGTGCTTCCCTCAGGACCTGCAACAAATATTGCAATTTTATCCGAAGTCATTTCGTCTTGAGTCATTTTTTGGGCCACTCCGCTGGATGGAACACCAAAGCTAAGCATCTTGAAATACTTGTCCATAGCAGGGTCTCTGCGAAGCGCAGCGTACTCTGGTCGTTCACCACTTTCACCAGCACTTTTGCCCTTCATATTAGCAATACGTGCTCGCTAAAACCATAAATGTTAGACGCATACTGCACACTTCAACAGTAATCGACTCAAGGTACTCACCTCTTTCTCTTTTTCTTTGATGAAACATCCATCGCAGACTTTCAACTGTTGACCCTTTCCGTTGACTTGAACATGATGACGAGAGCACTGGATACACACGATTTTCTTGCAACAAGGGCATTCGTGCTGTCGGCTAAAGAATGAGAACGGGGTCAGACACTGGTCGCAGGCTTCAGGATTTCCTTCACTTGATAGTAAACCTCCGATATATGACACAGGATTAGAGAGAAGCGAGGAGCGGAACCCCATAATACCATCATCCATGTCTTGATTGCTTTCTCCTCTCACTTGTTTTCGTTGAAGTATCACTTCCGTCTCCTCTTTTTGATGCAATGACGCCATGTATTCGGCACAGCGTTCACTTCCGGCCCGCGAAGCGTGATTCCACGAAATAGATTGAGCCATTTCCAAACACCCTTCCCATGCCGCTACGTACGCGGCTGTATCAGCGGACAAGTATCGAATCTGAACTTGTTTTGATCGAACCATAGAGTACGAGTTGTCCAGTTTCAGTGTCAGACCTCCAATTGGACTGGACTTAAATCGCACGATGAGTTCAATCCACTCGTCCAAAGCTGATAAACGTATTGGTTTAGTCAGATCTTGACCATCTTGAGTAGCGACGGAGAGCAAAATATCTTGCGTTTGGACGCGTAGCTGCGCTAAGACAACGGGGGCGCCCGAAACCTCAGAGATTGAGAGCAGCTCAAATGTAGAGCGTCTGCATTACAGTGAAAAAAAGATGGTACAGATTGGTAACAATTGTGTAGTTAGATTAAGGAGTATCGAATACGTACCCAATCACAGTTTCTTGAAATGGTTCACCGTGAAGAATGTACCGAGGAACGGTGCAATTGTCAAGTTGCTTCATTTCGTCAGGATCTCCTTCAATGAACTTCATCACACTGCTTTCACTTTGCACGTCATCATAAAAAGCTAGTTCGTTGCCAAGAAGTGGGGCTTCTGGGGCGCATTGCTTGAGATTGCGTGGAAACTGGGATTGGTCTTCGTCGCTACACTCGTCAGGAGGATAAGCAGCTAGCAAAAAAGTGACTCCATTCAACGCACTGAGAAATGAAGCGATTTTTCGGGCGTCCTCATACTTGTACAAAAGGGCTTTTGGCTCATAGAACTTCTCCACAACCACTCTCCGTTTGCTCAAATTCTATCATATCGAAACATTAGAAAAAGTGTGACAAATTGATGACCCACATCCATATCCACAAAACGTACTTCGAATGCACGCTGTAGAATTCCCTTGTTTAAAGTCAGCAGTAAAAAGGAGCGAGAATTGTTCCATCCCAGATACTGCAAGTTCGACGGAGGTTCTCCTGCTTGTACTTCGGCGACGATGCCCATGTCGTCGCGCAGCACGTGTTGCGTCTTCAGTAAAAATTCGTAGAAAGGTGCCTCTGGCCACACATCCAGAAATTCTTCCTACGTTTTAACACATTAATGAGCCACTCATCATACATGCATACACGAAAAAAAATAGTGGGCATACCTTGATTCCATTGCACAGAACAGCTTCGAGCGCCAATATGAATGGCCGAACGGCTCCTTCATGCAGTGGACTGTCAGGTTTCGCAATGAAAATCGACACAATGTCCATCACCGCCTGCTCCAAATTCGCTGTCATTCTTTCGTTTCCCACTTTTCTTTCTTCGTCACTCATTGCACGCTCCTTTTCCAATGTCTTTGCTAAATGAGGAAGTGGCAATCCAGCTGCCGCTCTTCTCGCTCTTCTCTGCGAACGCGACTGCGACTCTTGCACTGCCAACTCCGCAGCTGCAACGACACGGTTTGATGTCATTAGGAACCGATACCGCACCTGCTTATGGCGCACTAACGAGTAGGAATTGTCCCAACGCAAAGTGTACACGCTTTCTGGTTTGATATTGTCGAATCTGCCCTCCATCGTCGACTCCATAGGCTCAACTTGCAGCGGATGTGGCACCATCATTGCGTTTGTATTTGGGTCACTGTCATCTTGCTTCGCCGCGTTAAACCGCCCTAAATCCTGCACAACTACCCCATTTTCCAGCACTTGAAAACCAACATCGTACTCGTGGAGCTGGAATTGCCACAACAAACACTCCTGCGGATCGTCATTCTTCTGCAATGCAATAGAAGGAATGGGTAGAGCTATGTCTGCTACGCTTCCCCGTCGAATATCCAACGAGACCCATGGAGCCGCTTGCAGAAGGAACGAGGCAGCAGTCGGAGGCATTTGACACTGTCCTCCCTTTCTCCACTTTTGACTCGAAAGAAATTGAATTTGAAAAGCGACTTGTGAGACAATATGAATTTCAACCAATGAAGAGGCAAATTCAATTTGTTTAAGCCAATAAAGTGTGGTCTATGTTATCAGTTATCAGATGGCAGTCACAAAGACTGATAACCACGACGGTTCATGTAGCGCTGGAACGTTGTGGCCCCGACTGCACCAAGGGCAACTAGACCACCGGCCGTCAAAATTGACCACAGAACACTCGTACGTTTGGGCTGTGCCTCTTCCTTCACTTCGACGATCGTCGCGTCATTCACCACCACGTTCATGGGCTTGGGAGTCTTGACGGTCTTGACCGCAGGAACGTTCACTGGATGGTAGTCGCAGAGATCCTGCCATGGACCGGTGGACTGGATATGGTTCTCGATAATAGCAGTAAACTCATTCAAAGGGCACTGGAGTTCGCAGGTGTCGAGCTTGACCGCCGTGCGAGGGCTGAAGGGAGACCATACGAACAGTTGCACGAAGTGGTCGTCACTCTTGCGGTACAGTTCGAAGAACAGCGTCGACGCCGGGTGCAGAGGCGTTGAACCATTGTACTGTGGCAGACCCTCAAAGTTGAACTTCATGCCCATCATGAAGCCCAAACCGTGCATGAGCTCACGATGGCCGTGGTAAGATAGGTATTTGGGACTCTCCGGGTTCCGATTTGGTGAAGCGCCCTCACGCAAATTTCGCACTAGAAGTTGTGGGAATCCTCCGATGGCCACAGTGATTTGAGTGGGCGTCGAGTAGAGACGTTCAAGAAGATGCTGGAACGCGAGCTCCGAGACATCCCTTAACAACTCGGGTGTGAGTCCGGGAGCGGGGTCATGACCCTCGTCCTGGTCAAATAGGAACATGTCGTTCACATCCTTGATCGCCGTAACCGGATCATTACCAGTGTAAAAGACCTTTCCGCAAATGTCAGCAAGAGCTTCAAGTGTCTTCTTGTGCTTCTCGATTGCAACCGCGGCTCCTCCTTTTAGGTACGCTTTGTTATTCGCCGACATGACCGGCCAGCAAGGTCCGTTCGCGGTGAAGTCGTGCTCATTCTCGAATAGCTGCATGTACACAGGGATCGGTTGTCGTGCGTATCCGTCGGGACCAGTACCCTCGGGATACAGTCCATAGCCCATTGAGATTGCACTCTGGCCGCATCGATTTGCAGCGTCGGCTCGGAAGTATCCCTCGAAGTGCGGATCGTCTTCCGGTCCATTGAACGTCGGGGACAGGAAACCTTTCTCGTTCACATACACTTCGCGGATATGATCTCCCACCTTCTCCATCTGCTCCATTCCTCGCTCAGTGAGCTGCTCGAGCGGCACCGAATACGCCTTGACATTTGGCAAATTGTTCGGACAGTGAGCCTTGACCGTCGGATTCGGTGCACGACTACCATGACGCGAGAGTGAAATGAGCATCACAAGCTCAGAGTCCGTCGAGGTATCTGCGCTGACAGCACTCAGCATCAGCGAGGCAAGCGCAGCGAGGATGGCAGGGATCCGCATCTTGGAAACTTTTTTTTCACAGTGTCGTCTCGCTTGGTGGTGGTCTTGCAAATTCCGAAATGAGCTTGTATAAGGCAACGCTGAAGCACCGAGCTAAGGAAAAAGAACCCTTGAAACCCCCCGACGCCACTTTCTAGTTGCAACGGACGCATTTGATCAAAACGGCAACTGTCTGAGATGGCTACAATTTGTTGTGACCTTTCGTCTTGATTGATTTTCACCAATCAGATGTGACGAAACACAACAGATTGGACACCAGCAGCTCATGTGTCAATTGGCATGGAGGCGACCGCTGTGTACCCCAATGCTGTGCCAGTGCTAGCCTCCAATGGACTCGGCGTGACGTTAGCAGGCACGGACCCGGACCATGTGCCGCTCGAGCCCGACCTGATCAATGATGCGCGTCGTCGATTCTTCCCAGACGGCTGCGCGGTGGATGCGATCGGCGTGATGCGTCTGCATGTTCGCAACGCACTGGGTTACGCGTTCCTGCGACCACATCAGCGTAAAAAGCTGCTACCCAAACATGGAGGTTTAAAGGTTATGAAGGGGATGGATTGGTATTCACAAGCGGCATTCTACCGAACCAACTACCGCCATTTTGTGCCGCACGATCTGATGATGGACTTCCTGGAGAACGAATGCCCGTACGTTGAGATAGACACTGCTGCTGCGTTGGAAACTTGTCGTTGACTTGAACAATTGTATTCCGTAGCCCACAAGTAGACTGCTACAATTTGTCCAAGTGGCAGGGCAATGCGATTACTGGAGTCGACTGTGGCCAGGACGGTCATGTGATATTTTATCCTACAGGGCATGTGTTACAGCAAGCGTGTGCATGGTACAGCAAAGGAGAAACAAAGGATGACCCGCCATGCTCAAGCACTGTGATTGAAACAGGGTCTCCTATTCGACAGTTTACAGTGATGGGAAGCAGAGATGCGTATCATTCCAGCAGTACGGCAAAGATAATCGCGGCTGCACGTGGTCATACGCACTGCACAATTATCGCAGCTCCAGCACGTATTACCCGTGACAACGTGCGGAAGATGCATGCCAAGACCAAGCTCTCTTTCCCTGGAATTATTAACCATGTTTCTGGAAGCCCTCACGCAGAGGCCGAGTTGGCCGTGGTTACGAGCGATGGCACGGTTCGGCGCTGGGATCCAGAAGGAGGAGTCCAAACTGTCAAGAAAGACTCGTATGCATCGGATCGCATTTTACGCTGTGAATACTCCAGGTGTGTAAATACGAAATGTGGTTTGATGTTCTGATAGCATCACTAATCGCATTGTTTTCAGCCATCCATGCGTGCTCTGGACAGCAAATCGAGCCACACTGAATGCCCTTGATCTCCGACAGCCAGCGCAACACTCAAGGAAGCTGTTTGATCTGGCGGGCGCAGGCACTTTCGTGACGATTTATGACGTGAAGCGTAGAGCAAGGTACGGACTAAATTGTGATCCTACGAATACGTTAACCTCGGACTGATTGCGCTTGTGTATTCAAATATTTCAGCAATCCGTTCCAGTTTGCTGTTGGCACGGGTGTTTCCATTGAACTTTTGGACAGTCGTATGGCAAGACAACCTCTCATATCGTGGGTTCAACCGCAAAGCTTTTCTGGCGAGCAGGAGTTTTCGTTTGGAGCGATTGGCGAAGTGAATTTGTCAAGAAACACCAACGATTCACGAGGTAGGCAAGCAATTTGGTCATGAACCGAAGCAAAACTCACACACTAACCTCTTATTTTGGCTACTTGCGAAGGATACATCGTATCGAGTTCAATGAGAACGAAAGTAACAACGCTTTTCCCATTCGAGCGAAGCCAGAAGAGGAAACGCGGTAAGGTCATGTCGTTGACCCCATTACGCTCCAACGGGGACGACGACGAATATTCAGATATTCCACGATCTAGCACCGAGCAGATTGTTGCTTCTGACGCACCATTGGATTTGCGCATGGAAGATGGCGGAGAATATACCCATTTAACGGGCATTTGCGCGTTGCGGGAGGGAAACCCTGGATCTGCGAGCATTTACCAGCTCAACAGCCTGGGAGATCTGTTTTCTCATCGAGTATCATCCGGTCGTTCTCAGACGAAGTCTTATGGCACTGCCGTTCAGCCCGAGTACGTCCACAGTCTCTTCGTTATTTTTTCTTGTACCTAACATCTCTGTTTTGAATGGACAGCTTGCCGAGTGGAGTGACAGCACAGGATGAACCTACAGATAAACCAACGGCTAGAACACTCCCGATACCGGTGGATGCTATTCTTCCTGAGCACGATACAGAGTCGATGCAACTGTTTATGACACTTCCTGTCAAAGTTCTTCGCCGACAATTCCCACGTCTACCAAAACACGAGGAGCCATCTACAATGGAAGAGATAAACAGAGAGGACGAGACACATATAGCACTCTCCAGCCAAGACATGAGCAAGGACGTCAAGACACTCTATGCAACCCCAAAGATCATCCGCAGATTCCGCTCACGAAATGTCGATAAGAAGGAGGGAAGCAAAGAATCATTGGCTAGCCATTCAAGGCTTTCACGAAGCATCGACAAAGATGAGCTTGTCGAAAAACTTCGTAGCGTGTGTATCCCATCCGCTTCACTATTCCGACTGCACCGGTATGTGGTCGAAAAACTGAAGATCGAGATCTCGTCTTCCAAATTGCTGCTGCTTCTTCGCTCATGCAACGAGTTTCGGATCCGAATGGTGCGCCACTCGCTTCCAACAGACACGCTTCGTGTGCTGAACCCGTCATTGCCAGGAGCTGACAACGTGCACTGCGGAAAGGACGATCCTCGTGTAGCTACCTGCACGTGTCGTCCAGGTGCGGCGAATTCACAGCTACCGTGCCAGTCCTGGTCCTGCGTTATCCCTCACGCAGTTATCGTGTCCAGCACTTTACCCGAAATACTGTTGGACGACACAGCTCCCACGTCGGCTGTGACGCAAGACATGCCGCAAGATCTTGCCGATATCATTACTGCAGCACATGCAGTGTACGATGACATGTACGAATCCGAATGAATGTAATTTCTCGGTTGAGGTATCCAGAGTGATGGTCGTTTTGCCGTTCCAGATTTGTAAATAACGTTTTTTCTCCTTGAGTGTCACTGTTTTGAAACCAAAATGAACAAGAAGGTCGTGCTGGAGGAGGAGGAGTATGTGGAGGCGCTAGGCCAGATTATCGAGCGCGACTTCTTCCCAGACCTACCCAAGCTCAAGAAGCAGACAAAGGTGCGCTTCTAACAACCTCTTGCGTTTCAACTGCAGTCTGTTGTGTCACAAAAGCCAACAAAACTGGGTTCTTTGGCTGCTGTTACTTTACCATTTCAGCTGCTACGAGGCGAAGAAGAAGGTTTACCGTGGACTGACACAACACTGCGTGTTGCGTCTACTTCTCGAGGCAACGTATCAGTATGGAGCAACATAAGTGACTCAGGATGGGACCAACCTACTCCCGTAGTGGAGCATTCAGCTGATGATCAAGTACAGGGTGAAGATTCAGACGATAGTGCGAAGACTTCCATGACGCTGAATCGCTTTGTTGCGACCCATACTTCCGAGGACAATGAATCATTCAATGAGCTGCAAGAAAAAGCGGTAAAAGACCATCAACGACGATACCATTGGGCGTTCGTCGATGACAAGGAAAAAGGCGACCCCAAGCTCCACTTGTTGACGAACGGGACTTGGATTTCAAAAGAGCAGCGGCAGATTGCAGACGAAGCCTGTGCTTCGAAAGGTTAATCACTGATATAGCTTCACGATTGTGAATTCTTGCTTATCACTGTAGCTGCTGCTCATTGACACTTTCAGGTCCGAAAGACTATAGGCCAAGTGCTCCGGAGACGTGGAAATATCGCGCAAGAAACCCACTTCTCTTCCCTCCTGAGCTAGAAGCAACGCGAGATATCTGCCAAGTAGGTGTTGTTGATAATTATCGAGAGACGAAGTTTCTAACAGACGCAATGCTTCCATGCAACAGGTTAAAGCGGATCCAGGAGACCAGTTGTTACTCGAAAACAGTTCAAAGTCGCAGTCAAAACTACCGCCAAGGCCCGGAAAGAAGACTGTCTACGCTAACTCCAGGTTTTCTTCAGATGATATTAAAGTAAGTCGTTCAGCTGCCAGTTTCTTGTAGTAGAACTATTCCATCTAACAGCATTCTGTGCGTTTTGTTGTGGCTACACTATAATAGCTTGATGGATCCGAATCAGGAGGAAATCAAGCGTCTTCACGAAAGGATTACTCCTTAGTGCCGATGACACCACTCATTGCTCCTGGTGTGGATGCAAGCCCACTGATGACCTGGGGAGACATTGAAGGCACACCAACGAATCTAGGCTCACAAGCAACATCAGGTACGTGCATCGGTTGTCTATAATGAATACCAAGGCGAACTTATCTCTGCTGCCTCTACTTTTGTAGCACGCCTTCAGAACACGCCTAGTTTCGAACTTAAAGATACGTCTCAACGAGAAAAGCTGGCAAGTCGACTTGAATCTGAAGCTGTAAGTCTACGCTTTTCATCCGATAAAGCTATTAGGTGCATGAGTTGAACGTTACTGTGGTTCCGATTAATTGGTGTTTAGCGCCACCGCAATCCCACCTCGCGGTTGCCGGGGATCAAAACGCCTTCTAAGAAGCGTCGGAAGACTGAACAAACGCCCGTATCACGCAGTGTTCGCGCCCGCATATCAAGTGGTCGGTCAGTTCTACGCACCCCACTGGGCTCAGATCCGCAGTTACGAGCAAGCTATTCTACACCTCTATGGCCACCACGTTTTTCGTCCAAGACGCGGAAGACGAGATGAGTCCAGAAAAGCAACGTCGCGATATGTATGGCAGAGCATAAGGTTTGTCAGAGCCTGATACGTTTTTAGATTTCTATGAATATGCCATTGACGCTGAACTTGCTCGACCTTGCTGCTCAAGATGATACAACAGTTGTTTGTACTCCATCACAGGAAGGGAGCAAGTTGTTGACACATTGAAACCAATTCGATCTCGATGGCTATCAATGAAGAGGTTTACAAGGCTGTAGTTGTGGGTGGAGGTCCAGCAGGGATCGGCGTGTTTGTACGAGCGGCGCGTGGAGGCCTACTACCTCGATTGCTGAATCCGGACAAGCATGGAACGACGAAGGATACCGAGCTTAGCACTCAACTTGGATTCAAGCAAATGGGCGTCGTAGTCCTTCATTCAGGCGGTGCCGAAACATTTGGAGGTGGCAATTTAGGCGAATACATCATCAACTCAAACACGTTCGCATGCGGTCTACTGGCCAGCGTCCTCGACGAGAAACCCGATCTAGATCCACCGGAGAGTATTAAAAATACGTTCCTGGAGAAAGTGCGCGTTCACGAAAGTGCCAAGCGCTTGGAAGAAATTGGTGCTGCGCCCGGGAATCTCACGGAAATTGGCCGCTTTTTGCGTCGTGTTGGAGCGTGTCTGATCGAAGAAATCTCTGACAAAGCTTCTGATACCAGCAAAGTTCTGTTGCATACGGCAGCAGTCAAGTACGAAGCTCTGGAGAATGGCCTTATTCGTGTGAAGGCTCAAAGGACTAATGGCAGTGGTGATACCGTAATACTTCACACAGAGCACCTTATATTGGCAATGGGAGGCACACAAGAGCTGCCTTCCCTAGACAACCCTGCCTATCACTCCAAGCTATTTGCCTCCGATTCCTGTCTGCGGGAGGACGGGTTTGCAAAACTCAAAGAGCACCTCCTCGCACTGCCTACAGGCGAGCGGAAAGTCTGCATTGTCGGTGGGTCTCACAGCTCATTTTCGGTGGCGTGGCTCTTGTTAAACAAATTTATGGATCCAAAAGCAACTGCTACGAGGAAAGTCTCACAAATTCCAGGAAGCCCAAAGACGCAATCTCTATCGGACCCGCAAAAGAACAATAAGGATAGCGAGACTCCTTTCGCCACACCGCAACTTGCCAGCATTGGAGCACCTGTGACAGCCGCGGCGCCTGTTTCCCCCCTCACCATTAAGAAATGTGAGACTGCTACTTCCACTATTGCAAAGGTAAAGCGCACATCACTAGCGGGAGCAAACGATACGTCATCGCCGAAGTCGATTTTTAATCCCAAGGACATCATGATCCTGCATCGATCTCCAGTTCGATGTTATTATGGCTCCAAGAAGGAAGCTGAGGTGGACGGTGTCGATGCGAGTCGAGTTGATCGATCCGGTTGTGTGAATACCTTCACGGGGCTGCGGGAAGACGCCAAAAGGCTTTTCAAGAGCGTGAAATCAGGGCGCGAGGTGCGTGTCAGGCTATTCCAAGTGAATCAGCAGGGCTCTCAAGCACTCACTGACAAAGCATACGCCACAGCAGGAGCAATTGTCTGGGGTGCCGGCTACAAGACCAATATGCTTCCTGGTTCGGATGAAGCGGGCAATCCGCTCGTTTTCCACCAAGACAACGGTGTCGTCAAGCTCGATAATAAGGCTCGATTGCAGTTGCTTGGCCCTTTTAAAGGCAAGCGGCCTAGTATTTTAGGTCTCGGCCTGGGGTTCAGTTTGCGTTCAGCAGTTGATGAAATGGGGACGGAGACGCGTGTTGACGGTGTATCGATATATCATCGCCGTGGTGCTGCGTTGGTGTTAGAAGCGCTCTTCGGACCGGAGGTGTATGGCACCAGCTCGAGCTTCGAAGAGATGGTGGAAAAGGCGAGCTTGACGCATCAGAAGCATTTGACATTGGCGACCTGGTATTTTTCTGACTCTTGTCTGAACTGCATACAGAACGATAAAAAGAAGCGAGAGGTCCAGGCGATGAAGGCTGAAAAGTACGTTCTGCTCCTTCCTGACTGCCAAGTACGAGTTCGGACTGATCAACCCGCAGGGGTATTGCATCTTCCTTCTTTTCGTTTCTGCGAGTATAGGGCGCGAAATGCGAGTGATGCCGACGGCGAGCAGACCTTGCTGTCGCCTTCAAGAAGCCGCATCTCTCGTAGTGGCAGCGTGACCGCACCGCTTTCCCCAGTACGTCCATACAGCGGTGAGCAATGCATTGAACGGAATCTGACTAGTGTTTTGTTTTTGCTAGATGGCGCCCACTGCGCGCGTAATAGTCCGACAGAGCCCTTCAAAGAAATTGCAACAAAAGAAGTCGGACTCAGCGCCAACAAACCCGCCCGTGAAATTGCTGCTGCTTCGGCGCCGCGCCTCCGCAGACTCGTCAACTATGGAACTCTCTACCGTCGCATTGGAGCCCGCAGCTGTGGAACCGGAGAGCTCCGCATTGCCACAGACCTCAGCGTAGCTTAGATGACGGACTTCACCGTTTCACAAAACAACATCGCAAAAAAGTGTCTAGTGCAGTTTTCCGCAAAATTTCATCCTTACAGGTTGAAGATTGAATACATTTTCCAAGACTATTTGGATACGGACAGTTGAAACGTCACGTCCAAAAACAGAAAGTGAGAGATGTATCTATGGAACGTCTCACTCGTGGAGAAAACTCAGGTCAAGTGTGCGGCAACTTACTTGCCTACAGTCAAGTGTACTGAGCTCAGATTAGACTCTCTCCGGTAGCGCGGCATTTGCTCTTCCGCCGTCCATCAGCCGCAAGAGACTCGACCATGGAGATCGCGATGCGCCGTCGAACTTTCTGCGGCAAGACTCACCTGCGCCGCCTTAAGGCGGAGCGCTCGAGTCTCTCCAAGCTCGACGACGAACAGCCCAAGCCGTCGCTTCCCAGTCCGCGCCCCATCCGACTTCTGCACGAGAGCGCCATGGCCGAGCTCTACCAGGAGCAGCAGCGCCCATCATCTCACTCTCGTTCGAGCCGTCGCCCAGCATCCTCTTCCGCTTCGTCCTTCTCGTCTTCAGAATCATCGACGGCCTCACTACGCCGACTCCTGGAAGAATCAGAAGAGCAACTTGCTCGAGCCCTTGCTCAAGCAGAAGGAGGCACAGCCGACGCCGCTCAGTTAGACGAACTCAACGCTCGAGTGGCAGCCTTCTCCGCCGCGTCCTCCTTACTTCGAGCAAGTATCTCCAGCAGTGCGTTACTCGGAGGAGGCCCCGACTCCGACGAACAGCCGCGAGCGGACGCCCCGATAATGAGTTTGTCCGCTCCTGCCACTATTACTGGCGGCAACATCGCAGTCTTGGATTCAAGCGACAGCATTGACATAACACGACGACGCGAATGCCAGATCTGTTTTGACAAGCTGGACGCTCTTCAAGCGCACGTGTGTATTTCATGCTGTGGATCTTTTTGCGCCAGTTGCACACGTTGGTACATCGAGTACAAAGTGCTGGAAGGCGAAGTCTCGCAGAAGAAGATGGTCTGTCCAGCACCACAGTGTACACGTCCGCTATCTGAGGAGCTCATTGAAGCCTTGGTGTCGCCTGATACGTTCACCAAGTACAAAAAGTTCCTCAAGAACCAGAAGGTCGGTATCCGTTTCTGCCCGCGTGCTGGTTGCTGCGCCGTCTTGGATGAGCCGCTCAATTCCACTGTACGTAGAGTCAAATGCCAGGCATGCAAGCACGAGTCGTGTATGCGTTGTGGCGGAGACTTCCACAAAATCCCGACGTGTCGTCGTGTGGAGAGGCGCTTTGGACACTGGAAGAAGCGGCACAATGTGCGAGCGTGCCCAAGCTGTAAAGCTGTCATCGAAAAGCAAGGCGGATGCTCGCACATGAAGTGCTTCCAGTGCGACCAGGAGTTTTGCTGGTCGTGTCTGTGCTCTTGGGATAACCACGATGAAACACTGTGTCTACCGCTGAGTTTCCTGCGCTCCAAGAGCCGCAAATACGGCTGTTGGGCGCCAATGCGTGTCGTCACCAAGACAGCGATCGTAGGGGTAGCAGCAGTCGTGGCTGTTGCCGGAGCAGGACTTGCTGTTGTAGTGCTGCCGCCAGTGCTAGGATACCAGTACGCCAAGGACTCGTACAGACGCCACAAGTATGCGCGTGCGTCTTATCTCCGCGTGATGGACGGAGACGCTTATCTTCATTAACTCGTCGACGTTGCAGACTATCCGTGCCATTTGTTGTGTCGTTTCAGCAGATTCGCTCGTGTCTCGCCACTGTCTGCATCTCATCCATGCATATTGCCTAAGTTAATCTAAATACACATCCATTTAATGAAGAAACAACGACCATGGGGGCGTCCGAAACATATCGGGCTACAAGAGCCTTTCAAAGCATTTAGTTATCTGTCAAGAAGCAAGAAGAGAAGGATGAAAACTTCACCATTGATCCACTAAGAGACACATAGAGGTAGCCCGCCCCCTTCATCTTCTCACTCCATTGACGCTCTGTTTTTCTTGGAAATCTTGAAGCTAACGTTCTCAACTGCTATAGACAGCAGCATCTTACGCCTTCTTGAATGCCTCAGCGATCGTCTTGATCGAGTCGATGTCCACGCGCTCGCCACGGTCGCCGTTGGCCCACTTGAAGCCAGCGAACTCAACCTTGGAACGGGCCTCGACGGTGCTCTTGACAGGCTCCTTGAGGGCAGCACGAAGCACACCCGCCGACTTGTTCACGTACTGCAGGTACGACACACCCGCCATGCGCCACAACGACGTTCCCTTGCTGGCCATTGTCTCTGTAGTCTCTGAAGTTAAGAGGATCCGAAGCGCTTGTTAGACGGTTGTGTGGCAAAGGGGGCGAAGAGACCAGCACAGCCACAGGCGGCGGATCACAATTCGAAATTGAATTGCAGACCAAAATACATTTACAATTTAGTCGCAGACCATTTCGAGGCAGAATCAGAAGACAATTATGTCTCGATCAGATCTGATTCTGTTAAACTGTTCGGGTGGTGAGCAGCTCACTTCATCAAGAGCCGCCGGAAAATGCTGTCGCCTTCTACTAGTGCCGGCGCTAGCCTGCTGCTCGTTGCGGTAGGAGTGCTGCTCTATCTGCAGACGCATCCTCGCGCTCTTCGCAGCAGTGAGGTGGCTAGTACGTCACCTAAGCGCAAGGCCAAGAAGAAGCCGCAGCAGAATGGCTATACCAATTCCGAGCCTAAGCCCATGACTGTGCGCATTCTGTACGGCACGCAAACGGGTGCATCCAAGACGATGGCCGAGACACTGGAGAAAACTTTGTTCGCGCTCAACATCTCGGGTTTCCATTTCCAGACGAGTGTCGTGAACATGAAGGACTACGACCAGGACAATCTCGAGCAAGAGGCCATTGTGGTGGCTATTCTGTCCACTTGGACGCATGGCCAGCCACCCGAGGACGCCAAGATGTTCTGCAATTGGATTACAGACATGACGCAAGACTTCCGTGTGTCTAAAAGTTGGCTCAACGGCGTGCAGCACGCCGTCTTTGGACTGGGAAACGCAGAGTACGACGAGGACTACGGCACAGCAGCCAAGAACCTGGACCGCGATCTGTCAGATCTAGGCTCCCCGTCCCTTGTGTCTCTGGGTCTGGGCGACGATAATGTGGACCAATTCAAGCAGTTCGATGTCTGGATGGACAACCTCGTGGCTGCAATGTGCGAGCACAGCTCCGAGAAGGCCGTGGCTGCACTGAAGAAGAATAGCAGCCCTGTGAAGGCTAATAAGGCTGGGAAGAAGTGGCTGTCACAGAAGGAGTTCCGTCGTCAGAAGAGAGCTAAGAAGGCAGAAGCGAATGGAGAGACTGTGGAGCTGAATGAAGAAGATCTGATGAATGAACAGTTCTTGGTGGATGATTTCTCCGATGACGAAGAGCAGAGCAAACAAAACGCCAACGATGACAGCGGTATGGTGGATGTAGAGGATATCGGAAAGTCGATGAAAGAGTCGGAAGCAGCGAGCAAGTCCCGCGAGATGGTTACACCGATGCAACGTAAGGCGCTTACCAAGGAAGGCTACAAGATTATCGGCACCCACAGTGCTGTGAAGCTCTGTCGATGGACGAAGCACCAACTTCGTGGACGTGGAGGTTGCTACAAGCATGCGTTCTACGGAATTACGAGCTACCAGTGCATGGAGACGACACCCAGCCTAGCATGTGCCAACAAGTGTGTATTCTGCTGGCGTCACCACAAAAATCCAGTGGGTCGTGTGTGGCGCTGGAAGACAGACGACGCTGAGACTCTTGTCAAGGGATCGATTGAACGCCATCAGAACATGATCAAGGAACTCAAGGGACTGCCTGGATTGATCCCTGCTCGATGGGATGAGGCTTTCACCGTGCGTCACTGCGCGTTGTCCCTTGTTGGTGAGGCTATCATGTACCCGCAGATCAACGAATTCTGCAAGCAGCTCCACAACCGCCACATCTCGTCCTTCCTAGTTACCAACGCTCAGTTCCCCGAGAAGATTGCTGCGCTGGACCCGATCACGCAGCTATATGTCAGTGTTGATGCCGCTACCAAGGAGTCGCTGCGTGCTGTCGATCGCCCGCTGTTTAAGGACTTCTGGGAGCGTTTCCTCGCTTGTTTGAAAGAGCTCAAGCACAAGGGACAGCGTACTGTGTATCGCTTGACGCTGGTCAAATCCTACAACATGGAGGAACTGGACAACTACGCGGAACTCATCAACATCGGCCAGCCCGACTTCATCGAAGTCAAGGCTGTGACGTATTGTGGAAAGTCGGATGGTTCCGATTTGACTATGAAGAACGTGCCGTGGCATGAGGAAGTACGCGGCTTCTGCTCGGCTTTGTGCGACCGGGTGAGTGGTGACTACGCTCTGGCGTCCGAGCACGCCCACTCCAACTGTGTGCTGATTGCCAAGAAGAAATTCTGCCGCGACGGTGTGTGGCACACGTGGATTGACTACGAGCGCTTCCACGAACTCATTGCTACGTACTACGAGGATGGCACGCCGTTCACTGCTGATGATTACACGGCTCCTACGCCGTACTGGGCACTGTACGACTCGAAGGAACAGGGCTTCGATCCCGTTGAAACTCGCTTCCGTCGTACGAAGGATGGCAAGGTTGTCGAGTTCGCGTACCAGTCTACGGAGTCGGGCTGTGGTTAAACCCATTGAGAAGTCAAAGACAAATCGATTGATTTTTTTTTCAAATCCGTCTTCATTTCTTCATGTTGGTTTTGGTGGTTGTCATTACGATGAAAGCGATCTAAAGACGAATTGGCATTCGAGAACTCCGTCCTCTGGGCAGTCGGTGCAGTGGAGTGCGTTGTAAATTGTGGAGCGGCCAAACTTGGCGCGAAGACTGTCAGGTCGTAAAGCTTTCGCGACTTGAACGTCAAATGGACCGCAAAACTCGCGAAATCGACGCACCACGTCTTCACCACGAACTTCGAGCGCTAGACATGGCGACGAGCACATGTACTTGAGCATCTCCTGTCGGATGAAATTAGTCAGTTGCAACCCTTAAAAATCGCAAAAGTTGGGATACTTACATGATACTGACGAACAACACCCTTGTAAATCTGAAAAAGTTCATCGGCTTCGTTCATCTGGAAGTGCACGAGCTTTAAAGCTGATACTTCGAAGCCTGCTGTAACGATAACATCAAGTATCTCGCCCACACAAGCTTCACGGACAATTCGTGGACGAATGAGACACAGAGTGCAGTTATCTAGCACAGCTGTCGTAGGAAAGACATCCCTCCCGCTGAAGGCTTCCAGCCCAGTTCTGATGGTCAGCACAGTGTCTATAGACTCCAGTTTCATTTTTGCATCGTCGATCGCCGTCGATTTTGGAAGTCGGACTTCCACCAGCACGGACACATCGCTAAGCAGTGATCCGTGTTGGTTATTGTCGGTGATCGCCTCCAATGTTTGGAGCATTACTAAATGAGACGTTTGTAGATACACCATTCGGATATCGCGCACAGATAAACCGCTCTGTTCGATGAGCTGGATAATACGTCCCATTTGAGAATACCCGTTTGGTGTAATGACAAAAACGGCTTTGTCTTCTCGCTGCTGAAGTATCTTCCGTGTGAATTCGTTGGCAGGCTCTATGATCGTGAGCTGTCGAGAATACCTACATCATGACAAGATTAGTTTCTTGCGTTAGCTCAGTTCTCAGTTTTGTTTGCGGCTTACACGGTGATAGAGCTCCCAACGTAGAGATCGTCAAAAGTGACTGTGGGGATCGGGATACGCTTTAAGAAGACCTTTCTCGTCTTTCGTTCCACCTACATAATTCAACATCACAATGCGCCAATTATCTTTACGATATTTCCCAACCAGCTACATCATATCACGAAAAACAAACAAAATGGGCGTACGAGTTCGACGGTGTTGTCTCCGTGGTAGTGCATGATGTAGCCCTTCTTCAGACCCGACTGCGGGTCATCCCATTCCAAGAAGAACGCAAGCTGCTCTTCTTCATCCATAATTGCTGTCGTGAACAAGAAGGACCTCTTCAAGTGAAATAGCTCTACCAGACGCCTCTGGAAAACGGCGTTCCGAGTATTTCTGTCGTTTCGAGGCAACGCTTGTTAAACGGGCGATGGACATCGCTGCAAGGAATGCGATGGAAATGATAAAATGGCTACATCTTAATCGACAGGAAGGGTGCACGATGGATGAAGAGCGAACACATTATTCTCCACGGACTCCTAGAGGATAATTACAGCTCTATGGCACTAGTATACCAGACTTGCAGCTTATGGTAAATGTTTTTTCTTACACATGTAATATATTTTGTTACTTCTGTTCGTTACTTCACAGGCGATTCGCTCATATGAAGCCAATCTCAACCCCACCGCCCATGTACCGACCGTCGCTGTCTTCTGCAGTGAACGACGCGTTTAACTCATACTGGAGATTGTCTAGCTCGACCCGTTCATTGCTGCAATCGAGTTTACCGAAATTTCGCGTGGACGCCGACGGAATCGTGACTTTAGACTGGAATTCGTGGCTCAGCTGTGTCGAAGCCAACGCTAAAGCTGCCAACGATATCGCCAACGCAATTGAGACGACATGGGCATTAGCAATGGAAGCTGAACAATTTGTTAGTGAAGCTATAAATTTTGACGGGGAAAGTCGCAATCGGTTAGCAGCTCGTGGTTTGGCTCATTCAGGTTCATTGGAACAGATAGAGGCGATGCTACGCGGTGGAGAGTATTTCTTGGCTTTTGTAGTGGGTGTCACGGTCTTGGAAAAGACGTTGTATGATTTACACGATGAAAGATCAACGTCGAGTGGATTGGTCACTTCTCGGAAGAAAAATATGATTCTGAGAGACTTGTTGCATTCAGACATACTGGTTGCCACACTACCGGAAGGTTTGTCACGTTTGCTGAAGATTTTATTTCTGCCATCAGGGCTAAATCTACGTAACTTGGCTTGGCATGGGTTTCTGGCTCCTTTTGAGCTCCCGAAGTGCTTTGGATGCCTCACACTGCTGCTCATCATGGCGCTGCCGAAGCATTTTGGTAAACTGTCGAGTGGGGGAATAGTTGAGAAGACGGAACTCGTTCGAATCGATAGTTTTGATTCTAGATTTACTATGATTTATGGAGAAAATGGTGAGATTCATCAGGATCTTACCACTGTGCTTCGCCAGGAAGCTCCTTATGTGCGAGATGAAGTGATACGTAAATGGTCGACATCACCATTTATTCCATTAGGAAGGTCGAATCTACTACGACGAGCCATTGAGATGTTGGTGGTAAAAGGAGACGAGCTTTGGTTCCTATTTGCAGTGCTTCCAGTACTCGAGCATGCTCTTCGGCTTGAGTTTCTTCGTGTGAACCAGGAACGTGCAGGATTGTCGAGTGCTTACGGCTTAGCTCAGATTGACGCGTATTATTCCACGTTGGATGGATTCGGTCAAAAGGATAAACACCAGGTGTTGCTACATCCTGCTGTGCTTCGGGATACTGACAAAGAAGGAAGCTCTAGTGAAGAGACTGATGTTGCAGGGTCAGTGGCGAATGCTCTGTATGAAAAACTGCCTTTCGCTTCGTTAGCGGTGCTTCTGGATCTGTTTATGATGTCGAACGGACCGAACCTTCGTGCTAAACTCTGCCACGGAGAAGCAAACTTGTCGAGTTTTCTCGATAGTCGAGGTACTACTACAATCTCAGTAGCAACTCGACTGCTATTAGAAGCACTCGTTCTACTCTGCGAGACCAGTCGAGGACAAGACATTGCGCATGAAGCTGCCAAGTTTTCAACCTCTGCTCCCGTCCGTCAGTGTTTACAGTCCTTTACAACCACCACTTCAAGCTCATTTCACCCATTCTACCGCTTGCATCGAGCTCTGAGTGCGGTCCACTGCGTGACAGCGGAGTTTGCTGCTTTTCGTTCACTTTGGACAACCTATCACCTGGAAGATGTCCACAATCATGGAGCCGAAACTACAAAAATTTCAAGCCTCACTCGAGTTGTTTTTGATACGATCCAAACCCGTGACGGCGTCAAATTTACGTTAGTGGAGAAAACCGACCGAGTCGTGGGGTTTCTTACAGCTTTAGATTGGACTGCTACGCCTGAAGCAAGTACTCTTACAAAGAAGAAAACCTTTGCGCAACTGATCAGGCAACTCGGTCGTCAATTGCGCGACGTTGCAGATCGAATCTGTAGTGATTTCAAGTCGAATCACCGCTCAAATGCAACGGAGAGTCGAAGCAGTGTCTTCCTCGCGCTAATGGACGGAAAAAACTCATCAGGTCGCAGCTCTATGAGTCTCCTGGAGAGATCAATGGAACGGAACCTGCTCGCATTGAGCGATCAAGACGGACTCAGTGTGGCTTCGTGTATGATGGAGATCATCACGTGTTGCCAGCGATCACTTCAGGCGTTCCGCTCCCGTGTTGAGCAATTACAGCGGCTTGTGACTGAAGGGAAAGCACGTACAAACCACCGACGTACGTTGCTCACCAGTATCTTCTTCCTCCCTGCATTTGAGTACATGCAGTTGATGAGTTTGGGTATAGTGGAGCATCAACTCGTCCACTTGTACGACGTCGCTCGTCAACAAAAGAGCACAAATATCTCTCTTTGTCCTCGAGCCGTGAACGTGGAGCAACTCCAACGCAAACTCCTGCAGTGCATCACGTCGTTTGAAGGTTGCACAGGCGGCAGTGAGGCTTCACAAAAGAGTGGTGAACAGGCAGTCGAGCGAGCTCTACAGTTCTTAAACTCGAAAGCTGTCAAGGCAGCGTTTCCACCTTCAAAATGCTGAATAGAAAATAATTAAAGGATACCAGGGTGCGTCGCTTTAGGCTTGGAGCACTGTAGAAACGTGAAGAAATAATTGATGAAGTGCCTTTATTAGTTGTGTAAATGCTCTCCAGCTACACTTCCATTTAGATTCCGTTGTCGTCGCTAGCCACTTGATTGGAAAAGAGTTTGCCACGGTGATAGTAGTTAGTGAAAGACAAACATCGTCGTAGTATTGACAACACAAACATTTATTTAAGTGCCCTTTTCCAAATCAGCAGGGGAAAAATAGTAGCTAAGAGGCGACTCTTGTCAAGCAGCGGATTTCCAGAAATCCACATGAACCGACGCATTCATATCTCGATTTGAGTCGCGTCCAAGTTTTCGAAGCAGGAGTTTATCAACTAACAATGAGGTGCGTCAGTTTTTACGATCCTTGTCGTTAAAATATTAACCTTTATTGCTCTAGTGACGTATTCGGAGCGCAGTATTTAGTGCTCCCAACTGAGGCGGAGCAGATCGTGGAACGCTTGGTAGGTCAATCACTCGAGCAGATTGGGCGATCCACTCAATGGCTCGAGCACCATCAAGCCGTGGAAAAGTTAAACCTACAAGCGCATCAGTCTGCGCAACGCAAGCAAGACAATTTCGTAGTAGAGAGTTTGCTGACATTCGACAAGCTCCCAACCGTAATCAGCAATTTGCTCTCGCTGGAGCTTTGGAAGGCGAACGTTTTGCCACTGCTTCGGTGTCAGGATAAGGACGCTGCGTCCTTGAGATTGTACTTCGTTATCTATCACGAAGCGGCCTTAACAAATCTTCTTGAGGTCGCATTCTTCCACGAGCACATCGTAGAGAGTCTGACTGATGATCTCCTAGTCGAACTCGTCGACTACTGCGTGCGAAAGCTTTCGTGGCTGGTCGGTCTTCCTCGTGAACGTATTGCAGAGGCTACGAGCTTCCACAAAACTGGACCAGAACTGGTGCAGATGATGAAAGCTCAAAGTCCTCGCGAAGAGCTACAACGCCAACGTATGGAGATTGAGTTTCGCGTTGCTGTCCAGACTGTCACTATACTACGCTATATAGCCGAGAGACTGCATGTGCTCCCATTGAGTGTCGTATCTCGTCTTTTGGACAAGCACGACGCTCTTCTCACACTCGTGGCGCTTGTTGAGAATCCTCCGTGGACACACAAGACTGTTGTCAAGGCACAAACGAAGGACAGCGAGGACCAGAGACCAAGAACTGAAGTCAAATGGAAGAAGTTTGTCGACCAGAAATGGGTAATTGTCGAGCCAAGTGATCTCCTCGCACTCACGACAACCGAAGCACAAGTTTGGTTGGCTATCTACTATTTGCTATGCACCAAGTCGGCTCGTGAACACTATGAAGTGACGCAGTATCGGAAAGATCAGCTTTTACGCGTCCGCAAGTATTTGAATGAGCTACTGGTGGATCAACTTCCTCTTCTCGCAGACGTTCAACGGTATTTGGATGAGCTAGCCATTGTACAGGTGGGTAGTGCGTCTGTACTGGGCAAGAACGGTTTGGTCATGGAGGCGGTGCCTTATTTACGAGACAGTATTTTGCGAACGTTCCGCTCAAGATACCAGGAACTCGCGCGTGAATTCGATGAGCTCAGTGTGAACTTCTGTCGAGGTGAGGACCTCAAGGCGTTAGCCGAGTTGTACCAAATGGAAGGAGTTGAAGAACTTCTTGAAGGTGGAAGTCCAGCAGCTAAAAATGAAGACGAGAAGGCTGGAGACAACAATGACAATGAAAGTGATTCGGTGAATCCTATGCCTACTCGCGTTAAACTGGAGTTCTTCAACTCAACGCACCAGAAGCCTATTGCAGGCAAGAAAGCGTTGATTGTGGAGCTGGATAACAATGAGGAACCGGCACATAATGAAGCTGACATTGTGGAATTCGAGTTTGCTGTAGATCAGGAGAGCCGTAAGACCGTGGAAAGTAGAACACAGCGGTACTATCGCTATCGCTTGCGCAGGGGCGAGAAGACACAGAACGCAGGCCTTATCCAGAGTCATACTTCAGCGACAGCGCACGTATCGTTTTCAGGTGCAGAGAAGTCTCGCGAACACGAGCTAAGACTATCGTGTGATGATCTCCAGCTCCCTGAAATGGTGCAGACCGATTCATCCTCTGGGCTGACAAAGCTATGGAAGCAAATCGGGTCGTTTGAAGAGTCGAGCCTTGTGGTCGTGCAGTGCCAGCTTATTGCCGAGATTCCCAAGGGAAACAACGTTGACGACTCCGTTTCGCGTGGATATCACCTTGGAGCACTTTACTTAGCTGTTTCATACTAGCATTATCAAACAACTTTGCGTATGTTTTTTCTTAAGAGACCATAGTGTTACGAGGCGAATGTACTCTTCTGAAACCGTGGTGTAGGTCATAGCTTGTGTATGCGGAGTGGGCACAGGACAAAAGAGTAGTGTTGTGAACTCCCTACCGCTTTTTTTTTTTTTTTTTTTTGACGGAAGGTCGGAAACGATAATAGCATACTATGTTATTGGCAAAATGAACTGCGTGTATTCGAGCTGGTTGCTTTTTCAATCGAAAAAAAGAAATTAACACTACGAGGCAACCGTGAGCTTGCGTTAGATTGGAAACTACAAGCTGTTTGCTTTCTGTCTCAACTTAGTTGAGAGTCCCCGACACAGCACCGATCTTGGTGGTGGCAGTTCCCGCAGCGCTCTTCAAGTAGCACACAGGCTGACCGGGGTTGTTGTTGATGTACGTGTACGCCTTGCATCCTGCCGTGCTAGCACAGGCATCACAGCAAAGCGACGGGAGGCTCACGTAGACGGTCTTAATGTCGTTGCCGTAGTAGTCCTTGTCGGTGAGTTGTTTCGAGCATTTCGCTGGCGGCTGGATGCACTGGTAAAAACTGTCGTTCCATGGTTGGCAGTAGTAGCCGCTCGGGCAGCACGTAGCTCCGTTACTGGAGCCACAGGAGCCATACGGTGCCGTGGTGCAGGTTGGCGATGATGTCGTCGGCGTTGGCGTTGGCGTCATTGTTGGGGTCGGCGTCGGGGTTGTTGACGTTCCCGTCAAGATGCCCGAGACTGCTCCAACCGAGGGCGTCCTTGTACCAGTGCCGCTCTTCAGGTAGCACGCCGGTTGGCCCGGATTGCTGTTCACGAAGGTGTAGGCCTTGCAACCAGCAGTCTCGCTGCAGCGCGTGCAGCATTCTCCGGGCTGAATGCCGTAGATGGTCTGGATGTCGTCTCCATTGAAGTCGACGTTCGGGAACTGCTGAGCGCATTTAGCAGGGAGATCGAGGCACTGGTAGTAGTTGGCGTTCCAAGGTTGGCAGTACTGCGTGCTCTGGCAGCAGCTCACGCCGGCAGCATCAGAGCCACAGTTGCCGAATGAGGGAGTCGAGCAGGCACCGGAGACGACAGCTACGAGACCAGCGAAGGCTACGGTAATGCGAGCAATCATTGTCTTGAGAAACTCTAGGGTGGAGTAAGGAGGAACTTGATCTGATGCGTCGGAGGCAAAACAGGAAGTGGGCGATTGAGAAGATCTTCGGCTACGAGTATTGACCATCATCGTGAACTTCAGGCGGCTGCTCCATTTTGCTGTCTGTATCCAATAACAGTGAAATGGATGCAGTGGGTTCCGCTGTTGAGTCTCCGAAAAATTGAAATGCATCGTTGCGTATTCCGGTGTCGAAAGTCGAACCAAGAGTGACTCGGCTCAGGTGACAAGACAACGGACCTAACTCAGATCCTTTGTGGCGCTGGATTCCTGAGGAACCCTGAGTCAATAATAAGGAACTTCGTGACGAAGTTCATTGTGCTGAAAAATTAAGCACGGTGAACGCATTGGCTGCGGCTGCCGCAATCCCTTAGACGGGGCAATTGGCTCGTCAACCGTTGACTGCCAGCCCATGACAGGTAACAATGCATTGGAAGACGCTGCCAGTTTCTCAAAAAGCGAACCACCCGTCTGTTTGCCCGTCAGAACTACAGTGCATGCGGTCCTTGTCTGTTTGCCCGCCAGAACTACATGCACTCCTTGTCAACGATGTCCATGGGAAAGAGTTCACATCGCGATTTTGCAAGGAGTCTGAGCCCAGAGGCAGACACGTTATTTGCTGAACAGGCTTTTACCTCTTGGTATCAGGCGTTTGCGATGCGAGCATTATAAAAGTGAATGATTTCGGAGATCAATAGGTATTGCCTCGACAGCTAGGGGCTTGCCGTTGCGGTGGCTCAACCGTTCACTTTCATTAGTTGTAGCGCTAAGCTTCTCTTCAACCGATACTAGTGACAACATTCTTAGCTTACCTAGAATAATGTATCGCTGCGTTGTCGCTGCAGAATGTGTCTCCTGTCGACAGCTACTACTAACGATCAGACCACACTACAGTTAAGCCGATTTCGCTGAAGTGGTGGATTGCCATGGATGCTCAAGCTAACCAAACCAGGGCCATGATCGAGGCGCTTACGCAGGAAAATGGCGAATGATTGCCTCGTTCTACTTCAAAGTATTCGTATATGAAGAAGATTTCTTGCCAGATAAAACCACGTGCTGTTCTAGAGAGGAGGTCACGTTGAGCAGGGCTCAGAATCGCCGTATTATCATTATTTCCTGCAGTAGAAAGCAGCATAAGAATCCTAGACAACGAAAGCATCTTGCAAAGCAAAACAACCACCTGGATCCACCTCAACCTGAGCAAACACCCACATGAAAGAGTCTTCTTGCCCAAATGCCATTTACTGACAGACTTGCAAGCACAGCAACCTTTGCTGTAGAGTTCGGTGAAACAACTGGAGCAGTAGAATCTTTGTCGGTGGCATATGCACGCCATTTGTTGGCTTTGAATGGCATTGTGCCTCGCACGTACCCGATTCACCTCTATATTTCGATGTAAGGAGCCGGATTATCGAGCAAACTAGCCTCCTATCTTTTATAGCAAAGGGACACACGGTACCAGCTCTCCCTGGATGCTCCATTTGCGCTGTGGCGCATAAGGCTCACTCGTGGTTTTTCCTCCAATCCACAGCCCAAGCGCGGTATCTGACCAGCACCTATTGTCACAATGATGCGCATGCTCGCTGTTGTTGCTGCCACAATCGCTGTGTTTGTCGGACACTCTGACGCCGCATGCCCCAACACAAATCTCGGCAAATGTGGCGACGCCTCCAACCCTGAATGTTGCCCGGACGGGAGCTACTGTATGCCGTGGGCGCCCAACTATTACCAATGCCTATCTCTTCCTTCGCAATGTTCTCGCCAATTCACGGGCTACGATTTTTACGGAGGTGACATCAAGACGGTGTACGGCCTGCAGCCGGGTGACTGTTGCGCCACGTGCTTGTCAACTAGCGGATGTTTGGCGTACACTTTCATCAACGAGTATCAGGGCACGACTGCTTGCTTCCTCAAGGCGGGAATGGGGCAGCCGAGGAAAGTTGTTGGCGCCATGTCTGCTGTGCTCGACAGCTACACAAGTGACCAAGACCACACTCCGAAGCGCCGCCTGCAAGGTGACAGCCCTCGCGTCTAGGTACTCTCGGCAATCTAAAGCTGAAGTAAGACCGGACTCCAACACTGATCGACATTTGAAGTGTACAACACAGTCATGCATAATCCTGGTAGCCTGGATGGAATTTACAATACAATCCAATAACCCATTTTTTTTCTTGCAAATGCGAAAAAAAACTATCATGATATGATCGCTGTGGATGTCAACGTCGTGTTGATACTTTCAAAGAGAGCTCACCTACCAGCAAAGATATTAACGCAAATGAGACCATATCAGGAGCGCGGACTGCTATCAGTGCATCACGCCGCCATCCCAGTGCTCACACCACGAGACCAACGTCGACTACTACGGCAACGACATCACAACAGTGTGCGTGACTCAACCCTCGCTATGCTGTGACGAGTGTGCTGACACCGAAGGATGCACGGCATACACGTATATCAACAACAACCCAGGTCAGCCGGTCTGCTACCTCAAGAGCAGCAGCAACGTCTTGCAGCCTCGGGTTGGTGCTGTCTCTGGTCGTCCCAACAAAACGTTACCACAAGGACATGGTACTCTTGGACGTGCATTCACAACTAGCAGCCAGTACTAAATCGTAAATGAATCACTTGAAGCGAGAGACCTTAGGCGAAATAGCCGTCTGGCTGTGCGATCTTCGTCACGACTCGAGTCTTGATAGCTGTCACCAGGTTGGCTAGCACTATCGCGAGTTGTCACTATAGAACACAGAATTTGAGCTTCAAACTTCTGGCTGGCATCTTCCACGAGGGCATTGAGTAGCGAAGCTACCGCAGACGCCGCGTCAAACTGACAACTCGCCGAAGCATTTCCCTTGTCGTAGGACTCCATTAAAACATAAGCCTCAATATTTCCCACCATTTCCACCGTCGCTTGACTTTCCACTTCGACTTGCAGTCGTTCATTCCGTGAGTCTCGCAAAACCATCGAAAAGCGGCGATACCTCCAGCCACACGGGGCAGCAACAGTGCTACCTCGACGGGTCTTGCATTTATTTGCACAAACTCCATAACGACTTTGAACGGCATCATTTCGGGTAGAAAGTTCTGGTAAAGCTTGATCACACCCGCTACAGTATCTCTCCGCTAACTGAGGGGCGAACCTCGGCAAGACACGTGACTCGTGTCCATAATGGCGATTCATGCATATTTGTTCCACGCGGACATTCTCTAAGGTAGCCTGTCCTTCAAACATGCATCCTTGTAATTCTTCCAATGTCGCAAATGCAACTGGCCCACTAATTTTCGTCAGCGAGATGCCTGCCTGCAGCGGTGTCCCAGAACCAGATAATTTCTTCTCCAATTCGATTGACTCTGGGTCGTCTACTTCCACGAAACGGAACACTGTATGAGGCGTAGTATTCGCTAACAACCGGTTGGATAGAGCCTGCAGACTCACTACAATGCCATCGATTTCAATAGCACCGCGGTGTTCCAGTAATCGAGCAATGAACCGTTTATCAGCATGCTGATCCCAAAGGTTCACAGTCATGACATCCCTCGCAGAGTCATACATGATCAGTTCGCATAGCAGCACACCATCCAGCTCCGAGGCAACAGCGGCTCCACCTTCAGAGGTCCCAGCTGGATTATCTTTCGGAGGTCGCAACTTGCAGAGCACCGACGCGACCATATTCTCTCTCAAGTCCTTGATTGGGGACCGGTTTGTTCTTCTGTTAGGCGTGGCTCCTTCGTCTCCAATAAACTCTCGACAATGCTGCTTGTACCACTCGATCATGGGATACAAGTCCTTTAACGGGGCGTCCTGCGTACAAAAGTACCGGTCTTTCCGATACAGTAATTGGACTGTTGAAGACATCGCGGATTCGTCGTTGCGCAGGACGAACTGCGCCTCCACATTGCCCCGATAGGATTTAATACAGCAAAATGAAAAGAGGGCAATGTCCCCGATTCGAAGTACCGCGTCGGCGCTTGATAGTTGCATGAGACCTGGGTCCCCGGTGGATAACGAATGAATCAATGTGGGTGGGGCTTCACCCCAGCACGTTACCTTGAAAAACTGTCGACTGGCGTCGCCTACGTGCAAGACATGACACGCCTGGACGCGCTGGCGCCCCACCAACACTCTCTTGCCCGTTGCAACCTGCTGCACAGCCGCAATAAAACGCACGCTCTCACCAACATGAGCCGCCGCCGCGTCCAGCGAAATGGTGATCATTCCTGGTGACCTGGTTGTCTGATAGGCTGAATATCAGAGTTGAAGTTTCTTGTTTCAACCAATGAAACGATGATGGAAAAGATACCACCTTGGACCAATCACCGCACAGCTGGTTTCTGATTCTCTCTGTCACTTCAATCCCCCACTATCCAACAAGACGAGCTGAGTATGTTCCGAGCGGAAGCCGACACCACATCGCCGCTTCACGTGGCTGTAGACCTCGTGTACACCACCGATACTACATGCCGGTCGATCACGGAGCTGCCAAGCTCAAGTGACGCGTTGACGACGAGTCTGTTCCCCACGAGCGTGTTGTTCCGAGGAAATTTGCAGCTATCCAAAGCTGCCAGTGGTGGCGGCTGTGCGCTATATCTGTCGGTGAAAGGCGCGGTATCTACTGCCACAGATGTTCAGAACGCCTTCGATGTGGCGCGTGGCGTACACGAGCAACTGACGGGGCTGCTAAGTGCCAAGGGCCTCAATAACGTCTCTCTGGCTCGAGCGGCGGTAGCACTTGACGGTGACAAGCTGCTGGCAGTCTCTTTGACGGCTGACGATTCGAACGCACCACCCGAAAGCGTGCTGACAGTGCAACAGGGGGCGTGTACGGAGCTGCTGAGCGCTTTGCAGAGTGATGGCGACGTCAATCTATTACCCAGGCAGGTCGAGACGGGCGCGTTGGATATCACTAAGCAGGCAGATAGAGATGAGGCTGCGAACTGCGCTGTGAGCTTGGAGATGGCGGCGCTTGCACTGCGGTTCGGTGCGGATGCCGAGGCGTTCCAGCTGCTCAAGGCGGTGGATGAGAAGATGGAGAGCTTCTTCGCTGGCCAACCCAGTGCGACGCTCACAAGCGCAAATGTGCGACTGCACGTTGCGTCGGATATGGTGCAGATTGTGACAACGGAGGGTGAGAACGTGCCGAATGTGGCGTTCAATGCGCCGTCGTATGAGGAGGCACTCGGCATCTTTGCTCTTGTTGCGGTGCTTGTGGCCATGATGATGGGCGTTGTCGTTCAGAAGAAACGCAACGACCAGCGCAGCCGTGAACGCTATGAGCGCGCCAACCGCGCTGCGCAGATCCGTCGTGTGTCCATTCGTATGAGTCAGTATGATCAAGAGAACCAGGACTACGAAGGTGAAGAAGACAGTCTGCTGTGAGGGAGAGCATGCATTAAACGTTTGACAGTGGGGGCCAGGGGTGATTGGCGCAGTCAAGCGGCAGAAAACTTTTTATGATTTCAAACAACTCACAAAGTGAGTCGAGAGTCGTCCATGTTGAATCCCTACACGATGTTAACCAGAATATCAACATTTTGTGTTCATGGATGACTTACTGCTGCCAGTCGTGGTCTGCATCTACTACTCTTTGCGTGCAGAGTTGACGTTAATCGTTACCATCTCGGCAGCTAAAACAGTTTCTTGGCCTTCCTCCTCAGGGGCGAGCGATCTGTGCTTAGTTGTTGCGTTCGAACTAACGCTAGCGTTTGAATGATCAACACTTAACGCCTTCGTGACGACTCCAGACTGGGACACCTCAGTGTGATGGATGGCACTGGGGGCACCTCCCCATGGTGCTTTGCACGATACGATCTCGCACTTGTATTCATCTGCATCTTGCTCGGATGCCTTCGTCACGACGCTGGTTACGCTGTCGGTAGTCGAGTTCCCGTTCACCATAAGACACGACTGCCCATTCTTGATCATATCCCAATATTCTACTCGAAGCTGTTGAAGTAGAAGAACCATTAGGTCGTTGCATACGATTCAAGAGACTATCGTACAAACCTGTTCTGGGATGTCGCTATTCGATGTTGCGCGATCATTATTGTTAACTGTATTGGTGCTTAGCATCGTCGGACGGAGCGAGTGACCTGAAATCACTACAGTGCCGCGAGCACATAGCTTTCCGTTCTCCAATTCCTTTTTCATCCATTCTGCAAAACACCAAGTCTAACTCACTAAAGGCAGTTCGTATACTGTAGACGACAACATCCACTAACCTGTCTGTGCTGCCACTTCTTCTTTGAAGTACTTTTCGTGACAAAGTATCGCTGTGTTCACGACAATGCACTTGATCCCTCCATACCTAAATGTTAAAATGATCAGTTAGTGATAAATAGCAACAATGTTTACAGCATACAGTGGTTCGACCTACCAAAAGCTGAATCGGGCGTCACCAAAACGTTCTTGATACTTTGTCAATTCGTTTTTGTTCCCAAATTCATCGGAACCTGCAGCAAAAACCTAACAAATACCCCGTAAGTTAAGTAGTGAAACACCAGCAGCAATGGCGTACATACCAGGCGAATTTGCGGGTTGATTTGATTGAGTAGCTCCTGGAAAGCTACAACTTGGGCATCGTAGAATTCATCACGTGGCTTAGCGTTGATAAAGTCTCCGCAAATCACAACAAATGCCGGTTGTCGGGCGTTCAGAACTTTAACGGCCTCGAGGAATGCAGCAGACTCCGTTTCCCATGCAGAGCCTCCACGGTTATCTGCTTCAGTCAAGGCAGTGGCATGTCCAAGCTTAGGTCCAGAGAGCTAACACACACGTTTGCATGTCAAAGTTAATGACAACTAGGCCAACGAGATCGTTATATGTGCACCAACCTGCATGAAGGAAAAGTTATCACTCCACTGGTTTTGAAGGTCATGGGTAAATCCTATGTATCCATGGTTGTGCGCGTACAAGCACCGACCACGACTAACCGAGCTAAAGAAGCGAGGATATAGCCCTGTATTTGGGTTAGTAATTTGAATCCAAATGAGGGCTGTAAGATACACTTACCTGGCAAATGCACGATTTGCTTGCGACGAAGAATATGCATCAGTATGCTTCTATCTCGTGACGAAAGTGTCTTGATTTGCTCTTGCAAGACGTCACCTTCGAAGCTCAGAGGGTCCTGCAGATTACGAGCCCTTTCCATAGCGGCAAGCCTTTTCACTAGCTGGAATAGCTCTGATCCACAAAACTGGGAAGCTGGCTGTTGTGCTTGTATGTGGTTGTCAAAGTCAATGCCTTTGAAAAACGGGTGCGCTACACAGGCATCAGCGCGTCAGAATGCATCCTTCGGATTTTTAGTGTTAGATTTACCTTTGACTGCACTCATAGCATTGGCTTCCGTGCCTCCTAGTCGGTTCTTGGGATCTTTCTGCAGTAGTTTGCTAATCAAGTCCTTGGCGTCGTCAGATAGGTAGTCTGGCAAGTAATAGCTGCCATCTTGAACGCGAAGGAATGTGAGGTACGCGCTCCCACCACTAAATGGCGTCTCTCCTGTCAAAAGCTGATAGACAATGCAGCCGAATGCCCACATGTCACTAGCATAGGTAGGTTCTTTGTTGTCAATTGTCTCCGGGGGCATATACTCTGGCGTGCCGACGAAATTCGGTCCGTTGAGCTTGGAGTCAGCCAGGTTCTTGGCCGTACCAAAGTCAATGAGTTTCAGGTGGCCGCCTGTATTCTTGCAGACCACCATGTTTTCCGGCTTCAAGTCACGATGTAGCATCTGGTTCGCGTGCATGTACTCGACGGCGCTCGCGACGTCAGCCAAGTAGAATCGTGCGAGATCCTCGTCCAGCCCGAGCTGCCGGCCTTCGTGCAGTAGGTGGCTGAGTAGCTCTCCACCGTCAAGCAGCTCCAGCAGGAAATACAAATTATTATCATCTTGGAAAGTCTGATAGAGGCGAATGATGTTCGGGTGGCGAAGACGGTTGAGCACGTCCTTCTCCATGTTAATCTCGTTGAAGATGTTCTGGTGGCGAAGACGCAACCGTTTGATGCGCTGTTTCTCAATCACTTTCAGAGCAAACTTTTCTCCTGTCGCTATGTGCGTGACTTCCAATATACGGGAGAAGTTTCCTTCGCCTAGAGGTCTGCCTTGCGCGAACTCTTCGATACTGGGCTTATCGGTCGCGTCCTTCGCTGTGGTGATTCAGCAGCGCAACGACAGTGGTCAGATCATGTATATTTTACAGTGTTGATCGAAAATGCAAGATGTGGACATTGAACATCAGTGGATGACCCATGAACGTACGGCTAATTGCCATGGTTGCGTCGTCTCGGTGCGAGTTTGTTTTGGATTAAGATCGTTTTCTGAAATTTTCATCCCTGTTTTCACAATATTACATCTATGAATATGGAATTTCATTTATGGAATACATTATTACTGTTAATATTGGTAAATACGATTTTTATTTCGTCAAACTCCAATAGAAATATTAGTAATATTAAAGTTAGTTTTATTGTTGCCTTTTTCGATTGCATAATTTATTAACGCAAATGTTGCCTAATTTTTTGTTGTCTCTTCGGGAAAAAAAATATCACAAAAATATTTCCGTATTTGCAATGTGTGCGCTTATGTTGCATTTGGTGTTTGCAACACTAAATTCGGTGTCTACTAATAGAACCCCTTTTATATGCGTTACGAAGGCTGCGGGGGGAGACGGAAAATAACTCAACAACCGACGAGCGCAGTGAGAGAACGCCGAGCCGCCGCCTTGCCATCTCAAGCCTCTATCTCTCGCCAGGAAGCAGTCGCCTATCCCAAAGCCTACGTGTGTGCAGGTACAGCGTGCATTCTAGCTGTTCTTTCGTTGCATGTCCTCTTGCTGCTACAGCAGCAACAGTGGATACCTTTTTCTCTCTGTCGACGATTCGTCCGGACACTTTAATTCCGCCCTCTTTTGCGCCGTCCCGTGTGCAGTTTTCGCTGTTTGACGCGCACATTGAGATAATTTAAGTGGTTGGGCGGACCGTAGGCGGTCGCAGAGGGAGAAATATTGCTTACATCACGGCTGTACTGACTGGTACTGTGTTATTTTTTTCTGTTGGGTAACGCTGGCAGAGTTGTAACTCTTCAACAGAATGGCTCGTCATGAGAACCCTTTCGATATGCAGATCAAACTGCTGATGATCGGTGACAGCGGTGCGTGCAGAAATAAGAGATGAAAGACGATGTTTTTTTTGAGACGGTGGAATATTGACAGTCGTTGTTCGACTGATGATACAGGTGTGGGGAAGACGTGCTTGCTGCTGCGCTACGCCAATGACTCGTTCTCTCCGACATTTATCACGACCATCGGCATCGACTTCAAGATCAAGAACATAGAGCTGGACAACAAGAAGGTGAAGTTGCAGATCTGGGACACAGCTGGCCAGGAACGCTTCCGCACCATTACGACGTCATATTTCCGCGGCGCGCAGGGTATTTTATTGGTGTATGACGTCACTGACCGTGCATCCTTCCAGAGCATCCGTAACTGGGTGGGTCAGATCCAACAGCACGCCGACGTGCATGTCAACAAAATCCTCATTGGCAACAAGTGCGATATGACCGACGACAAGGTCGTAAGCACTGAAGAGGGTCAGGCATTAGCGGACGAGTACGGAGTCAAGTTCTTCGAGACGAGTGCGAAGAACAATATCAACGTGGAAGGCGGCTTCATCGAGATCGCGCGTGAAGTGAAGAACAGGCTCATGGAAGAGGGCGGACCGCACAAGAAGGACAGCGTCAACCTCAACGCAAAACCGGCACCTGTGAAGAAGGGCTGTTGCTAAGCCTTTCAGTCAGTTTGCTTGGGTTTGGTGGCGTCGCAGCTTGATAACGCTCGCTCGCTGCTCCTCCACGTATGCATCCTGCCTTACTATAGCTAAAACTTCTACTCAACTACTCTTTTTTCATCGGTTATGTCGATCATCATGCTTAGTATCACTTCCTGCTCAAATATTGAATGTTTGTCTAGCTCTAGTCAGTCTCGCGTTCCCACACGTGTACTGAATTGTCAAGCGATGCAGTAAGAACTACTTCACCATCGTAACTAAAAGTGCAGTCGAAGACCTCAGCATCGTGACCACGTAGTATTTGTAGACATTCCCCAGAGAAAGCATTCCACACACGAGCTGTCCCGTCGGTACTTGCCGTGAGAATTTGAAGTCCTTGCATACTAAAGCAGACCGTGTTTACAACCTTCTGATGACCAGATAACACGCATCGTCTAGTACCCGTTAGAGTATCATATATGAAAGCGTTGCCATCAGTACCACAGGACACAACTAGTGCTCCTGATGCATTGAATGTAGCGTGGGTTACTTCATGACCTTGATGATCATCCCAGTCATAGAGATTTTCCCCTGTCCGTGCATCCCACAACTTACACGTACCATCGGAAGATGACGATAATAAAGTGTTGGCTTGGTAGTCAAAAGATACGCTGGATATGTCAGCGTCGTGGTGCTCAATACAACGAAAGCAACCGCCAACGCGGGTGTCCCAAAGTCTCACGGTGGAGTCACAGGAACCTGTGGCAATGAGCTTGGTATCTTCAGAATCAAATGCTAAGCATGATACTTCGGCAGAATGACCCGACAACGTTAGCCGAGATTTTTCCGTGGCGGTGTCCCAAACAACAGCAGTGCCATCAACCGAATAGCTACCGAAGCATTCACTGCTGCTGGATTCCGGTGCATACACAGCACCCACGACCTCGCCTGCATGACCTCGATACACTCCAATTGCCGTTTTTGTTTGTACATCCCATAGCCGACAAGTCTTGTCGAATGATCCAGATAGCAATCGCGTGGCATGAGGTTTGTTGAAAGCTAAGCTAAACACCACTCCGTCGTGACCTGTTAACGTAGAAACTTCTTTATCGCAGTTTTTATTGTGGAAAGACGACGTCGCTAACGGAATTGACGGATCAAATGGCCGCAGTAACCGGATGGTCTTGTCGTAGCTACTAGTAGCTACTAGATTGGCGCTCTTGCTGCAGGCCATGTTGGTCATCGGAAGATGATGAGGTCGTAGCACAGAATGCAGTCGGAATGCACTGCCTTGTTGGTGGCTTGCATACACAAGGTGCTTGTCCACGAGTCGGTGAAGTAGCTCCTTAATCTTCGACAGTGTAGCCTTCGTGAGCAATCGCTCTTGAACCACAAGTTGCTGAGCCACCAGTGAAATGTTGGATTCAGCACTGAGGTGGGGCAAGTCGATGGTCTTGAGATCCGTCTGGCCATTGGAGTGGACATATTCCAAACGCAATGCTGGTGGGTAGTACCGCAGATACAAACGGCGGAGATGCATGGACTACAGCAGCTCATAAGCGTCAGTACTTCTGCGTGGCCGACGAGTCGTTGAAACGGAAGAGGCGTAAATAGTAATTTCTAACAGGAAATCTTAACAGCTTCAACTTGGAAGTCAAGTATAAAAAAACCATTTATTTAGTCAGTCATTCAGCGCGGCGTCGAACACTATGCATGGTAGCTTTCAGAACGAGCAGGACGGTGAGAATCGCTGTCAGCACCACAAGCAGCCCATCGCAACCTAGGTTCAAGGGTTGGGTAGCACAATCTACGGTGCTAATTGTGAATGGCAATTGCTGAGCTGGAGGCGCGAACGATTTTGACGCACCCCACCAGCCCTCCTCGATCATGTGCTGCTCTTCGTCTTTATCACATGTCTGCTTGATAATTTCTTGGACTCCACAACTCGAACCTCGGACTCGCTGATATTCACGAATGATCCATTCCACAGGCAGGTCACGAGCATCGATGGGAGTCGCCCATGACAGGTCAGGGATATTCAGCGTAGCAAAAATGCAAGTACTCTTTGAAAATAGCGCTCAATGAAAAGGTACCCTCTCGAAAGCGATATGGGCAATGACTTCTCCGTCATTGCCCATATCGCTTTCGAGAGGGTATAGCTTGCGAGCTGATTGGCTAGGATGGCATTCAGACGAAAAAAACCCATTAAAATTTTAATGGCTTATTTTCGTCTGAATGCCATCCAAGCATATTTTATTACGATTGATTACTCTCTCTGAGAGACCTCTCAGAACGTATACATTATATAATATTTCAAAATTCAATTGAATCCAGCATTCGACTTGCCCCCCCTACGTAGCATGAGCGAGGCGTCATCTTCTCCGCGCTCCGTGACCTCCAGTGCGCCCACATCCGCCCCTGGGCATCGAAGCAGCAAGAACCATGGACACCAGACATTCGCGAACATCTCTGCGATGGATCTACTGCAAAGTATGCGCTCACAGTGTTAATATTCCGTCTCAAAAACCAGCAATAACCTCGTCTCATTTTCTTTCCAGCATTGCCGCTGACCGCCGCCGGGCGTCCCGCGCTCTTCGGCAACGAGGTGGAGATCTACAGCGAGGAGCACATCGGTCTGTACGACCGCACCTTCAAGACACCGCACGTGCACGGCCGCTGCTCGGTCACCACACACCGCCTCTTCTATATGGACGAGACGAGTTCTCCACCCGTGGCGTACTTTGTGCCGCTCGAGTGGGTCACGCGAATTACGAAGGAAGCGGGCTTCCTGCAACGCTCCGCTAAGGTGCGGGTGGACTTGACAACGCGCCCACAACCACAAGCCACATCGTTTTTAAAGTTATCCTTCAAGGACGGTGGACGTGACGACTTTTTCAGTCCTCTGGAAGCCTCACTAAAGCGGAAAGCTTGGAAAGACACGCAACCAAGTCACTTGGCCGATAGGCGACTAGTAAAACGGCAATTCAATGCTGCAGATGCTGGTATCGCGGGTATTATGCGTCGCCAACAGGAGGCACAGAAGGAGACGACGGAACTGGCGGCCACGGCGTTCACCGATTTGGCCAACCTAATGCTTAAGGCTAGAGATATGGTAAGTCTGATTGAGCGATATGTGGACACACAGAAAGCCGTGGAATCGAATGGAGAGGATGGGACTACGACGTCAAGGGAGGACGATATCAACAAGCTCAGTTCGTTGATGCTGGATATGGGTATCACCAGTCCGGTGACGCGTGAGAATTCAGGTGCGGCGTATTACGAACAGCTTGCTCGACAACTTGCGGAGTATCTTAGCGAACATATGCCGACGAATGGAGGGATCATGACCTTGTCGGACATCTACTGTATGTTCAATCGAGCACGAGGCGTTGAGCTGGTATCTCCGGACGATCTGTACCACGCAGCACTGTTGCAGAAAAAACTGAAGCTTGGATATAGCGTGCGCAAGTTCCCTGGTGGCCTCATTGTACTGCAAACAGACTCGCATCGTGAGGATAAGGTGGCTGAGCGTCTCGCTAAGATGGCACAGAAGTCCAGCTCCGGCTACATCACATCTACCGACGTGTCGGTGGAGCTGCATACGTCATTCCCGTTAGCCTGGGAATACCTAAAGGTATGTAGAACAGTAGAAAATGATGTGGCGCTCTGTTGGGACTGACACTATGTGCTTTTTTTTACAGGTAGCAGAGGAGCTTGGAAAACTCTGTCGAGACGAAACATTTGAAGGGACCAACTTCTATCCGAACAAATTTGAACAACTTATGCAAGATGCGGAGGTGGAGAAGACGGCGTAAGACTTTTTGTGGGGATAGTATGTGAATAGAGGCTTGCTAGGTAAGACATATGAAAGATAGACGCGGCCAAGTATGCTGACCCAATTGCTGAAACTTAGAGCGTTCTGTTGCTGTTTGTGTGGGTCTTGTTTGTCAATGTCCAGCCTGGTTCTCGTGCTTTACAGGTTTAGTTGCTCGTTGTCTGTGGATGTATCTCACAGTCTTCAACACACCGCCCGCCTGAAATTCCGAGCTCCTCGATAAGGCAGGCTCCGCCACTTTAACCATTCTAGATACACAAACGAGTTCTTCTTCCTCGTCGCTTTGCTGTCCGTTGTTGTCTTCTTCTTGGTTGTTCGAGCCTGTGGAGTGTCCAGAACTTTGCAACTGCCGATCAAGCACTTCCAGCATTCTCGATTCGGATAGCTGATCATGAAGTCGTCGTTGGAACACCTTTTTCCGCCTTGGATTCTTTGCGGCGAAAGCTGCATCACACTCGTCTGACTCGGGATTCATCGCTGAAGCTTCCTGTGTGTGCTTGCGTTATACGTTGGAATGGCAGCTAAAATAGAGGTGAATCAGCGGACTTCCAAGTTCTGGCGTGATAAGAATACTGGAACGCACCCGAATGCAACAACGAAGAATTTGCACATGTACGTTAGCTGTCCTCCTAGGAATGGTTGGGTATTGAGCGTGAACACCAGCAAGGAGTCTTAAATGCGTTTCATCAACTCTTTAACGGATTGTCGCGCTTTACAGTGATGCTGTCAATGAAGGACACAAGCGTGGCTGTACGGACCTCAAGTACCATCGACAAGAGTTTAAATCTACTGCAAACAAGTTTGAAGCAACTAAGTACTACTAGTAGTATTAAGCTGTGCCAAAATGTCCCTACAGCAAGTAGTATTTGTTGCTCGCCTAGGCGGTAATTCTAGCTGCAAGCATAGAAGTTTATCGACTCCAGTTTAAAAACGTCGCGCTTCGATGACCTTGGCCACAATTTTTCTCGAAGTGCCCCATATCGGTTTTTGGTTAACGGCCGCGGAAACTGCACTGGCAGGCGGATTTAGCACGACGACATTTACGGCATTGCTGAATGCGCGGGCGCTTCGGGCTCCTCTCACGTGACCTGCCCTCGCGGCTGTGCCTATCTCTATCTGAAACACCGTATCCACGGTCTCGACGATCATAGTCACCACCTCGACTGTCACTACGGCTGTAGCGATCGCGTGCATGGTCCCGATCGCGGCCGCGGTCTCGACCATAGCCGTTGTAGGAGTAGTCGCCACGATTATTATCCCGCGTATCTTCACGCTCATGTTCACGCTTCGCCCGTGTTTCATCGTCGTCCTCCTTCATCTCGAGACAACGCTTGCAATAACGCGGAGTCGCTCCACCGACGCACATGCCGCGACAACGGCCAAAGTCGGGCTTCTTCATCAAGTCAATATCCTCAGGACGCGTGTACCATTTCGGTGCTGTTTGAAAGCGTTGTGCTACTCGGTTGCAGATCACTTCCATGTAATCATGAATGGCCTCCTTCGACACGAACTTTTCATACAACTCATTGGCACGTGCCGCAATCTGTCGGCATTTTTCGTCATTCTCACGACACCACCGAATTTTCTCTGCCAAGTCTGAGAGATCCGCCTTGATCGGCACATGATCTTCAAACGGTTTGAGAATCGGGTAGTACCACATCTCGTCGGCAACACAGCGCGACTCGACTTTGAGAATCACACTACCCAGACGCATCAAGAAGGCGTAGCGGTTGGCAGCGCAGTGACCTTCAACGTACAAAATATACTTGAACTTGGACTGCTCGTAGATGGGAATGAAATGCTGGCGTCCACCTTCAAAGATGAATTCCTCGTGACGTAAGAATGTCATAGGCTTGCCAGCAATTTTCTTATCGCGAAGGTTCCACGTCGTAACTTCAGCGTTGAGCAGAGGGACCAGCTCTTGGTCTCCACCTGCAGCATCGCTCTCGGTCTTACCGTTCATCGTCGAATCCTTCTTCCACGTGTTCGAGAGGTGAGCCAAATGAAGACGTTGATTGGTTTCAATTGTTGTGCCGCCACCAGTCGCACTACCACGGAAGAAGGCAGTGTTTACCTTGTCTTCCCAAGGTTTGTAGAACTTCCGAAAGTTGTTGGCAGTAAACAAGTCACGCGCGCCTTCAATGCCATGTCTCTTCCTGCCGTTGGCGCCAACATCACAGAAACACTCCCAGTCGTTCTCGCAATGGACCGAGTTACGACACGGACACTGGTCGCAATGAGTATGTCTGAATGACTGCGGGAACACAAGACCTGTAGCTGCCTCCCAGTCCTCTGAACATGGGAACGGGATATCCGCGAAGCGCTTCGACACGTAGAAGCTCATGATCGGCGCATACGTAGAGTAGCGGTGCTCTGTGAGTGGAATATCTTCGTCGGGATTGCGGTCGTTTTTATCAAACAGGAATCCGTACGGCTCGCTCAAGTTTTCCTGTTAATTCATTGATAAAATACAAAAATTAATCCGCGCATTTCTTCACTTTAATCGACATCGGCTACACACCTTTAAATGCGGGTAGTCGCGTTTGTTGATGAAAAACTCGCAGTCTGGAATGTTGCGGTGCTTGCACGCGTCCTCTAACATGTCTCGCAGCTGCGTAAGGAACTGGTCTCCCCAATACTGCGTCTCGTCCTCCTTGTTGCGATACCTGCAGTGTTCGTTGCAAATGATGTTGCCATTGGCCCACCACTTCTTCACGTCTGGAATGATGTTCTCGCGTCGGTAGTAGCGCTGTTTCTCCCGGTAATAGGCGAACATGCTGCCGTCCGAGCTGTCGAAGGTCACGTTCTGCCCCCAATTGTTCTCGTAGTCCTTGTTTGCAAAAGGTGCGAAGATAACAACGCGTCGGCGACGGATCATTACGAAGATACCACAGCGCATATGGAAGAACAGATAGTGCAGGGTATTGTGCGTTGACTCGCGGTTGGTCTGTTGGTGGAAGGGCATATTGACGCGATAGTCGACGTCATTGGCGATGGGAAGCCCCTCGCCCTGCACGAAGCGGTTGTCGGCGCTGATCTGAGGAGCTGGTTCAAGTGGGAACTTCTGGTCGTACTCCTCGATTTTAGGGATGAGGATTTCTTTTATCTGCTGCCAGTCCACAAGCATGGAGAAGACGTGCTGCAGCTTGGGGAAGTCCGGATTGGAGCCTCGCCAGCAGTGTTTACGGATGAAGTCCTCGCACTCTGCCTTGGTGGCGAACTTCGGAACGCCACCCGACGTCTCGGACATGACCACGCGCCGCCATTCCGGAGTTTCTTCGTCCTCGAAGGCGAAAATGCCGCGTAGCATTGGACGCTCGTCCATGGTCGCCGCTATTGTGAGGAGGGGGAAACGACACTCATGTACTATTGGATAAAATGGCTGCCAATGAGAAGCAATACTAGGTTTTAGGAGCCTGAAAATTTGAACCTTAGCAGGATCTTACATGTTAATTTCAGACTGAAATTAGTACTAGGATCACTCATGTTTAGAATCACCTGCAAAGACATTATGGCTCGCTATGATAACCAGCGTAACTCACATTGTTGCTGCACCAACCAATATTTCTTGACTCAACGTACGTGACCTCTTCGTATTACGAAGGAAGCAAACGATGCTACGGTGCTGGCACCACTGACGGCGGGGGTTATCTAACGCCAACAGTGTAATCAAAGCCGTCTCGTAACCGTAGAGGCGCTTCCGCTTTGGAGAAAAAAAATCGGATCAAGACTTCCATGCTGTGATGCAAGTGAACAAGAAGAACCCCGAGGCAGGTTTTGCCATCAATGATGGAAATTCCCGGTACGTTTCGTTTTACAAAAGTCAGATCATTGATCTACGTGTGCTTATCATTGACGTTTTATTGTCCATAGTTGTAGAGCAGTACAAGATGATTCGAGAGCTTGGGATGATCCAGTAGCAGCAGCACCATTGATTTAATAAACGGCAATACATTTTTTCAACGTTGCAGGTCCTCCTTGCCGTTGTATTTTGTACTTGCTGCAAATTCCTACACAAACTCACCGCCGCATTCAGCAAATTGCAGACTGCAGTGCAACCACTCAATACCCGATACACAGCAGCCATCACTTACGGCAAAGCACCAAAGGCAACAAGGTCAGCTGGATATCGGTTGTTTATCGCATGGTTGCGGGTCATTTTACACCCATAGTTGGCGGCCCTTCTCCAGGAAACTCGAACCAGCCAATCACAGCGCACGCCTTGTGACAGTTTTCCGGAAGCCAGCACCTCAACCGCGTTACTAAACGACCTTCACTTCGAATTAGACCTCCTGGTGTTTGAACGAGTCCTGCCGTTATGAGCCCCACGGAGCAAGACTCTTCGGCTCCACCCAGCGTCGCCGACGTGGTGACTGCTGCTCAGCATCAGCAACAGCCTCAACAATCACAACAACCTCAACAACCGTCACCGGCGCATGCCGGGTCTTCTGTCTTCGACACGACGCGCGGAGCCGGACCCGGCTCCGTTACCGGCGGTCGACCGCGAGTAGAATCCTCCGAACACTTTGGTTTCCTGCACCACAACACGGACGAGGATATTTACGTGTTCGAGGAGCCACCCGAGGTTAAAGTGCTCGGTGGTCGCTTTGAGGAATCCTGGCCCACGCGCTACGTCGAGTATGACGTCGAGGTACGTAGGTTAACTGTATCGTTGGTCCAGTTTTGTATGAGCTAACGTCGACTATTATACACAATTACAGTTAAAGTATAAGAACTTCAAGTGGAAGGTGGAGATCCCCAAGTCCTCCATCTCAAGTCTCTGGTTCTACATCAAAAGCCGTCCGCACCTTCGTCACGCTCCGTCGTCAGTGGAAGTGCGCACTGAGCATGGACTTGGAGAGTCGGGCGTCCCGGATCACACGCCTGCAGCCAATGAGTCTCGGTGGCCGCAGCTACGTAAACTCTTCTTAACGTCTGCGGACAAGTCCGTTGGCCCCGAGATGGTCGCACTCGTGCAGCAATTACTGGAAACGGTAGTGAAAGTGCCACGGTTGCTACGGTCTCCATACGTGGCTGCACTATTCCAAGTCAGCAACTCGACGTTTGACGACGAAATGGGCCGAACTTCTGTCCGTGAAGGCTGGTTAAAGACACGCTTCTGGCTGAAAGGTAACCGCGAGAATGTCCGTATCAACCGCGCGTCGGTCTCTTGGGACAACGAGTGCTTCAACTGCATGTGCGTGGTGAAGCGTGTCAACTTCCGTGCCAAACGTTTGCGTTGGGTGTCGCTCAAGACGTCGAGTATTGCAATTTTTGACTCCATCGAGGACACGATCGCTCGCAAGGCATTCCTTTTCGACAGTAAATTCAACATCGAACGCGGTCTCGAAACTACAGGCTCCAGTACGACACTTCTAGTCTCGAACGCTACGTATGTTCTTCAGATGGAAGCAAAGTCCAAGCAGGCTTTGACAAAGTGGGCCAATGATATCCGTCGAGTAGCAGAGGCTTCGAACTGGTCGCAGGCTCATCGTGATGGATCATTTGCGATTCCTCGCAATCCCGTACACATGACCTCGTTCGCGCAATGGTACGTGGATGGCAGCGATGCGTACGCAGCTATTTATCGCGCTATCCAGTCGGCTACGAAGGAGATTTTCATTGCCGGGTGGTGGGTTTGTCCGACTATCCATCTCCTGCGTCCTGCGAAACTTTATCCCGAGTCGAGACTTGATCTTGCGCTGCAGAAGAAGGCAGAAGAGGGGGTACAAGTCTACGTCCTCATGTACAAGGAAGTGTCTGTGGCGCTGACACTGAACAGCATGTTCTCGAAGCAGGTGCTGAGCAAGTTACACAAGAATGTTCACGTGTTGCGTGACCCCGACTTTTTGATGAAGCAACTTGGGTTGTGGTCGCATCACGAGAAGATTGTGAGTGTTGATCAGCGCGTTAGTTTCGTTGGTGGGCTGGATCTCTGCTTTGGACGCTGGGATACTCACGGACACGAGCTATTCGATGAGCCTGGCAAGCCAACAAACTTCGTGGGCAAGGATTTCTCCAATCCACGCGTGAAGGACTTCGTTGAAGTCGACCATCCTGATGATGACATGATTGACCGCAATGAAGTGCCACGTATGCCATGGCACGACTGCCACTGTCGCCTTGAGGGTCAACCAGCTCGCGATGTAGCGCGTCACTTCATACAACGTTGGAATTACTCGGTGTCTACACGCAAGAAATCACGCAAGCTGCACCACCTTGTGCCCATGAAAGATTATCCAGTAACAATCACCAACAAGCATGGACCGAAGAAGTTGACTGAGCGGCTTCAGAAGGCTGTACATGCTGTACGCGCTATGCGTGGCATATCGAGAGGCCGCACAAACACTGACAACCGTGGATTTAACAGTGATCGACGGATGGCGCGGATGTTGAGCGGTCAAAATGAATCGGGGAATGTGCCTATTCTGCAAGACGATCACGAAGACGTGATGTTGGATCTGCCTGTTGGAGAGGATGAGAATGACGAAGAGTTCGAGAAACACAAACAAGAAGTGGCTGCTCGAGGATACCGTGTCAACACGCAGATCCTACGCAGCTTGTCGCTGTGGTCAGGAGGTGTGACCACAGAACGCAGTATCCAGAATGCTTACATCCGTCTCATTGGATCGGCACAACACTTTGTCTACATTGAGAACCAGTTCTTTGTGTCTGGACTGGAAGGAGATCACGGGGTCTCGAACCGTATCGCTAATGCACTGGTGGAAAGAATTCGTCGCGCGTCGGATAATAACGAGAAGTTCCGCGTTATTGTGCTGATGCCGCTGCTGCCAGCATTCCCCGGAAAGCCTGATGACAAGGACGCCAGTAGTTTGCGAGGTGTGATGCACTGGCAATACCGTACAATCTGTCGCGGCGAGCATTCGATCTACCAGCGTTTGTACCAGGAACTAGAGGATGATGATCCGTTCAAGTACATCGCCTTCTACGGTCTACGCAACCACAGTGTCCGTGAAGATGCTCAAGCTCGGACTGAGGAGGTGTACATCCACAGCAAGGTTATGATTGTGGACGACCGAATTTGTATCATCGGTTCTGCTAATATCAACGAACGCAGTATGTGCGGAGATCGGGACTCGGAGATCGCTGTGCTGGTGGAAGACCACGAAATGGAAGAGGAGATTGCCATCGCTGACGGCACGTACAATGTGGGCAAGTTCGCGCACTCGTTCCGTATGAAGCTGTTCGAGGAGCATTTCGGTGTGCAGCCTGGTACGCCGAAGTATCAGAAGTACCAAGACCCGGTGAGCAAGGACGCCTGGTTCTCCATGCAGGAACAGGCCATGACAAACCACCAGATCTACGACTCGGTGTTCGGCTGTCTGCCATCCGACAGCGTGACGACCTTCGCGCAGATCGACTCGCATATTCAGTCGGCTCAAGGTCTCGATACGTCCGGCCGTGGTGCAGATGAAGCAGTGGCTGCGGCATTGGCTACCGACGCGACGGATGCGACGAGTAATGACGGGGAGGGACGACGAATGTCCTCGATGAGCGACCGAGTTATGTCGCCTCAGAACAGTTCGAGAGGAACCAGCACGCGAGGGCGTAAGTCGGTGTTCAGTGGAGCCATGAACGTCAACATGAAGGAGAGCTCGCACATCGCCCAGCAGAAGCACGAGCTGAGCAACGTGCAGGGCCACATTGTGTACTTCCCTCTCAAGTTCCTGGTGGACGAGCAACTGGAGCCAAAGTTGTTCCCAGCCGATCTTTTCCAGTAATGAGGATAAGTTTCAGTTTTACTTTTGTTTTTCACTCCGAGTGTGCTATGGAACAAACGATTAAAGATATGTTGTATCGCTGGTTCCATTTCCAACCATCCAACCAAGATTTCGGTCTACTGCCAAGAGAGCTGTCAACCTGACAGCGCTCGTCATCCTGAACACCTCCACGGCACGATGGATTCTCGTGAGCAAAATTTTGATCTATCCTTTGATATTACATAGCCTGTCCGTAGCACATCACATTTAAACCCTGTAATTTTTTCACTTGACTTCAGTGTGTATTATATTTGAGCAGCATACGACCCTCATAATTTTTCCACCCACAACACCTAATATCGTACCGTTTCAAAACATTCGGCTGACGTATGACGCTCCTCTACACTTGCAGATTCCACTCGAATCGTTCCAGCAAACAAGACGTCACAACCAATTCGCTGGCCCGAGGTGCACACCGCACTCGCACTTATTCACCGCCTACTAAGTTAACGAGTGCTAACCTCAAGCGCAGCTTTATCCCTGTCTTCACGTACCTACAGCTTCACACTGTCGTTTACTGGCTGCCCGACTGAATTCCTGTCGCGATGGGCTTGAAAAAGTGGCTGGGCCTCGACTTCTCGGCACCGCAGCCTGTGGGACACAACGCTAAGGGCGACGACGTGGAAGTGGAGGAGCCGCTGGGCATTGGACGCCGACAGCAGCAACGACCTGAGAGCCACCGCCGCCACACGGCGTGGGAGGCGCAACAAGGACAAAGCCGCACACACGCGTACGCACCGACGCGCCAGAGTGCGCCGCTCCAAGGACGCCACACGCTGAGTTCTAACCAACAGCCAGAACGCCGCTTCTCCTCCGACGCTAACGATAACGATACCATCTCTACGATGGTCACGGCGATGCAGTCACCGCCACCTCGGTACGATTCGGACTCGGACGTGTCCATCGGAGCCGACGACGACTTTGCGCCATCCCCAGCGATGCCTACTAGATTGGAGCGATCGAGAACCACGACGGCAGCATCACCTGCGAGCTCGACTCTGCAACGCAACAGTGTCAGCAACGCCTTCCGCTTTTCGTGGATGAACATTCTTGGTCAGTCAACAAACTCGGAGATGGAACAGAGTGTCATGGCCCAAGTGGCCGAGGAAGATGAAGCTGCCGAAGCTACTGGGCAAAACACCCGCGCAGTCAGTCAGACCCCTCGCAACACGACGCACAATCCTGACGTGGCATTGCGACCGCAAGACGACGAGATGGGCGTAGTGATGCAGGGCTGGCTCGAGAAATGTGGTCAGCAATTCAAGACTTGGAACTGGCGCTTCTTCGTGCTACGCAACGATGGCGTCTTGTCTTACTACATGGATGAGACTCTCAAGAAGCTGAAGGGGTCTATTGACATTGGATATGGCTCCAAGGCAGACGTATCGGTGCAGACCAACTCCATGGATAAAAAGTTTGTCTTTATGATCGCCACGCCGCAGCGCAACCTCATGATCTCGGCTCCATCCCAGCGTATGATGTCCAAGTGGATCGCTCGACTACATGCAGCCGGCGCAGTGCCTACTGAGCCATGGGATCCGCTTCGTAAGACTGTCAAGTTTTACGTGCGCGATACAGAGTGTAATCACGAGTGGAAGCGCTACGACGACCCCACCTCTTACATTCACATGGAAGGCTGCCTGCTCAAACGTGGCCACGTCAACAAGAACTGGAAGAACCGCTTCTTTCGCATTGAAAAGGGCGAATTGAAGTACTATACCGAGAACCAGAGCGAGATAAAAGGCTCAATTCCACTGAAAGACACGATCGTTAGTCCCGGTATGGCACAATGCCCTGACGGCCGGAAATACTACTTTGTGTTGACGTCCAAGGACGGCAAGTTCGAGATGCATCTGAACGCACACAATGAAAACTCGATGCATTTGTGGATCGAGGCGTTGCAAGAAGCTCAGACAGCTTTGGGAAGAATGGCCGGCAAGAAGGGTACGGTGGCGGGTTTATCCCTTGTGGTTAAACGCGCAGAGGAGATTCCATTGGGCAAAATTGGTGTGCTGTTCAAAACCCCCGAGGATATCGACATTGAAATGCAAAAGCGCACAGAGGCTCTGATCGTGGCATCGAGTCCTAGAAACCGCGGAGTCGCAGTGGGTAGTCAGCTAATCTCTGTTGAAGGCCGCAGTATCCTTCGAGAGACGTACGCAGAGGCTCGTAAGATCCTTCGAGCATCTTCATTCCCGTTGCGACTGGAATTCCTACTACCGCCGTTTAAGCGTGGTGTTCTGATCAAAAAGTCCCGCTCGGGCTTTGAGAACTGGAAGAGACGTGTGGTTATCGTGACGAATGGTGAGATCCACTACTATAAGCAAGTGTCCTCGTATAGTGGAGGCAAAAAGGCCCCCGCGGAGCTCAAGCACCGCAAGTCCTTCTCACTCTACGGCTGCTACCTGAATCTGGTGCATATCCCCGGTCGCGATCTGTGCATTGTGGTGGCGCGTTCACCCTCGGACAAGCTGGTGCTGCAGACGCGCACGGAGGAGGAGCGTATGGAGTGGGCTAGTGTCATCTATTGCAGTATCCGCATGGTATCGCAGGGCATCACATCTGGCCACATTGAAAACTTGCAACTGGAGCAATCGCGCTTGCCGTCGAAGCACTTGTCCACCGATCTCAAAGGAAGTTTCAAGGACCACGACCAACTTGAGTTCTAGACATCTTGAAGACTACAGCCATACCGTGGCATGTACATGTGATCATGAAATAAGTGCAAGACGATAGCAATGTAATAAATCAAGCGAATTTTTTATTTAAAAGGTTCAACAAAGTATCTTTCGTCATCTTCATCCCGAGATGTTTTCTTCAAGAGGCGCTGATATTTTTCAAGGAATCATTTTTAATAACGAAGGCCAAAATAGATGACACATTCTTAACGGCTGTGCTATTCGAGGAGTAGCCACTTCTTGCCATCCTCCAACGACACAATCTTGATTCAAAACCTGAACTTCAGCAGTTTTCCTTTCTTTCCACTTTCGTACACTTCTCTATGATTGGCCAATATTTCTGCCACACAGCGATCCTTTTTGAGCCTCCCACACACCCAAAAAGTCGGCGAGACGAAGTGCGATAGAGCGCGTCTGCGTTGCCCCC